GGAGCTATACCTGTTTCTGAAAGGTTTGAATGTTTAGCACCGCCCAAAACTCGCTCAGAGGCTTCTCATCCCACCGAGCCATCTAGTTTTATTTGCAATCTGACATGCAAACATTAGCATGAGCGCAACTTTTTGTGAGCTGTGCAACAATCACTGATGAAATGGTACAAAAGCAACGCACTGCTAACAAAATATATAACTGAAAGATTACTGCTAGCCAGAGGAGTTATAGCCACTTCTGCTAACATGCTACTGTGTTTAGCAGCGCTGTAGAGGCTAGAGGACGCAGCCTCGCTCTGTGATTGGAGGAGAGCGGAATCAGCTGAATCAATAAGCTCAAGTTTTCAATTAAATTACGGATTATAATACAACTTGTATGTAGTAATAAGCATTTTTATCAACTCATTAGAAAATAAATTGGGTATAGCTTCTTTAAGTGCTCCTGACCACGCATCATAAATGTAAACACAGTTCTGTTGTAGAGAGGGGAAAGTTTATGCAGCTCTTGAGTAGAAAGTGGGCACAGTGGTTAGCCCTCTCACTTCGCTGCAAGAAGGCACAGGGTTAGGGTCGTTCTGAGTGGAGTTTGCATGTTCTCCCCGTGTCTGCACTTGTATTGAAACTGTCTTTGTTGTAGTTGGATCATTAAAGTGCCACGGCCCACTGCTTGAAAAACACTGAGTTAGAGAGAGAGAGAGAGAGACATTGGTCACAGCGGAAAATATTCGCTGCTGAATCTAATGAAAGGGATGAGTCTGAATGAAGGAAATAAAATGGGCTCACGTTACTCTGAAAACAGCTAATGCCACGAGATAATTACAAGGAAAAAACCAGGAGTTGAACCCACTGGTATTTTCAGATTAGGACCAAGAGATTCTTTAATCGTCCCACAGTCGGGGCATGTCATTGTTGCATCAGCAGTTACAGAACAGTGGCTTTCACATGAAAAATACGGTATATTCTAGTACAATAAATATGTAGTTGTTTATAGATATCTGCAAATGTTAGCAGCATGTGGGTATGAGACAATGACTATAATGTGACACATGTAAGTAAGCTAGTAATCTTTATTCATACAGCGCATTTTTACAGACCAATGTCACCCACAGCACTTTACCATCCACTCACTCACTCATTGCATTCAGACCAACTGTACATGTTTTTAGTGAAAGGGGAAACCGGAGCACCTGGAGGAAACCTACGCAAAAACAGGGAGAGCATGCAAACTTCACTCAGAAAGGCCCTGTTCCGACCGGGATTCAAACCCAGGACCATATTGCTGAGAAGTGAGAGTTCTATCCACTCAGCCACCGTGTTATAGTACGATATTGCACATTTTGACATTTGGATTATTATTGCACACATTCTATTAAATTCAATGTATTCTTGAATTTTCCTGAATCACAACAGTGGTTATCTCAGAGGACTAAACAAAACCGTTGAAATCGTCAACACAGAAACAGAAAAACAACGGGAAAGGAAGAAAAGGGGAACCCCAAAACGCAAGACTGAAAATCAAGTGTCATTGAATAAAATAAACAGAAAAACTCCAGAACTGAAAACAAGCCAGGAGAAAAGTGGCAGAGACAATGGACGCACAACAAGTGGGGAAAAGCACAGGGCATAAACACACACAGGTGACTGACAATATGGGCGGGGCAACAAGAGAACAAACAGCATTATAAAACCAGGTGAAAATGGTCAAAAAGTCCACTTTATTTCTATATCACATTTAAACAGAACAGTTCCAAAGTGCTGCACAAAAAAAAAAAGAAAAGTACACAAAAAACTGCTCATCTAATGTTTGTAGTTTAATTAATTTACCTCATCTCTGTCAGACCTGGCCTTATAATCAGCACTCGATCATATACAGAAGTAAAGATCCTACTTTAAAATTAGTTTTAGACTAATAATTCCTTAAAGATGCAGTCAGTGATTTTATCCAGACGCATTTTTTGAAATATCTTGGAACATGTTGCTAAACCCTAAAATTATCAAGTTATCATGCGTTTTCAAATAGTAATGGAATTGACCTGTAGTCTACAAAAATGTATTACACATGTTTTGGAGCGGACCGATAAAAATGAACCAATGGGATGTGTTTACAGCCTTCACCCTCTTCCTGTTTCTCGCGAGTGAACCGGAGTTATGGGATTTTCTAAAACCTAAAATGGCTGAACAGAAAATGCCACTTTCACGTTTGCCGCCCACTCTCCCCGTCGTCTTATCTACCTTAAAACTTATCATTATCTTTCCAGTGTTATGCTTAGTATCTGTCCTTTTTATTATTATGTTACTTTTGCCATTATATTCTAGATTATAATAATAATGTCGCACAATTTACTGTTCCACACACACACACACACACACACAGGCACATTTCCTGTTGTATCCCTAAAATATGTATCTCTCCGCATATTCTTGTTTGTTTGTTGTATGTATGTTACTTTGCAAGAAAAAAAAGAAAGAAAATGCTGGATGTTTGGTTTGGTGGAGAGGGAGGGGAGGGGGGAGTGGTTTCCAGTTGGTGCTACGGCTAAGCTAACATCGCTTACTACAGCTTTAAGTGGTGACTGGGTAAGGTTTAGGTGTCGGAGTAAGATGGTTGAGGTCAGGGTTAAGGGTGGGTTGGGGTTATTCTATAGGGAATGGCTGTTTAAGTTTACTCATGGATCTATTAGTTTAGGCAGTTGGTTATACAGTGTTTACTTCTGCTTCCGTCCAGATTCCGTATATGATCGAGCACCGACCGTGGCCTTATCTGCTCTGGCGGACACAAGCAGCAGCACCCTCCTGCTTTAGTCCCACTCCATCCAACCAGAGCCCAGCGTCAGAGTCCAAACGCTCCAGAGGCATTTCCTGAGGGGGGGGGGGGGGGGGGGCGACGGGCCAGATACATTCTTGGCCCAGGCTCCTCCGGGTCCTGCTCACGGCTCTGGACTCGGGAGTTGATGATCTTATCCCACTCGGGCTCTCGGGGTTAAGTGTGGAATCTAGAGAGATGTAAACAACATAAATAAAACCAGTGTGGTGTAATGTCATGACATGGGCAGAGATGGGGGATTATTCAAATACATTTAAAGCTGGGGTACCTAACTTTGAAGCCACACAATATCACTTTCGACACAAAATTGACAAAAAAAGAGCAGAAAAAATGTCTCAAATTCAGCAAAATGTGTCGTAATTTTAGCACATTCTGACTGTATTAAAACAAGATTTGCAAATGGGACAAAGCAAAATTAAATTGGTGTAAAAAAGATTCACAAAATGTCTTCATTGGAATGAGAAAATAATGCAATAGTTTGTGAGAAAAGACTAAATGGCTTTGTCCCATTGGAGAATCTTGTTCAAACACAGTCAGAATGTTCTTAAATTAAGATAAAAACCAATATTAGTACATTTTTGTATCATTTTTTGCAGTGTATAAAACTAGTTCCTCTCTCTCAAAACTTTTTTTTTATTGTTTCGGAGAATGAATTAGTTTTACAGCACAGGAATAAATCAGGATCAAACTGACATGGTATATTTACAGAAAGGGGAAAAAATACACATATAGTAGGTTTTAATAATTAACATGAGTCGAGTGAGTTTGGTCAATTATTTGGGACCTCCACAAAATCTGGTTTTAACAACATTATGTACTTTCCCTTTTTAGACCGTCATTAAAAGCTTGGTTCTAGTCCGACGAGGTTCATTTGGCCTTCTGATTCAGTTCAATTAAACCTCTTCTTGTATCACAACAGGTGTTATCTCTGAGCACTGTACAAAGCTGATTCGCCAACACAAATTAGAAAATCAAACCATTTAACCACAGGAAATGCAGTGATAAAAAACACACAGAGCCATTGGTCCATAAGGGGCAGAGACCAATGTCCATAAAAGCAGGACTATAAACTGGGACATGGGGGCTTCCGTACTCTCACACACCTTGGATTCTGTCCTGAACAAGTCGGACTGCAGATGGCGCTGTCGTCCTGCCTCTGGTGGTCTCCCAGTAATCTTCTTATCAACTTGTAAAGCAGGGTGTGTGTGTGGGCCGCATGAAGTGGAGTCTGGGGGAAGCTGGGCCACATTAAGGGCTATGTTCATCATACGTTTGTCTGTGTGCAGAATATATTAGGGGAAAACTATGTTCATATAATTTCATGAAGATTCTATGCTCCCAGAGAGATAGAAACAAACACTAAACCTGCTTAAAACTCGCTTATTTTCTTTTTTCATTGCTCACAGTTCACATTCTCTGCGTCTTACATATATGACTTTACATATATCAAAATGGACATAAGTCGTTAGTGCGCTTCGTAGCTTATAGCTTTGTATAAAAATGCTGCACTATTTAATATTTGGGGGAAGAGAAGTTTACTCAAGTGTGGAGCTTGGGTCTATTGTGTTGTTTTATTAATTGATTATAATGTCCTCACTCTGAATGCTGTGATCAGAAACTGTATCTATAAGTTCAAGAAACGCTCTGAGGACTCTCCAAATATTATTATGAATGATTTTACTTCTCATGCACAGAGCGGTGTAAGGCTTTGGAGAAACTGTCTTTATAGAATATTGTAAATATTCTGTGTTTGTGTGTTTTTGTCTGTATTTTTGTTGTCTGTTTTGTGTTAAATGGACTCTTTATGTGTCTGAATTAAATATTAAATTAAATATTGTATTGTAGTCTATAGTGTGCGGTTATGGCACTACTAATGGTACAAAAAAGAGAAACAGAAAAGTAGTAAAAGTGAATCTTCCAGATATACAGCCTCTGTCTTTGTACCTTACTGAACCAAATTTTCACATCTAGTTATAAATATGAAGTTGTATGATACCTTTGTTAAAATTTGGCCACGTTTTCCCTCACAAGTTCTGCTGAAAGAAAATATTTACATCACTCTGCTGCCCCCTGGTGGCTACTTCTAGGAACAACAACGCTTCACAGCCGTTCACAAAAAAGGCTTTTTTAATCAAATTTCAAACATTTCAGTACATCTTAATATACCGTTTGTAATTTACATTTTCTTCTTGTCACACAGAGAATATAACAGCTCAATTTGTTCAGCATATTCAAACCCCGGCCTGTGAAGACAAAAGCATTTTGGTTTATACATATTGAGATTTACGACAGAGTTTATGGTCGTCATGGCGATAGGTTGCGTTCATGTTGTAGAATCGCGTTTCATCTTTGAGATTAATATTAATAGTTAAATTATTCATATTTATTTCAGGGGGGGCAATTATATTCTCCTGGGGGCAATGTAGGGATAAGAGAAGGAGAGAAACCTGAAGAAGCCAATGTTATATTTAGGTTTGTGTGAAGTGTGTTTTTAGCATCTACAGCTGTATTTTTGTTTTAACCTTTCACAATAAGGGGGATACTTGGAGGAAATTGTTATTCTATAAAATGTTTTACTTAGATTTAGATTTCAATTCTTGCTTGGACTGAACCAAAGACGGACTCAAGCTAAAGAAGGCTAATATCGTGGACAGAAGAATGCGTTTTTGCTGAATTATTATGAGCAAACCGCCATCGTAACACTGGTTAAGTTGCAAACTTTGATAGTGCTTCTCATTCATTTCAATAGGAGGAGACAGACGGGAGTTTGTGAATGGGAAAAGGTCTGAAAGCCACATGGGGCAGATTTAGACCAGAGTTGATATGCACTATCAAAGAAAATGTGGAACTTTTTGTGACTAAAGAATACCCCTGATCAAACACACTACAGTCTGACACACTCACTGTCAGACTGTACAATAAGTCACTAATGCACTAGGACTGGAAAAAATCCTGCTTTTTTTGCCACTTTTTTATTGTGCATAATTATATCCTGCACAGACTATAATTTAAACCTTTAACATGTTGCACAATCTGAGTGACTATCTGTGCCAAATGTGACATGTACATTTCTCCAGTGTGAGATCAATTAAAGGTGCAGTAAGCGATGTTAGCTTAGCCGTTAGCACCAACTGGAAACCACTCCCCCCTCCCCTCCCTTTCCACCAAACCAAACATCCAGCATTTTCTTTTCTTTGTCACAACAGGGAGAGTGGGCGGCAAACGTGAAATTGGCATTTTCTGTTCAGCCATTTTAGGTTTTAGAAAATCCAATAACTCCGGTTTACTCGCGAGAAACAGGAAGAGGGTGAAGGGGGTAAACGCATCCCATTGGTTCGTTGGAGATATTCATTTTTGGAGACTATAGGCACAATATTTTAAAAAATGCGTCTGGAATAAAACCACTGACTGCATCTTTAAGTCTATCTTATCTTATCAGAGTTACTAGGAAGCAACCCTCCACCAAACTACACACTCTTTGAAACGCTGTGACGTCGCATCAACGCAACCTATTTTCAAGCCCCCGGGAAGACAGAGCACTCACCGTCCAGGAGTCTCCAGAATTAAAGGAATGTGATCCAGTCTGGGTTCATTCATGATGTCGCGGAAAGCAGAGATTCCAATGTGACCTTTACCGATGTCCTCATGGCGGTCGAGGTTACAGCCAAGTTTACCTGCAGCAAAAACACAACCAAAGTCTGGCACCACAAAAACAACAGAGACAGGGCTTTACCTTTGGAGTCATTCAGATGCACTGCTTTAAGGTATTGCAACCCGACTTCTTGATCGAATTCGTTCAACATTGCCTTCACCCCTCCCTCCGCTGACAAGTCATAACCTAAAAAAAAAGAAGAAAAGTCATGAAAAAGTAACACAAAAACAACACAACAACAAAAACAAGTGGAATAACTAACTCACCATTTGCAAATGCATGGCAAGTGTCCAGACAGACGCCCATCCGACTCTGGTCCCTCACTTTGTCGATGATGGATTTGAGCTCGGGGAAATTCCCACCCACAGTGCTTCCCTGACCGCTCATATTCTCCAACACTAGCAAAAGAGAATGAAGCAAAATCAAATCATGTTTTTTCAAATGTAGCTGTGACATGTCATAAGGCATGTCAAAGTCAAGGCCCGGGAGCCAGATCCGGCCCGCAAGACAGTTTTTAGAGGCCGCTAAAAATTCCATCCATCCATCCATCTTCTACCCTTTAATCCATTTCTGGGTCAGGGGGGTGGCAGTCAGAGATGCCACCCAAGTCTCATAGCACCAGCTATGAGACTTGGGTGAAAATAGAAAATATATATTTTTACCGCTAAAAATTATTTGTTATTATTATTATTAACTAACAGCATTGATGGGCGACTAATAGCAGGTTATACACCATCTAATTTCTTTAATACACACTAATTTTAATGTATTCTAACAATTTTACCCAAACACACATAATTAGGAGTTAAATAGTACAATATAAAATGTGTTTAACTTTATATTTGATCCAGTTTTGGTTCAAGCTAAACAATAAACACATGTTGTACAAAATAACAGCTGAATAGACAAAAGTTTTGTCAACAACAAATCTATAACCAACACCTTTTTGATTTGAGAATCATAACAAGATCTTTTTTAGTTCTGCGCCACATGGTACTTTACCAGTGAGATTAGCTCGATGCAGTGAGTTCTGGCGCCTGGATCAGACTTTCTGATTGGTGAAACGGTGGAGGGCGGGACATCAAAACCAAAACAATAACACAATTTAGGGGCTGGAAAACTAATTTTGAAATCCAAATATCTCTGAACTACTGTTATCAGTTAAAGAAGTATTGGAAAAGAATGTTTTATCAATGCCTTTAGAAAGATTAGGGCCCTTTAACGATGACTTGACATGAAAACCTTACATATTGCTACTTTAATGTTACCGCTGGAGAAACCGACACGTGTAGTGCGACCGACCTGTGACCACAGCGGGTGTTTTCTGGTGAGCGTTGTTGATGGAGGTTGCGATTCTCTGCACACACTGCTCTGTGCTGATGGAGCCCAGAGAGGACCCAGGGTGGAAGTTATACAGACTCAGGCCCAGGCGGCTGCAGCGGCTCAGCTCCTCCACCAGCAGCACTCGGCTCTTCTCCAACACGTCTGCGTCAACAGGCCCAGAGAAGAGCGTCAGACTGGGCCACGTTCACATTTGTCTTGGTTCACTTTAACTGGAACCAGACTGGAATTGGTTCACATGGGGCAGAAATGCATAATTTGTCTGGTTCACTGTAACTGGGCCGATGTTGGTTCACTTATTTGTGGACGTAAAACTACCAAACAATGAGAGATACTGCAGGTCTTTCCTTCCTGCTGCTGTCAGACTGTACAACAAACAATGAGGACTAAAGAACACTGCCGACCTGACCTCACATGTCGTGCAATCATTTGTGCAATAGAACCACATGTGTCACTGTCACTTTAGCCCAGAGCCTAACGCTGCTAATGTACAGGTGTAAATATACTGCTGCTAATGTACAGATGCTAACATACTGTTGCTAATGTACAGATGCTAACATACTGCTGCTAATGTACCGATGCTAACATACTGCTGCTAATGTACAGATGCTAACATACTGCTGCTAATGTACAGGTGTAAACATACAACTATATATTAATTTCACTAAGATATACAGTATTTTGTATTTATACTGAGATTTTATACTTGCTTCTTTATTATGCTAAAGTTAGAAATTTTATTCTATTTTAGTTCAGAGTTATTTTAGTCCACTGTTCTAAAACTTGTGATGCAACACTGAAATTTCCCCTCTGTGGGACAAATAAATCTTAAGTAAACATGTTGGCCCTGTTGTAGTGGTTTTCCCTTGTCATTTACACAAAACTGTTTTCAGTGTGATTAATGCATGTTTGAGTTATTAATATGCTCAGATACTCAGAGCCACCATTGCTCTCCCCTCAGTCCTCTGACCATAGACACCAAACCAGTCCCTGGGGTTTATCTAATGATAATGCATCTGTTTTAGAGAGCGCTTTTTGGCCACTCAAAAACTCTTTACATGTTATTATTCTTTCACTCCAAACACGGTGGTGATAAACTACTGCTGTAGCCACAGCTGCCCTGGGGCACACTGACAGAAGCGAGGCAACCTGTCTGTGCCTTCGGCCCCTCCCACCACCACCAACCATTCACACACACACCAGACTCATTCTAATGTGGGTGAAGTGTCTTGCCTAAGAACACAACAGCAGTTTGGCACTTTACAGCCCCAGCCGCCCCACTGGGGCATCAGGTGTTCCCAGAGGTTAAGTGTCTTGCCCAAGGACACAACGACAGCAGACATCAGTGGGAGTCGGTGGAGAAAGTCTTGTGGTGGGCTCGAACCCACAACCTTCAGGCTCAAAGGCCAATGCTCTACCAAACTGAGCCACTGTCACCCCATCTAGGTTTCTTCAATTCAATCATTTTACCTAATTTTAAACAATTCATGAGTAACAAGACATAACTGCAGGTGAAAGCCATATCCTGGCAGACCTCGGAAGCTAGGCAGGGCAGGGTCTGGTTAATACTGTGATGGGAGACCTCAGGGAACACCAGGTGCCACAGTGGGGCGGCTGCGGCTGTAAAGTGCAAAACTGCTGTTGTGTCCTCAAGCAAGACACGTCACGCACATTAGAAACAAGTCTGGTGTGTGTTTGAATGGTTGGTGGTGGTGGGGGTGCCAATGGCACATACTAGTTGCCTTGTTTCATTCATTGTGCCCCAGGGCAGCTGTGGCTCCAGTAGTACTTATCACCACAGTGTATGGAGTGAAAACATAATGACACAAGAAGCGTCTCTTAGTATCAAAAAAGCACTGTAAAAAACCGCTGCATTATTATTTATTACTCCATAAAAAACAGAATCGGGTTATTTTTCTGTTTAACTAAATCAGACCTGATCCAGTGAAAGTGAACCGGACCCACAAGAGACAAATGAAACAACAATGGAATGGAACAAACACGACAAACCCTCCTTGGGCGAGCCACAGTTCATCAGGTAGGAGCCATGGGGCAGGATGTGAGCGGAGTCGAACCTATGACGAGAACATTGCTCCCGGAACTTGTCTGCCGCAGCTGGGTCCAGAGCAGGTCTCGTCCAGGACCTCTGCGAGCCCAAGAACAGAGCGAAACACCGGCCGTCCATGGCAACACAGGAGTCCACTGCCTTCCATATTCCATCTGCAACCAGAGAGCTTTGAGTAAAAGAAGATCAGATACATACAGGACACATACAGGACAGTAGCAAGAGACACAGGCAGACACAAAATATACAAAATAAGTAAGTAGCTGCTATGTTATGCTAATATGAGTAATAATATGCATTCCCACACATGGCAGTACCAAAAAACTAGAGTCAACACTTCAGATTTATCTTTAGTAATTAAGCAGTACTCGCTTTCTTTACTTTTTTGCACTTATTATATTGTTGTGGAATAATTTTGGAAACGGAAACTTTGATCATTGTTGATAAATCTTTGTAATATCCAGCCCCTACTGGTGGGAGCGTGCACAAAATGGCAACACAACAAAAAATGTACCCATGCAATCAAATCCATGTGACTTGTTCCTCGCTCTGGCTCTATCGCACATGTGCAAATGTGTGTGTTTTTGCGCTTCTGTCACATATTTACTGTAGATCTGCTTTTTCTGGTAGATGAATATAAAAAAAGCCTGAAGAGTCAAGTAGTCACTGACAGGACTCTCTCTGACAAAAGACGTTTTCTAATAAGATGAAGACAGCACATAATCTTTACTTGTATGAGATTCTTTCAGTTGGGGCAAACAAGGGGTTGTACAGTATGTATGAAAAAAGTTAGATAACCCAGCTTTAAAAGTACCAGGAATGAACTGAAAAGTGTCTCACGCAGTACCTTTAATGCTAACATGAGCCCCGATGTACTTTGAACCTCCACTGGCATGGCTTCTTCGGGGCTGCTTTTCCAGAGTCTCCCCCTCTTCTTCAGCAGATTCTTCAGTTTTTGTCCTTCTTGTTGCTCTTCTTTTGGGAGCCATGGCGTCGCTGCTTCTCTGTGTAAGAAACAAGTTTATATAGACCAGGTGTCTCCAACCTATTTCACCCAGAGAGCTACTTTCCCGGGACGATAAAGGCAGCGAGTTACACCGAATACGGTGATATTTTGGAGTGAACGAGCCTGACATTGGGTAAATTCATCATTCAGCATCGCACATGTGTCACTAGTTTGCGAAGTGAGTTTGCGTTTACAATAATACATAATGATAACAAATAATACAATCTGAAATAGTGGCAAAAGTGGCTCAGTGGGTAGAGAATCGGATCTTTGAACCTAATGGTCATTGGTTCGATCCCCCCACAACCCATGTCGTCTGCTGTTGTTGTGTCCCTGGGAAAGACACTCAACCCCGCTTTGTCTGAAGCCCTCTCTGAAAGATAGGAAGCTAAGCAAGGGACTGGTGTGTGTTGAAACTTGGGTGACAGCAACAAATGTGACCTTGTTGAGAATATTTACCTCCACGACGTTTTTGAATTGTCATAGGATTAGAATTTGACTTATCAAAAGTACATGGGAGCTGGAGGACTCTGTCAATACGCCATCTTGATATACAGTGGTTGATAAGGGACAAAAAGGAGGATGACCGGGAGTTGGGGACCACTGTCAAAAACGACATTTTGTACTTCAAAACTACCATAGTATCAAAGATTGCAATACATGATCTCAATGCTAGATAGGAGTAAATACTACAGTGAACCTCACTGACTGCCAGGCATAGATTTCTGCCCGTGCTTTCAGGTGATTTGACCCAACTTTGAAGTGCCACAGAATATTCATTTTTTTAGACTATGTAAAACCAAGGGCACCAAATTAAAGATTAACCTCTCTGCTTTACTCTGAAAAAAACAAAATTCGACATAGAACATAGCATACTTTCACCCATAACACCAGGTCTGACCAAAAAAAACAGAAAACAAGCCGTTTGTGAAAAGTAACATATGAAGCAGAAAAGAGACTTTTAGGTGCATTTTTGCTGCTTTAATGACAACTCAAACATCTAATCTTCCATTATAAAAAAAATTACAAAAATGACTCTGAATTAATACTTTTGATTACAAATTGTTGGCAATTTATTCATAGATAAAAAATTAAACTTTCTTCTATACCATCAACCAAAACGTCAAACAACAACAACACAAAGATCAATAAAACTATAAATGTATAAAATAGAATGAAGCGTGTGAATTTGAGTGTGTGTGTGAGTGAGTGTGTGTGTGTGCGTGTCTCTGCGTGTGAGTGAGTGTGTACGTGTGAGTGTGTGCGTTTGAGTGAGTGTGTGTCTGCTTTTTCAGTCCTCCCAGTAGATCAGCGTTGAGTGGTAGAGGTTGAAACACTCTCCTGTGTGTAACAGAACACGACACGCTGTGCACCACTTGTTGGTCTCCCTGCGAAAACCCCTGCGTGTACAGACCCGGCATCTTCTGGTCGGTCTCTCCTTCTTGCTAGTGGCCATCAGGTGTTCCATCTTATGCCTTTTTAGTTGCCCATCCAGCCGGCTCTCTGGGTCAACCATAGGAGCCCTGGGGTTGTGCGTGCCCAAGACAGCCCCCACAACAGCAGCACTCTCCTCAGCTCTTTCTCCCTCCTCCTGCCTCCTTGACATCCAGGATCTTGCCACACTCTTCAAGAACTGCAAGAGGTGTCTGCACTCTCCTTTCAGGTGTCTGGCTCGATAGAGGACAAAAGCATTAAACATGGCCAGCTGGAACAAATAGGCCACACATTTTTTGGACCAATTTGTGGACCGTCTGATGAAGGGGTAGTAGGCCACGTTTTGGTCCAACTTATCCACTCCATTCATGCACTTGTTGTACTCCACAACACCCTGGCTTCCACTGTGGCACCTTCTGATTCTCCCCCTTCTGCCACACTTCCACCTTCTCCATAGTGTTATGGTGACAGGTCGTCACCAGTCTCTTATCCTGCCACGCCACCACCATCACCTTCCCGTTGTGTCTCACAATCCTCTCTCCAACTTGAGTTTTTGTGACCTCTTTTATTATTTTTGGTTCACCTCGATTTTTCCTCAGTGTTCCACACACATTTGTTTTCTTCGCCAGTAAATGTTCACTGAGGGAAACAGTTATAAAAGTTGTCCATAAAAAGTGTGTGTCCTTGGCCTTGGAGACGACCCAGAAGAGAGAAGACAGTGTCCTCCAGTGTGGAGCTTGTCCCGACATAAGGAAGCATGTTGTGGCAGTAGCCTGTGGCCGAGTCACACAGAATGTAGGACTTTATCCCATATTTCACTGGCTTTTGAGGGTTGTAGACCCTAAAAGCCAGACGCCCCCGCCACAGCATCATTCCCTCATCTATGCAAATGTTTTTTCCCTGGAGTGTACAATTCTTTGAATTCAGTGACCAGGTAATCCAAAACAGGGCAGACTTTGAACATTTTGTCACCTACATCCTGTGACTCATTGTTGTTGTAATGCAGGAACCTCCAGATGAGCTGGTACCTGTTCCTCGACATTACTTGTGCAAAATATGGTGTAGCTTCAAACTCATCCATAGACCAGTATGATTCAATGCTTGGCTTTTTGATGAACCCAGTGAGGAAACTGAGCCCCAAGAACATTTTGAGTTCAGGGACTGAGAGCTCTTTCCACCTGTTACTCCTGCTGTAGGGCAAAGGCTCAGTGTTCGTCTCTAAATACTGGCTGGCATAGAGGTTCGTCTGGTCCACGGTGTGTTGGAGCAGTTCCTCCGTCAGGAAGAGCTCCAGAAAGTCAGCTGGATCAGACGAATCCAGCTCTGCAGCAGGTCCCTGAGGTCCAGGAGCTCCTGTGAAGGGCAACTGACTCTGCTCCCACTCATCCTCCTGCCAGCCATCTTCCCCAGAGCCTCTGCGTGATGCACGGGCTGCAAAGTGAATACATACATTTACTATATTATACAGTGAATTTGTTACAATAATCAATACATAAAATACAATGAAGGCCTTCCTCCCACATTATCGACTGACTACTTTTGGACCAAAACAATAGTTGTATGAATGCATGAATGAATGAATTATTGTTGTACATTCATTCATGTATGAATGAATATTGTACAAAAAAATATATATATACAATATTAACATAACATATACTAATAGTATAGTATACTATATTATTATATTATATTGCCATGGGATGTGCAAGAATAGAAATAGTAGTTCCTTTACCTTTTTTTGCACAGGAACTGCCTCTTGATGCACCACCTGTAAATAAGATAAACTTGTATATCACTATACCAGGAGAATATATACAAAAATAATATGTACAATGGTATGAGGAGGAATTATCTTTACCTCTGCTCCTTGCCCTGTCAACCCCAATGGGGGAGGGCTCTTTTATCAGAATCTGTGAATGGAGAACACATTTCATTTAGTCAGAGCTATGGCACTACAACAAGATGTTCAAGTAAGAAATAACGAAACATATAAATAATAAATACAACAATGATAAAACGCATTACTGGCATGTACTAAAGAAGCAGTAGATTTGAGCGCTGTGTTACTTTGAAGATCAAAGCAAGTTTCCGCACCTTTCCCTCCTTTCAAGTTAGAATACTCTAGGTCAGTGTCTCCCAAAGTGGGGTCCGCGGCCCCCTGGTGGGCCGCGAGGGTACTGCAGGGGGGCCGCGGGAGGTCAAAAAAAAAAAAATATAATTATTTAATGTTAAATTTATAATGTTTTGTTTGTAATATTAAAATATTTGTGTTCATTATTTGACTTGAATAATCCACTGTAATCATTTTTGTATTACAATGTTTGTAGCAGAGGCTATTTCCCCAAAATAAAATAACCAGAAGAGCCGATTCTTAATGTTGTCTTCTTGGTTATTATTTTGGGGGGCCACGCAGACCCGTCAGATTTTTAAGGGGGCCTCGGTGTTACTGAGTTTGGGAATGGCTGCTCTAGGTAACTTAGCAAGGACTTACCTTCAGCTCTTTCTGGAGCTTCTGGAGAGGATGCTCTGCTGGATTGAGACTGCAACCACTCATCCGATGAGTCAGGATCAGGTTCGCTGAAGTCATCCGAGTCCTCAGACAAGGCAGCAGGTGAAACACTGCGAGAGGAGACAGGTGTGTCCCCGCTCCTCGCAAAGTTGGCTGCAGAGACGGACTTTCACCGGGGTCTACACTCTCTCCCCTCTCGACCTCACCCACTGATTCGCGAGTCAAACTCTCAAGCAGTGTCAACTGCTTATAACTATTCTTTTCCGCCATCACTCTTGCTATACTATCGCTAAACTATATCGCTGATCTGTCTCAATACTACGCTACTATCTCTGGCTCTGCTACATAATAGATCCATGCACTCACCACCGTTATTATTATAGATCCATGCACTCACCACGCTCCTCCTCCTCTCCACTGACCTTTGACCCCACCTGTGGCGCATTACCGCATCCTACTGGTGTTGATTGATCATTACTAGTACATTTTGTACTATGTACTCTGTATCAGTATTGTGGCTCCTCCACAAGGTGCGCCAGACATTACTATAGCCTCCGGTGTGATAACCATAGAGTGTAAATAGTAATAACGTGAAACCCTCGTCAAACCCGTCATGGGCAGTGGGCGTTACTGTAAAACAGAACGAGTTTTGACGTCATGGGCAGCCAATGAGCATATTATTTGATTTGCTTATTTCTAAATCCTGGCGAGCTACAGGTTGGAGTCCCCTGCCCTGATGTAGACTTTACTAAACAGTCTGACGGCCCAAGATGACAGCCTGGAGCCAGTGAAGGTCAGGCGCCCAGGTCTCCCTCCCCGCAGCAGGGAGCAGGCACGGCGCACACGCAGCTGCAGCAGGGAGCACGCACGGCGCACACGCAGCTGCAGCAGGGAGCAGGCACGGCGCACACGCAGCTGCAGCAGGGAGCAGGCACGGCGCACACGCAGCTGCAGCAGGGAGCAGGCACGGCGCACACGCAGCTGCAGCAGGGAGCAGGCACGGCGCACACGCAGCTGCAGCAGGGAGCACGCACGGCGCACACGCAGCTGCAGCAGGGAGCACGCACGGCGCACACGCAGCTGCAGCAGGGAGCAGGCACGGCGCACACGCAGCTGCAGCAGGGAGCAGGCACGGCGCACACGCAGCTGCAGCAGGGAGCACGCACGGCGCACACGCAGCTGCAGCAGGGAGCAGGCACGGCGCACACGCAGCTGCAGCAGGGAGCACGCACGGCGCACACGCAGCTGCAGCAGGGAGCACGCACGGCGCACACGCAGCTGCAGCAGGGAGCACGCACGGCGCACACGCAGCTGCAGCAGGGAGCAGGCACGGCGCACACGCAGCTGCAGCAGGGAGCAGGCACGGCTCACACGCAGCTGCAGCAGGGAGCACGCACGGCGCACACGCAGCTGCAGCAGGGAGCACGCACGGCGCACACGCAGCTGCAGCAGGGAGCAGGCACGGCGCACACGCAGCTGCAGCAGGGAGCACGCACGGCGCACACGCAGCTGCAGCAGGGAGCAGGCACGGCGCACACGCAGCTGCAGCAGGGAGCAGGCACGGCGCACACGCAGCTGCAGCAGGGAGCAGGCACGGCGCACACGCAGCTGCAGCAGGGAGCAGGCACGGCGCACACGCAGCTGCAGCAGGGAGCACGCACGGCGCACACGCAGCTGCAGCAGGGAGCACGCACGGCGCACACGCAGCTGCAGCAGGGAGCAGGCACGGCGCACACGCAGCTGCAGCAGGGAGCAGGCACGGCGCACACGCAGCTGCAGCAGGGAGCACGCACGGCGCACACGCAGCTGCAGCAGGGAGCACGCACGCGCGCACACGCAGCTGCAGCAGGGAGCAGGCACGGCGCACACGCAGCTGCAGCAGGGAGCACGCACGGCGCACACGCAGCTGCAGCAGGGAGCAGGCACGGCGCACACGCAGCTGCAGCAGGGAGCAGGCACGGCGCACACGCAGCTGCAGCAGGGAGCAGGCACGGCGCACACGCAGCTGCAGCAGGGAGCAGGCACGGCGCACACGCAGCTGCAGCAGGGAGCAGGCACGGCGCACACGCAGCTGCAGCAGGGAGCACGCACGGCGCACACGCAGCTGCAGCAGGGAGCACGCACGGCGCACACGCAGCTGCAGCAGGGAGCAGCACGGCGCACACGCAGCTGCAGCAGGGAGCAGGCACGGCGCACACGCAGCTGCAGCAGGGAGCACGCACGGCGCACACGCAGCTGCAGCAGGGAGCACGCACGGCGCACACGCAGCTGCAGCAGGGAGCAGGCACGGCGCACACGCAGCTGCAGCAGGGAGCACGCACGGCGCACACGCAGCTGCAGCAGGGAGCAGGCCGGCGCACACGCAGCTGCAGCAGGGAGCAGGCACGGCGCACACGCAGCTGCAGCAGGGAGCAGGCACGGCGCACACGCAGCTGCAGCAGGGAGCAGGCACGGCGCACACGCAGCTGCAGCAGGGAGCAGGCACGGCGCACACGCAGCTGCAGCAGGGAGCAGGCACGGCGCACACGCAGCTGCAGCAGGGAGCAGGCACGGCGCACACGCAGCTGCAGCAGGGAGCAGGCACGGCGCACACGCAGCTGCAGCAGGGAGCAGGCACGGCGCACACGCAGCTGCAGCAGGGAGCACGCACGGCGCACACGCAGCTGCAGCAGGGAGCACGCACGGCGCACACGCAGCTGCAGCAGGGAGCAGGCACGGCGCACACGCAGCTGCAGCAGGGAGCAGGCACGGCGCACACGCAGCTGCAGCAGGGAGCACGCACGGCGCACACGCAGCTGCAGCAGGGAGCAGGCACGGCGCACACGCAGCTGCAGCAGGGAGCAGGCACGGCGCACACGCAGCGCGGGCAGCACGGCGCACACGCAGCTGCAGCAGGAGCAGGCACGGCGCACACGCAGCTGCAGCAGGGAGCAGGCACGGCGCACACGCAGCTGCAGCAGGGAGCACGCACGGCGCACACGCAGCTGCAGCCATTGGGGACACAGCAGCATCACGAGCAGCAAAATGGCCGCGCGTCTAAAGACTGACTCCACAGCGCTTTGAAATTTACATTTTTCTGCACATTAGGGTTTACACTATCACAACGTTAGTACTTATTTACGAACCTGTAGCTGGACGTGGATGTGTGGAACTTTGCATCGCCTGCTACTTGATCCTCGGCTCTGGCTTCGCTGCTCGTTTAGCCTCGAATGCCTCAAAACGCCGTAAATCGCACTGAAGCACTTTAGCCGGGCTAGCTACATGCTAGCTCCTCTTCATATGTGATTCTTGAGGTGAGTAGCTTGTTGCACGTCTGAGTTTTATACCTTTCCCAAGCATAACCCGGCAACGTTTTCCTATTCAGTTGTGGGTGTTGGGTGTTGTTTGCAGATTTAGCCAAAGCTAGCGTTTCTCGGCTGTCAGAAACTTAGCCACCCTTGCTAACACTTAGCATTAGTAAGTTGTGCTGCCCTTTCCACGATTAAGTTAAGGTAGATGTCTGCAATACGTTTGGTCGCATATGTTGTTAAAGCTTATCGATGTTGTTAGTACGTTATAGTAAATCAAATGGTTAGCCCTTGAAAGTATAATGCTAACCATCCAAGCTAGCTACTTGTATTTTTAAATAATCCCAACTAATGCATATGACCCTGTGTCGTTTATGTGACGGTGTTGCATGGTTGTTATAGAATCTTACCTTTTTATAATTCTTGTTTTTTACACTAAATGGGAAAGCACGTACATTGCCTGCGCGAAAAACGAAACTCAGCCTGATCTCTCTGGGACAGTGACTTTACAGCTAAGGCAGTACGTGCGCCTCGTCTAGCCCACATCTGTGCTGTACTCGAAGATCTGACACATTACTGTTACCACTTATGTAGATTTTCTTTAAACTATGATCTGTGTTAGTGGTCACTAAACCTGTGATTGGTCTGTTATCGCCCACAGTCACAATTTTTGCTACAACCTGATCTCGACTAATCATTTATCAAATAAGTGTTCAGCTTCATTTTTACATGGGTTCTGGCTGCATAGCTCCTGCATTGTTTCTGTCTTTTCATGTGTTTTCCTGTTTTTGAAATATATTATGCATTTCATTTTTGATTTAGCGCATTGTTAATCAATCAAGAACTAATGAAATCTTGTGTTTGTTCTTGTTAATTTGCTGCTTTAGAAGAAAGTACGTTGGGACAGGAGCAGTAGTTCATGGAAGACAAGAAAAGGAAAAAAGACGACAAACGGAAAAGGGAAACCTCTCAGAAGGTACTTTCGATCAAAAACTGTTTTACTTCTGTAGATTACTTCAAATAATGTATTTATGTGATGGAATATTAACCAATGTTTTACTATGTTTAGGTTGTAGATCAAAAAAACAAAGGTGAGATTGGGGCTGGTATATCATTTTCAAAATATTTGTAAACTTGCTCTGGATTACACTGTAACCTCATCTGTCTGTTATCCAGTGCCAGACCTGACTAAGCCCACGTCTGCTCAGTCTCCTGCCACTCAGAGCAGCTCTGCCTCGCCTAGCCCTGGACCCACCCCATCTGCATCACCTTTACCGGGCACCCCGGGCTCTGGTAGTGCTGCCCCCTCACAGGGTGGCAACAATGCCAAACGCCTGCTGGTGGCCAACGGACAGCCCGCCTCCACCTCCAGTTCTTCCTCCACCACAGGCGGCCTCAGCGCCACAGGAAACGGCACCTCGAGTAGCGGAAGTGGTGCCCAAACTCCTCAGCAACAACCGCGCTACATGCCGAGAGAAGTGCCGCCGCGATTCCGCTGCCAGCAGGACCATAAAGTGCTACTGAAGAGGGGTCAGCCGCCATTGTCCTCTATGCTGCTGGGAGGCGGTGGAGGCGATAGCCCTATTGCAAACTTAGCTGTTTCAGGTACTACTTATTCATTGTCGTAACCTAATGGTTTATTATTGTTTTTGTTCTTAACTTGATTATTGATTTAATGCTTATATTCTCTTCATTTTCTAGATTCTGGCGCAGCTGTCTCCTCATTAGCTCTCACCTCATCATCAGTTGCTGCTTCTACAACTACTACTTCTAATTATGCAAATTCCATGTGGGGGGTGAGCTCAGGCAGCCAGGCCTCCTCTCAGGGCAGGGAGAAGGTCATTGTTGATGGGAATGATCTGGAGGAGTGGCCAAGCATCGCTGGCAGTGAAGGAGGTGGTAGCGGCGGCGGCAGCAGCAACAACAACAACAACGGGATGTCTGTGAACAGCACTAGTGCCTCTGGCAATCAGCCCTCACCCACTTCCTCTCTCTCTTTGCCCAATGAATGTATGCAGTCGTCCAGTGGCGTGGCATGGGGGACGGCTGCCTCCCAGGGTCATCTTGGAGGAGGGAGCACAGTCGCTGTGTCTGGTTCCTCCTCTCTTTCCAAAGCTTCCACTGTGCCAGGGAGCCATGATGCCAGTGGCCCCATGGAGGGCAGTAGTGGAATTCCAGGTGCCAATTTAAATCCAAATGCCAACCCTTCAGCCTGGCCTGCCCTGGTGCAGCAGGACGGGCCCGCTGCTTCAGGAGAAGGAGGTCCGTCTTCCTTCAGTCACCAGGGCCCTGGAGGCCCCATGTCTGCCAACAACTCTGCTCCTCTGGGTCTTGGAGCTGGGGCCCTTGGGATGCTGGGGGGTCCTTCACCTTTACCTGTGAATCAATCAAATGCCCATCAGCATCAACTTCACCAAATGCAATCTCGAGATGGAAAGTGGGATAGTGAATTAACGGGACCAAATACAGCAGGAGAAGGGGCTGGAGGGGTCATGGAGCGCAGTGGCATCGGAGGAGACCACAACCTTGGTTCTTCTTGGAGAAGCCAACCTTCTTTTTCTGCATCCAACTCCAAAGCGGGTGCCGCAAGGACTGATGGATGGGACACTGGGAGTGGCGCAGGGATGCTCGTAGCTGCTGAGGGGGATAATGGAACCTCTGGTTGGGGTTACCCAGGTTCAACAAGTGGGGCTAATGCCTGGGGGAATGTTGGTGGAAATGTGAGTCAGACCTCTGGGGTATCTCAGGGAGGCTGGGGGTCAGAGAGAGAAGTGCCCAGCAGTGAGTGGGGGGGTGGAGAGGTGAAGGGTGCCAGTAGCAACAGTGGAGTCTGTACTTCTGGCAACCCAGCAGCCTCTGCTTCATCTCAGTCTACTATGAGTAGAGCTTGGGACAATCAGAAGGGAGGCGGTGAATCAGGGGAGTGGGTGGGGGGAGAGGACGCACAGGGGGGATCTTCATCCAGTGGTGGTAACTCCAGATCTGGGAGTGGACCTAACAGCAGTCAAACTCGTTCTCGCCGCCCGGCACCAAATGCTGAAGCTGCCTTACAGAACCTACTCAACCGCCCAGATTTGGACCCGCGGGTGCTATCAAATACAGGCTGGGGACAAACGCAAATCAGACAAAACACAACCTGGGACGTTGATGATCGTGGACAAAGTAAGGTTGGATCAAAGCCCATCCCTTCTGGTGGTGTTTCTTCTCAGTTTCCTGGGCCCAGGTCAACCGTCAGTGAATCTATGGTTTCTTCTGCTGGTTCCTCTGGAGAGGGCTGGGAGAGCAGCAGCAACAGTAGCAGTAGTGGAGCCTCTGTCTCTGGGAGAGCCCCACACACATCTGGCCCAAACATAAGAAATGTTAACATGTCACAATCTGGGCCAGCGTCTTCAGGGCCTACTGTAGGCTCTGGGGTCGTGTCAGGACCAACCCAGCAGGGTACGGCTACAGGCTGGGGGAGAGCAGGGCCAGGGGAGAGCCAAGAAGCCAAAGGGTGGGGAAATGAAGAGTGGAGAGATACCAGACCGGGAAATGGAGGAGGATGGGGTGATCTTGGTCAACAGGGTGAGCCATCGGGGGGCGGTGGCTGGGGAGAAAGTCAGGAGGAAAAAGGGACAGGTGGTTGGAAAGAGCTGGGAGGGGATGCACGTGACAGTGGGTGGGGATCGGGGCAAAAAGCAAGGCCAAGTAGAGACTGGGGGGAGCAAGAACGCAAACCAAACGGAGGTGGATGGGAGGGTGAGAGGAAAAATGGGCCAGGAAACTCAGGTGGGGATGCGGGTGGGGGTGGTTGGGGAAGCTGGGATGAAGGCGCCCCCAGAAGAACTTGGGGAACAGGTGGGACCGGTAGTGGAGGTAGTGCTGGAAGTGGAATGGGAGTCATAGGTTCCAAATCGCATCAAGGTTGGAGTGGAGGAAACAAAATGCATCAAATGCCAAACAGCCAGTCGGGCCCAGTCACAGGCCCACAGGCACAACTGCAACAGCAACAATCACAGCCCCGCAATCAGCACCCTCAGCAAGCATTGGACCAAGGGGTTATGCAAGGGACTATGGGGCGCAAACCCATGCCCCCAGCCCAGAACCAAAGCTCAGGCTGGGCTTCAGGTCCCATTCCTACTGGTTCAGCAGGAAGTGGTCCTGAACCCAGTGGTTGGGAGGAACCATCTCCACAGTCCATCAGCAGAAAGAGTGACATTGATGATGGAACATCAGCTTGGGGAGACCCAACTAATTATAACTATAAACCGGTCAACCGGTGGGAAAAGAACAATCCTCCAAATGGCCCACAGTCTCAAAATCAAGGTCAGACTTTGCATCAGCCACAAGGACCAACAGGCCAGCAGCAGCCAAACAGACAGCCCTCAGCACTTGGTGGCAACTTAAGCACTGCCCATGGGCCTGGAAAAGCTCCTGCTTTAGGTAAGTTATTATCACACTGTAAACCGCTGGGGATTCACAAAACCCTTATTCTCTTACCGGCCTAAAACTGGTGTCATAAATGTTTTCTTGTGTTGTTTATTGATTTTTCAGGTCCTTCAGGTTGGGGGGGCACTTCTCCTACGAGCCCAACAGTTGATAATGGCACGGCAGCTTGGGGAAAGTCTACTGATGCTCCCACTGGTTGGGGCGAATCAGATGATGTTGGTGGGAAGACAACAGGATGGGGGAGTTCCTCTCCAAACCCTATTAAATCTGGTAAAGAACATATAAGAGCACTTATATATATGGTGATTATACTCTCTTTAATTCAATATTCACCTCTGTTTACCGTCAGGGTCAAAGTCTATGCAAGATGGCTGGGGAGACAAAGAGGGCTCTATGGCAGCCTCACGTCACTCAAGTTGGGAGGAGGAGGAGGAAGGAGGCGGCATGTGGAACAGCACCGGCTCCCAGGGGAGTGGCTCCTCTTGGGGTCAAGGAAGTAATGCAGGCTGGGGACAAAATCACCCTGGGAAGAAGCCCAATAACAAAGTAAGAGAAATAGAATTGAATGACCTATCCATTTAATCAACTGTGTGAGTTGTCTCTGGTACAATGGTTTTGTCTTCAATGATTTGTTTATTTAGATTAAAATGCACGTTGTGGTTGTTTTAGTACATAATGCACATCATGTTAAAATCAATCTAATCAATCTTATATATACTTGTTGCAGCTTAAGAGGAGCCCCGTTAAGACTAATGTTTTGGTTAGAAACCCCATCATCCTATGCAGTACATAATGTGATCTGTGTTCGCAGGGTCCATTAAAGTCTGGAGACTCATGGCTGGGTCCCATCAATAGACAATTTTCAAATATGGGAATGCTGGTGAGACCCGTTAATATCAATAGAGAAGCTTCTTTCTTTAATGTATTCTCTATTCCTAAATGCATTTGCTTGTTTGTACTGGACAGAATGATGATCCTGGTGGTTCACCTATGGATATGGGCCCTAATTCCCTGCTGGACAAAAAGATGGAAGCAGAGAAAAGGGGCATGATGAATGATTACAATGGGGACATGAGGAAAGCTGTAAGAGGAGGAGTAGGAATGGGTTACCGTCCGTCTGGGGTCAAGGATGCTGCACCTGGAGATCCTGCGTTCTATGATAAGGTACAACATCTTTTTACACTACTATTATAATTAACATTCTGCTGTGTTTATCACGTCTGGGTTCCATCGGGTTCCCCCATTTTCTGCAAACATCTTAACTCGCACATAAGATCCTGTTTTTATTTTATTGTAATCCCCTTGGCATTTGAGTAGATTGTTATTTCAATAATACTTTTAAGTTATTTTGTCTGCGCTTTATTTAATTTCTGGTCATGGTTTGCTGGTATCAGGGTAACCAGGGTATCTTTGGAAATGTTGGCGGGATGCCTCAATCAAGACACCAGCCAAGTGTCCCTCCCATGAACCAGTCCCCGGGGATCCGAGCACAAGTGCCTCATCAGTTCTTGTCGCCTCAGGTATTTTGAGTTGTTTTTTTTAAGTGATGGATTATCATGCAAGTGTTGGCAAAGAACGGCCCAGTGTTTATGGTTTGTCTCGCCGTGAATGCAGCAGTGCGTTTCTGTGGTAACAGGTGTTGTGTCTCTCAGGTGCCAGGCTCTGTGCTGAAGCAGATGCCCCCTCCCAGTGGAGGCGTAGGGGGTGTCGGCTCTGTGGGAGGAGTGGCTGGTGTTGGGGGAGGTGTGTTTCCTCCTCAACTGTCCCCACAGCATATTGCCATGCTTGGCAGCATCTACCCCCCTCACATCCAGTTTCAGCTGGTGAGTAGCTGCACGAGTACTAGAGCTGTCTGAGAACGCCACGTTTTCCTCATTTTTCTGTTTTGTTCAATCTTGTTTGTTCAGGCCTGTCAGCTCCTCCTCCAGCAGCAGCCACAGCAGCAGCAGCAACAGCAGCAGCTTCTGCAGAACCAGAGGAAATTCTCTCCCAATGTGCGGCAGCAGGCAGATCCTCAGCAGGTCTCAATTAATTCACACTGCATAAATTATTATATTACATTCTATCGTTTTTAACATTGAACAACACATTTAGCTTGCGAGGATTATGGCGGTGCTCCAACAGCAAAGGCAGCAGCAGCAGGTTGGGGGTTTGGTCGGAGGCTCCAAACTGTCTCCTTCACACCACACTGTAGGAGGAGTGGGTCCTAAAATGCCTGGAGCCGATGCCCTGTCCCACTCAGGACTGCCTGGATCTGTAGCTGATTTACAACAGAAACCACATGGGCCATACTCTGGTCAGTACCATCTTTCTCTTTGTGATGTTTCTTATTACAGTGTTGAAAAGGAATAATTGTATGATTAAATGTTGCAGGCTTTAGTTCTGGGATGAACTTCTCAGGTCTGGACCTGGGCAGCTCCGTTATTGGGGGGCAAGGGCCCATGAAGGACTTTAGTGGACAGCAATCGCGTTTCAAATGGATGATGGAAGGCCAGTCGTCACCAGACTCATCTCATGCCGATAATGCATTCCACAAAAATGGTGAGTACCAGATTAATGGTTTAAACTGTATCATTGTGACTGATCATTCCATCTCTCAGGTCCTGTGACTCCCATGAAAATGCCTGGGGGCTCGCCCTATTCGCAGTATGACATGATGGTAGGAGACGGGCTCAGTGATAACTGGCATCGCACACCTGGGAACAAAATGGGGGCCAAGCCGACTGCTGCACCCAGCTGGCCTCCAGGTTTGAACTATATTTATATATAAAGCTTAACTGTTGTTTCCCTAAACTAATGAGGACAAACGAGTGCTGACCTGACCTCACATGTCGTGTGTCTGTGCAAGAATAATCTGAATCATCTCAGAATGTGCAATATAGAACCATATGTGTCACTGTGTCCCAGACCCTCATGCTGCTAACATGTACAGATGTAAACATACTATATCCATCCATCCATTTTCTTCCCCTTAATCCATTTCTGGGTCGGGGGGGTGGCCAGAGATGCCACCCAGTCCACAGAGCACCAGCCCCTCACTGATCAGGCAAAGTGGGGTTAAGTGTCTTGCCTAAGGACACAACGACAGCAGTCATCAGTGGGAGTCGTGAAGTAGGTCTTACGGTGGGCTTGAACCCACGACCTTCAGGCTCAAAGGCCAATGCTCTACCAACTGAGCTACTGTCGCCCCCATACTATATATTTATATTTCTTTCACTAATATATACAATATTCTATTCTTGCGTCTTTATTTTGCTAAAGATAGATTTTATGTCTAGTTAGAGTTATTGTTTGTTTATCTTGTGCTGTGTGCTCCTCATTCCTACTGTTCTGTAACTTGTGATGCAACAACACTGACATTTTCTTAATCTTAATGCACCCGTCTCTTCAGAATTCCAGCCTGGTGTGCCTTGGAAGGGAATTGACCGCGTCGACCCTGATACAGATCCGTACCTTACGCCAGCGATGATGGGAAACTCCGTGTCTCCCGGTCTCAACGACAGTGAGCACCAGTTGTTGGACAATAATGGTGAGGGTCCTTTTGTGTCTGTCGTTACATGACTTACAGTTGTGTGCGAAAGTCAGGGCACCCCTTTAAAAACAGCATATTGTATATATTTAAAAATTTATATTCATATTTACTGTCTCTCTGGTATATGGGAAAAAAGACAATATTGTCAGGAAACATTAATGCATAGTTACATTTTATTTTATAAATTGAACAAAATTTAAAAAATTAAAAACATAATTTTGGCATGTGCAAAAGTCGGGGCACCCTGAGAGTTTCAAAGTGTCAGATTCTTTTTACAAGCTCAGACCTCTACCAGCTCATTGGTCCTGAAGCATGTGTCAACAATTGTCATTAGGGAGTGCCAGCTGGTGCCAATTTGAGGGTTTCTTAAATACGGAGACTCCACAAACCTTGTACAAACACTCAGCAACCATGGGTTCCTCTAAGAAGCTGTGTAAGACAGAAAAAATGAAAGTAATTGATGCCCACAATGCCGGGGAGGGCTACAAGAAGATAGCAAAGCGTTTTCAGCTTGCAGTTTCCACAGTGCGAGGCATAATTAAGAGATGGCAGGTGAGGGGAACTGTGGAGGTCAAGAAGAGATCTGGAAGACCAAGGAAACTCTCGGAGAGAACAGCCTGTAGTCTGGTCAGAAAGGTAAACCAAAACCCACATTTGACTTCAAAAGACCTCCAGGAAGATTTAGCAGACTCAGGAGTGGTGGTGCACCCTTCCACTGTGCGCCGATACTTGCACAAACAAGACCTTCATGGAAGAGTCTGCAGAAAAAAACCTTATCTACGACCTCATAATAAAATACAACGTCAAAAATATGCAACAGAACATCTACAGAAGCCTGATGACTTTTGGAAACAAGTGCTGTGGACTGATGAAGTTAAAATAGAACTCTTTGGCCACAATAAGCAAAGGTATGTTTGGAGAAAAAAAGGAGCAGCATTTCATGAAAAGAACACCTTGCCAACTGTTAAATATGGGGGTGGATCCATCATGCTTTGGGGTTGTGTTGCAGCCAGTGGGACAGGAAACATTGCTCGGGTGGAGGGAAGAATGGATTCAATTAAATACCAGCAAATTCTGGAGGCAAATATCACAGCATCTGTAAAAAAGCTAAAGCTGAAAAAAGGATGGTTTCTACAACAGGATAATGATCCTAAACATACCTCCAAATCCACCATGGACTACCTCAAGAAACGCAAGCTGAAGGTTTTGGAATGGCCTTCACAGTCTCCCGACTTAAACATCATCGAAAATCTGTGGGTAGATCTTAAAAGTGCTGTGCATGCAAGACGTCCTAAGAATATTGCAGAACTGGAAGCCTTTTGCAAGGAAGAATGGGGAAAAATCCCAAATAATAGAATCCAGAAACTTGTTGTTGGCTATAAAAAGCGTTTACAAGCTGTGATATCTGCCAGAGGGGGTGTTACTAAGTACTGAAGGTACTGATGCTGTAGAGTGCCCCGACTTTTGCACATGCCAAAATTATGTTTTTAATTTTTGTAATTTTGTTCAATTTATAAAATAAAATGTAACATTGCATTAATGCATTAAATGCATTAATGTTTCCTGACAATATTATCTTTTTTTCCCATATACCAGAGAGACAGTAAATATGAATATACATTTTTAAATATATAAAATATGCTGTTTTTAAAGGGGTGCCCTGACTTTCGCACACAACTGTATATTGACATACTTGAGTTTTCTTAGCGTGGTTCTCTTTGATGTGTTCTGCAGATTCCACTCCACCCCTGAACACCTTGCTGCCTTCACCTGGTGCCTGGCCTTTCAGTGCCTCAGACAGCCCTCTCTCAAACGCACACAACTCGGGTAATCACCACCAGGGACCAACAACACAGGCTCTGGTACAAAAGAGCAAATGATGATCTTGATTTCTTTTATTTTTAGGAAAGTACACTGACTTCAAGACCAGCTGGCCTCCAGAACCCATCGGACACAAATCGTGGAAAGCTAATCGTGGGGGCGGCCAGAACTTGCTGTCCCGACCTCCTCCGGGGCTTGCCAGTCAGAAGCAGCCCTCCCCCTCCCCATGGTTAGGTGGAGCCCCGCGTTTGGCTGGAAGGGGCTGGAGCAATGGTTCAGGCACAACTGGTAAACCATATTGACTTGTTTTGTATGTGTAATCAGCAAGATATTATTAAATCTTTAAAATATTCCATCTTAAAGCAGTGGCTTTTACAAAGGTGATTGGTTCTGTACAAAGCAGAATGTCATTGTTTGTTTTATTTTAATTATAGTCACAACCTGGAGCGATGGAAACCCTCGGGAAAGTTGTTGGTTAGTGCTGAGCAATCTCACTCCTCAGGTACACAAGGCTCTTCCTGAAATGATGAAGAATGCTTAAAGACACCGGTCCAACATCTCACACGTGTGTTCCTCCCACAGATCGATGGCTCCACCCTGAGGACCATCTGCATGCAGCACGGTCCTCTCCTGACTTTTCACCTTGGCCTGACCCAGGGAACAGCCCTCATCCGCTACAGCTCCAAACAAGAAGCTGCCAAAGCCCAGAGTGCTCTTCACATGTAAGCATCTACATTTATTCTGTAGATTTACATAATAGTTGTTTTGTATGATTTGTTTGTTGACACATTTTGGAAGCTTCATCTTGTCTTCTTTCTAGGAATATATGTATTTGGTTCTTCTATACTAGTCAACAGAAATGTTTGCGATATTATTACCTTGACATGTTTTGATGGTATACTTGCATCTTAAGACAGAAGTAATAACTTTGCTAACTTACTGTTGTCTGAATTGAAGAACCAATTATTTCTTGTTATTGGTCATCTGCCCTTATGGACCAATGGCTCTATGTATTTTACATTGTTCCATTTCTTGTGTTGGAACTGGCTGTTGATTCACCAGCACAGCTCCAAGAATCAGTTTTGTGATGGCCTCAGCGATAACTTCTGTTGTGATTTAGGGCTATACAATAATAGATTTAATTGGATTGACATGCTATTGACACCTTATGTCTGTGTGCTCAGGTGTGTTTTAGGAAACACCACCATCTTGGCAGAGTTTGTGAGCGAGGAAGATGTGGCTCGCTACATCGCACATTCCCAGGCAGGAGGAGGCGGAAGCGGAGGCACTCAGCCTGGCTCTGCGGGCTCGGGACCTGCTGCTGCCCCTGTGCTCGGGGCTAACGGCAGTGTAGGTGAGCGAGGACAGGGCAGTGCAGGGCCAGTGGGAGGAGAAGCGGCCTCTACAACTGGAGCTGGGCCCAACAGCTCGGGATGGCAGAGTTTGGACAGCACAGGCAGCTCCTCAGACCAGACCGCCTCCCATGGGCCTGGCCTGGGCATCTTCCCCCAGTGGAGCAGCAATGGGGCTGGTTGTGCTGGAGGAGTGGAGGTGGGGAGGCAGGCTCTGTGGGGGGGCATGGGAGGCATGAGTGGAGGAGGTTATCACAGCAACAGCCTCTGGGGCTCTCCCGCACTGGAGGATCGTCATCAGATGGGCAGCCCCGCCTCACTGCTGCCCGGGGACCTGCTGGGTGGAGGCACTGACTCCATTTGAGCGGTATTATATCCGTGCTCATATTACACTCATATAAAACACATTAGGCTCTGTATTTATGTACTCAGAGACTATGTAGAATTAAGCTACACTGGTCACTCGACAAACAGACCATATTACAGGTCACATGCAGTACCTTTGTCTCCCTTTTCTTTCTTGTACGTTAACCCATTCAATGATAAATGAAGATGACTGTAAAACTTGAACTGGAGGAGAAGGTAAACTTGTTCAACTCTTTAGGACTCGTGAGTAGGACTGCTTTTTGGTTTTATTCCAAGTCCCATTTTATGCATTCAGAGACCCAATCACTCAGGCATGCACTGTAGACAGGCTCAGCCGGTGTCACACATGTTAACAAGTTTAGCTCTTGCTGTTCCAAGTGTGCCACAACTCTGATCTTCTTTTTGTATTAGTATTTAAGTGAGTCTCAAAAAAAATCAGACTCGAGGACTGAGCCCCCATAGATCCGGCCGTCGCACATCGAGTTCTCGCAGTGACGGAGAACCGAGGACGCCACACTACTGAAAACGAACGGACGATCGAGATTCGGATCCAGAGTCGGTACTGACACTTCTGCCTTCAGTGGGAATCGGCCACCAACACGGGACCCAGGCTCGGAGAGAAGGAAATTAAACAAAAAACAAAAATCATTGTTAGCCAAACTTGCACTTAACACCTGGGTCGTTGGCGTCTGTCCACTTTGTCTGAGACTCTACACAGCTACTACCGCCCATACTGGACGACCATCATGTTACAACAGCAGTGGCCTTGGCTTCTCGGCCGCTCCGCAAACCTTCTCAGCAGCAACAGCCTTTCATCCGTTACACACTGCTTATATTGACAAGAAAAATTGTATTCTCCTTGATGTATGTCGGTTGTCTAGCTTTTGTTATTTTTAAAAGAGAGAGAGAGAGAGCGTGGGTAGGGGGGGAAAAAAAATAACAATTTGTGTGAAACTTTGTGAAAACCCAGAGATGTCCATTGTCGTCCTTCAAGAACACTGACCTCGCTTGTATTTTTTCTTACTCGGATCACATTGGTTATTCTCTAGCGTCAGGACGTCCACGGTGACGTCAGTACTCGCTGTGCCAGGTGCCCTCCCGCCTGCCTCTGTGTGCATGTGTGACTGGACGGAGGACAATGTAGAGACGAAGATATCGAGTGCGTATTGCTACCATGTTGAATGTCCTTTTATTGTGTTTGATTTGTTTTCTTTTTCTTTTCCTGTCCACGAGAGATTCATGATAAACTAGTCGCGTGCTTATGAGTGTGCTTGCCTTTTGAATACGTATCGGCCACCGTCAGGGAAGTGAAAAAAAATAAAACTGACATGTTGTGTAAGGAAGCATGTATGTGTGAGAGAACAGACTGGACATTGTGACAGCTTAAAAGTTCAAAAACAATGGCACTATTGCATATGTCTTTTTAAGTTTGATTTCTTTCTCTTTTTTTTTAGCTGCAGCATTGTTTTTGTTTGTATTATTTACTGTCGAATGCAATAAGAGAATATTTTGTTTTTAAGACGAAGCAACCAACTGAAGGCATTTCTGCTCAAATGCCAAATCCTACCATACCAAGCTGAGCTGGAACAGTGTTTTACACACGTTAAAGACATTACTGTTATGTTTTACTGTTTTTGTTATTATGTATCCATTTAAATTAAGTCGGTCTTTATTATCACTCCTGTTCAGGGTGTTTTCTTTTATTTCAAATGTTGCAAAGGAGAGGAAATTAATTTAAAGAACAAGGTAATAAAGGTTGAATTGAAGTCTGGAGATTGGCTTTTATTTCAGGTGAGATTATTTTTGATGAGTATTTATTTCTAGTTCAGTGTACATCATCATTATTGCCATGTATCAAACTCTTGGTGCAAACAAGTTATTAAGTAGAGAATAGATTATGGTAGCCATGAAATAAAAATATAAAGTTTCTTAAATTCCCACCTCTGCACCTTCTCCATCAACTCCCACTGATGACTGCTGTCGTTGTGTCCTTGGGCAAGACACTTAACCCCACTTTGCCTGAAGCCACCACTGAAAGATCTCAGCTCCTGTGGACTCAGCACCTGCAGGAGGATCAGTGAGGGGCTGGTGCTCTGTGTACTGGGTGCAGCTCTGACTGCCACCCCCCTGACCCAGAAATGGATCAAAAGGTAGAAAATGGATGGATGGAGTTTCTTAAATTTACTACTAACAAACTTTACATACATCGAATTTCTAACATGATGTTTTAACCTCAAAAATGAGCAGGAGGAAAAGAAAACTACCATTGTTTCCGAAAGTTGTAGTTTGTCTATAATCTGGAAAATGTGTTAATGTTATTGGAGACCTTTTGCTCCGTTGAGTCTTCAATATCAAGTTATGTTTTTAACACACACAGAATTATGTAACTCATAGTTGCTCCCATTTAAATAGATCACTGAAGAATACCACCCCCCCCAAAAAATGTTTTGTTCTCCACTTGATTGAATTTAAGTAGGTAATTTATGAGGTTTTCAATAAATACCGGTTGATATAACTAAAATAACAGCAAGAACCGTTTATTGAAAATTGCTAATGCTAACTGCTGCAAGTTAACAGTGTTGCTATGGTAACTAAATCTTGCTCTTGGAGTTAAATGACGAACTATACATTTCAGAAATAAAAAAATAATTTAATAATAAAGGACAGACACGTTGTACATGTAGAAATTCAGAAAGTTATGAAGACCAATAATGTACATACTCTTGAGTAATTACGCTTCCAAAACTAAAAATTGTCAAAATGACTGCTCCGGGAGATTCAGATTCATAATATTAGCCATTTGCAGTAAAGCTAGCCATATTGTCCCCAGTGTGCCCCAGACAAGTAGAGCAAAAAGTAAAGGAAACATTAAAGATTATTAAAATGCTTTGTTTTAACCGAAAACATCTTGTGGAAAGAAGTCCTGCATCTCAACGAGCGACATCTTCTGCCGGAGGGAAGAAGCTGGAACATGGCTTTTCCAAGGGCCAGAGGAGTCATTGGTTATTTCAAGATCTCGGTTTAAGAGTCTGGATTCATACACAACCGTCAATTAAGTGATAGAATAACAGCTGCATATACAATACTCTTGTTGGGAGCTTATTGTCCTTAATCCTCAAACATTACTCGCGTCTTATTTCTCATGTCTGATGTTACTGGCGATCTAAGCAACAGCTGTGATTTGGTTCACTGTCGCAGGAAGACTCTTAACTTTTATCCCGTTAATAATATTTTGCTCAGCCAACAAAAAGCGTTTTGGAAAAGTAAAATGTGTATGAGTCAGCCCACAACTTGCTCCCTTTATCTTATTGGAAAACATGAGATACTAGTAAGAAAGAATGAGTCATACGCTTCAGGGTGTGACGTGTTTTGGCACTTTTCTGTCTTCTCAAAGCCTCAACAGGACTTTCGTTCTTTTTCTGTGGTATGTCATATTTTTATTTGTTCAACACAATTCATAATCAAGGCAACTCAAAGTGCGTAACAAAACAAGATAGAAATGACCACAGTACATACACAAAATAGTAAAAGTCAAATCCTTTTGTTGTAGCGCAGCTGAACTGAACGGTTTTCAATCTGGATTTGACCATTGTCAGAGAAGAAGCCTGTCTCACATTTTTGGAAAGACAGTTTCAGATTTTAGATGCATGAATCTGAAATGCTGCCTCCTCTTGTGAATCCGGGCACCAGCAGGAGGCCAGTCCCTGTGCTCCTCAGAGTCCCAGCAGGAGGCAAGTCCCTGTGCTCCTCAGAGTCTCAGCAGGAGGCCAGTCCCTGTGCTCCTCAGAGTCCCAGCAGGAGGCTAGTCCCTGTGCTCCTCAGAGTCCCAGCAGGAGACCAGTCCCTGTGCTCCTCAGAGTCCCAGCAGGAGGCCAGTCCCTGTGCTCCTCAGAGTCCCAGCAGGAGGCTAGTCCCTGTGCTCCTCAGAGTCCCAGCAGGAGGCCAGTCCCTGTGCTCCTCAGAGTCCCAGCAGGAGGCCAGTCCCTGTGCTCTTCAGAGTCCCAGCAGGAGACCAGTCCCTGTGCTCCTCAGAGTCCCAGCAGGAGGCCAGTCCCTGTGCTCCTCAGAGTCCCAGCAGGAGGCCAGTCCCTGTGCTCCTCAGAGTCCCAGCAGGAGGCCAGTCCCTGTGCTCCTCAGAGTCCCAGCAGGAGGCCAGTCCCTGTGCTCCTCAGAGTCCCAGCAGGAGGCCAGTCCCTGTGCTCCTCAGAGTTGCAGTTGGTTCATTTGGCTGTCAGTATATGGTACTTTTGCATCTTTCCCATCATGCGTAAATGAATAAACAAACTGTGCTAACAATAATTGATTTAAGTGAAAGGCATTTGGAAAGCTGACAATAATAATGAGTCTGTTTCAGTCAATCAATAAATCAGCAGAATGTCCACTTCATTCATGTCTGCACAGCTGGTAATGACGTCATAGACATACGGTCAATGGCGTAACGTGATCCCGGGCGGTGGGGGTGTGTTCCGCGAGAGAACCGGGGCACAGCCTTTAAGAAGAACCTCGCTGTACCGTCTGCTTTCCTCCCGTATTTACAATCTCCCCATCTGGATTCGCTTCTTTTATTTTTGGGATTTTTATTCCCCTTTTGAACGTGTAGCTACATCCACAGAAGTTATGATCACGATGCCGCTGTCCAGGGTCCTGAGTGACTAAACACCGGGGGCACCCAGGCACCATCAGAGGCGTGGAACAAGGAGGTGGGTCCTGGTTGATTGCTTGTTTTTAGACAGATGTGTCATTACAACTACAGAACATCATCATTAGTATGACTTTAGTTTGGCGCATCAGAGGGCGCGGCTGTTTGGAATTTTGGCACATTTTCTGCTCTGTCAGCCATCCATTCATACATTTTCAATTACAACACATTTTCTCTCATTTTCTTGTCTGTATGTAGGGCACGACCCAGGGGAGATGTTTTTAGCACATGTTTTTAGCCACAATTCTCCGCTAGCATGTTTGTATTGTAGCATGTCACGCGCATCGTAGCATCGTAGTTTTAAGGGCGTGGAACTAAAACAAAATTAAGAATTAAATAATACAGATATATGGTGAATGACAAGTCTGTGCTTTTTCGCCTCGTTTTATTATTATTATTTATTTTATTTTTTTCGTGGGCAATGTCAAACGTGGTGACAGCGTGCAAGCTGTTGTGGTGCTGTAGTTTTTACACATGGACAGAGACTGATCCACTTCAGCTCTGAATTCGTTAAAGGTATATAGAAGGATTTTGTACTTCCTGGTGGATCATCAAAACTATTGGTCCTCCCAATTCTCAATCATTCCCAATTGTCAATCATGTTTGTCAAATAAGACCAGAGAGTTTTGTTCATAAATTGGAAAGGGCGGTTCTTTCCTAATATTTTGGATAATGCCCCTTTAAACTAATCTCAGTGGCACAGACACATGAGATTCAGATTCAGTTTCATTTTATTTGCTATTTTCAGTAAAACCACATTGGAATACATTTACAAAAGTCCCCAGAAAGTCCCCAGTGTGCACCAACAAATTGATACTGTGAAATCGATCAACCAAAACAGTTTCAATACAAGTGCAAAATCATAAGTTAAGTCAGGTAGGGGCGCTTATGCAGAAAAGATCTTTCATTAAAAAAATATTATGTACACTTGCATATAAATGTACCGAGGAGTCAAGAGACCAGACTTGGATTTCAGGACTTGTAATCAGCATTGAGTAAATACAGTGGCACAGAAGAGACAATTTACTAATGTGTCAATACATAACTAGAATAAAATCCAAAACTTCAGCCCCTCATCTTGCAACGCTCACATGGCAGGTGGTTTTCTATTTCCATTTAGATTTTGATTATCACCATTGTACATAACTTGTGATGTCTCAGTCTACTTGGTTGCGACGGCCCTAACTTTTAAACGCAGCCCCCTGAAGCTTGATAGTGTGATGGGCTCTCTGCACCAGCCCTGCACCACGCTGTCCGCTCCCCCCATATTGATCAGCTGTGATTGATGAACTGTGTGCATGTCTTCTACTTGTGTTGTTTACTCCTTCAGTGAAGTTCAAGAGCTCCGGGCGCCATGGAGCTCCGAGTGGGGAACAAGTACCGCCTCGGCCGCAAGATCGGCAGCGGGTCCTTTGGAGACATCTATTTGGGTAAGAACATCACGGAATAATGATAATAATAATAATAATGATACTACATTTTATTTAAAAGTGCCTTTCAAAACACCCAAGGACACTGTACAGGACATTATAAAAACATGAAATAGATACATCCTTAAGAACACTGGAGTAATAGATCTAGATTGGATTGATTATGTTCTGGTTTACTTCTTCTGGGTCTGGTAAATGCTTGTCATTACCAGAAAACAATTTCCCCAACACACTTTTTTGTAGAAAGTTTAGTTTGAAATATTTGGCCCTTGTTTGACATGATGGCCCCTGTTTTGTACTGTTTTTGTTTTTTTATGGCTCCAAGTCCTAAGTTGCTCTGAAACAGTTGTTGTGTTTTACAATTGTAATTTTCTTGCTTTTTTCTACCTGAGATGTTGCTGGAGTACAGTATTCATGGTTTTGCACTGGTCCAGACCAAAGCAGATAAACTTTTTGAAAAATGCTAATGAAGCATTTAGCATTTTACTGTGGACCAGAGCAGAGAAATCGGTCCGAACCAAGCGGGCCTGCTCCACCTCTGCTGCTGTGACCAGTAGGGCTGTAGCATATTATTATTATTATTGTTATATTTTTAGAAAGATCAATTTATTTGTTTTGTGTGTTTGGATGGATGTGTTTCTGCTGCTACTGGACACCTGCCTTTCTCCAACAGGGATCAAGAAAGTATCTATCTATGTTGGAATTTTGTTGTGACGGGGGAACAAACAACTCATGTTATCTGCTCCACTGATGTCTGCTGTCGATGTGTCCCTGGGCAAGACACTTAACCCCACTTTGCCCACCTCTACTCAGAAATGGACTAATAAAGGGGATGGAAATTAAATTACATGACAACAATTGTGAGCAGCGACCTGTCTTATGTGTATTTTCAATGTAGCAGCTTGTGAGTCCAAGACAAGTTTCCTACGGGACATAATGAATTAATCTTGAATCTTGAATCTTAAATGACTTTAATTAGACTGAAGAGAAGGAGGACTGTTCGTATTTAACCTGCTCTCGAAAAGGTTAAATTTACATGGAAAAGTCACACAGTCATTAACTCCAGAAATCATTCAATATTTTTAAGACATAGATTCTTGTTTCATATAATTTACTACCACAATGGATTTATTTAAAGTGTAACTCGCCAAAACAAGTCAAGCACAATCAAAGAGTTTAAAGGAGCAGTATGTAAAATGTGGCCAAAAGTGGTACTGCAGCCTCTCCACTCTCCCTGACTCAGGTTGCCAGATATGCAGACGAATCCAGCTGGGACCATAACAGCTGGAAAGAAGAGTTTTTTTTTTTTTTTATTGATGTTTTGAGAATCATAATGAGACATATTTTAGTTCTGGGGTCGCATACTTTACCAGTGAGATTGGCTCGACGCGGTGAGTTCTGGCCACCAGGATCAAATGAAAACAATAACAAGATTTAGGGGCTGTAAAACAAATTTTGAAATATTGATCAGTTAAAGAAGTACTGTAAAAGACCATGTTTTATTAACGCCTTTGGACAGATTAAGGCCCTTTAATCATGACTTGACATGAAAATCTTACATATTGATACTTTCACTTCCTGTTTTCTGTTTCTATTTCAGGCTCTAATATTGTGACTGGGGAGGAAGTGGCTATAAAACTGGAATGTGTCAAGACGAAGCACCCACAGCTCCACATCGAGAGCAAGTTCTACAAGATGATGCAAGGCGGAGGTGAGAGCAGTGAGTCTACACAGAGCTCCTGAGGGGTGGTCTCTGGGGCTGCAACTATAAGTGGCTGTAGACATTCAGTTTTTTTCGGAGCCAAAAGGCAGTTTTTTACACATAGCTACAGTATTATTGTTATGTGTTATTTATATCAGAACACGGCTTCAGCATTATCCGTGTTAAATTAAAAGAAAATCATGTTTGCATTCACCGCAACTAATCAGTTAAACGAAAAAATACCTCCATCTCCATGTTAGAATATGGAGAAAACATTTGTACATCAACGATCTTGTAATACTGACAGTAATAGCCCTGGTCCTCAGTGGGAATCCCGTCCATAAAGTGGTGCGGGGCTGAAGGGGACTACAACGTGATGGTCATGGATCTGCTGGGGCCCAGTCTGGAGGATCTCTTCAACTTCTGCTCTCGCAAGTTCAGCCTCAAGACCGTGCTGCTGCTGGCGGATCAGATGGTGAGAGCCTCCAACACCACATTTCACTGCAAAATCAGGGACGTTTATTTGTAGAGCACTATTCATAGACAAGGCAACTCAAAGTGCTGAGCAAAAACAAAAAAATCACTCAAATTCACTCTATTATCGAAGATGTCGTACCTGTACCTGCAGGTGAAAAGCCAGATCCTGCCAGACCTCTGGAGCTCAGCAGGGTAGGGCTTGATTAGTACTGTGAAGGGGGACCCCTGGGAACACCGGGAGCCAGTGAGGGCGGGTGCGGCTGTAAAGTGCCAAACTGTGGTTTCTTCACCCACATCAGAGTGTGTGTGTGTGTGTGTGTGTATGTGTGTGTGTGTGTCACTGTGTATGCAGGCGAAAGAATAATGACCTGTGAAGCACCTTTGAGTGTCCCAAAAAGAGCTGTATAAAAAAACAAATGTATTATTATTATTGTTTTTATTATTGTTGGATTAAAGGGTAGAAAATGGATGGATGTTACACACGATTACATGCAGTCAGTAACAGTTATTGTTACTGATTTTGGGCAGTTCGGTGGGTCTCAGCAAGAAGGTCTTGGCTTCAAATCCCGGTCAGAACAGGGCCTTCCTGAGTGGAGTTTGCATGTTCTCCCTGTGTCTGCGTAGGTTTCTTCCGGGTGCTCTGGTTTCCCCTACCACAAAAACGTGTACAATAGGTCTGGCATGCACCTATTCGTTTTGGCAGAATGTGGAAGAAGCTGGTTAGAAGATAAGACCCTATGATTGTCCCCACACAGTGAAGACATATGGGGACAATAAAGTACAAAACTGACAACCAGGGATTTAGATTAATTGATTGTTATTAAACATTTTACTGTAAGGAAATGTGTATTTGACTTGTTATAAAGTATATAGTATACATACATAAAAATCAAAACATACGTCAAATTATGACAACCAATTCATTTGAGGGATATTTTCTTTATCTTATTTGAATGTGTTATATTTCCCCAGGCAGTGGTATTGTATGTGTTCTGTAACTCTCTACCGCTGTTGTGTAGTAAGTCGATACTGAAGCTTTTGTATGCAGACCCTAATTCTCAAATACTACTTCAGCGATGTATGAAACTACATTATTATATTTCAATTCATTTCTATTCAAAATAAGTTGTACCCTTTTTTGAACTGACTTTAAGGGAGCACCTTTTTTTATGCTAATCTGAGCTCTTGCTGCGCATTTTGAAGAAGACATTTTAGATCTAAACTAAGTATCAGAGTGCAGGGAGGTGGTGGCTGCCTTCTCAGACTCGAGTGGGAGGAATGGTCTGATTCTCAAAGTGTCCAAGACCAAGGAGATGATCATTGACTTTCACAGGAGCCCTTCCCATCGACCGGTCACACTTAAATGGACAGAACATCAAAGTGCTACAGTCCTGCAAATACCTGGGAGTCCACCTGCACCACAGACTGGACTGGTCAGCTCAGGCCAATGCTGTCTATAAGAAAGTTCAGAGCAGACTTTTCTTTCTGAGTAGACTGAAGTCCTTCGACGTGAGCAGTCAAATGTTGCACAAATGTTTCCAGTCTGTGGTAGCTACTGTAGTGCCGTGTTCCTCGGGGTTGCATGTTGGGGCGGCAGTCTGACCTCAGAGACAGTAACCGGCTCGACAGAAGAATGAGGGCTCTAATGCAGTGCATCCTGGGTAACTCCAGACACCCTCAGCATGACACTATGGCCGCTCAGTGGAGTAGCAACAGGCTCCTATCACTGCGCTGCCGAACGGAATGTTTCCAGAGATTTTTTGTGTCTTCGGCTGTCAGACTGTACAACAAACCTGGATGAGTCTTCTGCTGCTGGACACCTGAATTTCTCCTACGGGGATAAATAAAGTATCTATCTATTGGCCTTATTCAACATCTAACTAACTACAAACTGACTCTTGTGGGTCAGGGTTAGAGTTAGAATACACTAATGAGCTCTTTATTAGCTGTTAGTTAGAGCTAATCTAAAGTGTTCTCAAGAAGAGATTTAATAATAATAATTATCTTCCTTCCTCTTCCGCAGATCAGCCGGATCGAGTACATCCACTCCAAGAACTTCATCCATCGTGACGTGAAGCCGGACAACTTCCTGATGGGTCTGGGCAAAAGGGGAAACCTGGTCTACATCATCGACTTCGGTTTGGCCAAAAAGTACCGGGACGCCCGCACCCACCAGCACATCCCCTACCGCGAGAACAAGAACCTGACCGGGACCGCACGCTACGCCTCCATCAACACCCACCTGGGCATCGGTAACTCTCACCTCCTCATCCTCTCACCTCCTCATCCTCTCACCTCCTCAAACCTCTCACCTCCTCATCCTCTCACCTCCTCAGACCTCTCACCTACTCATCCTCTCACCTCCTCATCCTCTCACCTCCTCAGACCTCTCACCTACTCACCTCTTCTCCTCCTCACCTCTACATCTCCTCTTCTCCTCACCTGCTCTTCTCTTCACCTGGGACTCTGAGGAGCACAGGGACTGGCCTCCTGCTGGTGACTCTGATGAGCACAGGGACTGGCCTCTTGCTGGGACTCTGAGGAGCACAGGGACTGGCCTCCTGCTGGGACTCTGAGGAGCACAGGGACTGGCCTCCTGCTGGGACTCTGAGGAGCACAGGGACTGGCCTCCTGCTGGGACTCTGAGGAGCACAGGGACTGGCCTCCTGCTGTTGACTCTGATGAGCACAGGGACTGGCCTCCTGCTGGTCACAGAGTCAGAACTATACATGGGGAGGCAGCATTTCATATTTATGAGCTAAAATCTGCACAAATGAAGAATTCTATCTTTAGTCTTTTTACTGCACTGTGATTATGTATGATTTTGTATGCCTTTTGTGAGTGTTTCTAGAATCACACAATCACAGACGGAAACAAGCTGTCTAATAGTAAATTCACATTTCTTTTTCTGTTTTAGTCATAGAAGTGTCTACAAATTATCACAAAGAAGTTTTTATATTCACTCTCTGCACACATGATGGTGTTCAGCTCCCGGACTGGGATTAGTGAATCGTCCAAATAATAAAATCTATAACTTTATAACCTATTGATTTGGTCATTAAATGAAACATGTTTGTAATTAATTCAATATTTTAATTTTAGAAAAAGCCTGTCTACTTTATGAGGGAACAATAAAACATTAATCTACACACTTAAATCCAATATTTTATGCCAAACAGTCTTTAGAAGTAAAACCCCGCACCCTGTTCTCTCTCTTTCCTCAGAGCAGTCGAGGAGAGATGATCTGGAATCCCTGGGTTATGTTTTGATGTACTTCAACTTGGGCTCTCTGCCTTGGCAAGGACTCAAGGCCGCCACCAAGAGGCAGAAATATGAACGCATCAGTGAGAAGAAGATGTCCACTCCCATCGAAGTGCTCTGCAAAGGCTTCCCCTGTGAGTACGACTGCCTCCAACCACCACTGCCTCCAACCACCACTGCCTCCAACCACCACTGCCTCCAACCACCACTGCCTCCAACCACCACTGCCTCCAACCACCACTGCCTCCAACCACCACTGCCTCCAACCACCACTGCCTCCAACCACCACTGCCTCCAACCACCACTGCCTACAACCACCACTGCCTCCAACCACCACTGCCTCTAACAACCACTGCCTCTAACAACCACTGCCTCTAACAACCACTGCCTCTAACAACCACTGCCTCTAACAACCACTGCTTACAACCACCACATTGCCAAGATCAAAAACATAGTGTCTAAAGCAGACTTGGAGATTCTTATCCATGCATTTGTCTCCAGTAGGTTAGACTACTGCAATGGCCTGCTCACAGGTCTGTCCAAACAGGCTGTAAAACAGCTGCAGTACATTCAAAATGCAGCAGCTCGAGTCCTGACTAGAACCAGGAAGTACGGCCATATTAGTCCGGTCCTCAGGTCTCTGCACTGGCTTCCTGTGGCTCAGAGAATAGACTTTAAAACAGCTCTGCTTGTGTACAAGTCAAAATATATTAGTGACATGTTAGTCCCATATGAACCAGCCCGGACTCTGAGGAGCACAGGGACTGGACTCCTGTTAGTGCCCAGAGTCAGAACTAAACATGGGGAGGCTGCTTTTCAGATTCATGCTGCTAAAATCTGGAACAATCTTCCTGAAGATGTGAGACAGGCCTCCTCCCTGACAATGTTTAAAACCAGGTTAAAAACAGTCCTGTTTAGCTGTGCATACAACTGAGGGATTTTATGTTTTTATCTTTCTTTTTAATGTTCTGTGATTATTTATGATTTTAATGCTTTCTTGTTTTGTTCAGCACTTTGAGTTGCCTTGTGTATGAATTGTGCTATACAAATAAACTTGCCTTGCCACTGCCTCCAACAACCACTGCCTCTAACAACCACCAGCTGTGGCACCTTGTTTATTTATTCACTAATATCATATCACCACAACATGCCGGCATGTTAACTTTTGCGTACATGAAAGAAAGAGCCCTGTGAGTCGCTATCTGATGATTGGAGCTGAGAGCTGATTGGCTGAGTGAGGGTGGTTCTCTCTTTTTCACTTTTCTGTATAAAAAACTGATCTAAAGACGTGACAGAGGCCGAAAGTACATGCATTTGTGTGTTTGTTATGAGAGTGAGGATGTACTTTTTTTGTGGTTTGTGAGTTCGACACCCCAACTTTAACCATATAACTATTTCAATTATATTCAAACTTTTCAATGTGTCCTCTACTAATCCATGTGTCTGACAAACACATTTATACAAGCAAGATGAACAGTGAGCCTTATTTATTTATTGTTTTTTAGTTTGGGGCAGTGCATGTTTTGTGTTTTTTTTTTTTATTAATTTGAACACACAGTGATAGGAGAGTACATATACAGTAGTTACATACAGTGGTTATATAGTCTATACAAAATCCTGTACAGTAGCATTTTGGGTCAGAGATGGACGGGGAGGGGGTCCAGAGTCGCACAAGAATGTTAATTGTGTGTGTGTGTGTGTGTGTGTGTGTGGAACAGTGCACTCTAGTGAACACACCTCCCTGGATTGTAGCCTTGGGCGAATTTGCATCTGTCCCACAGTCGAACACTCATTCATCCTGAACTATTGTCCACGTTTTCAGTGGTAGGGCAAACCAGAGCACCCTGAGGAAACCTATGCAGACAGGGAGAGAACATGCAAAAAGGGCTGTAGGTAGAAACGAATACAAGGACCCTCTAGCTGCAAAGCACAAGCTCTCACTGCTCTTTTTCATTGCACATAATTATATCCTGCACAGACTATATTTTAAATCTTTACATGTTGCACTCTTCTGTCTATTGCACAATCTGAGTGATTCTTTCTACGCCAAATGTGAGGTCAATAAAGTCTATCTTATTTTATCTCTATCTAGTCCCATTTTAAAGTGTCCTCTAATTTTGATATACATTTCTTTATGAAAATACATGCAACTCGTGTTTTTAATTGTGTTAAAAGCCCTCCTGGGGACAGACATTGCAAATTAGCCTTGGCTATGAATGTTGTAGTGTTTCACATTCACGTTGATTGTGTACACTATCAAAGAAATCAATAAAATCAATACATACTTTGTCTCTTTCCCAGACGATTTCTCCACATACCTAAACTTCTGCCGCGCCATGAGATTTGACGACAAGCCGGACTACTCCTACCTGAGGCTGCTCTTCCGGAACCTCTTCCACCGACAGGGATTCTCCTACGACTATGTCTTCGACTGGAACATGCTTAAGTTTGGGGCCAGCCGGACCACAGAGGACGGGGAGAAGGAGAGGAGAGAGGGGAAGGAGGGAGAGGAGCGACCAGGAGGAGGTCAGAGAGGAGGAGGAGGAGGAGGACGAGCTGTGGCCCCGGGTCCCAACGCTTCAGGGGCCAACAGAGGGAGGAAGGAGGGGGACCCGGCACCTGCGACCCCAGCCAGCCGAGCGGTCCCAGCGTCAGGTCAGTGCTCAGCCACGAGACACTGCTTTAAATCATTATTTTATTATTATTGGTTTGATTGTTTTTAGTTGTGTTACACTGACGTAAAAGTGTCAGTAACACAGCACTTTGGATTTGATGTCAGTTGTTGTTTCTCAAGCTGTGTGTGTGTGTTTGTGTTTCTATATGTGTGTTTGTGTGTTTGTGTTTCTATGTGTGTGTGTGTTTGTGTTTCTATATGTGTGTGTGTGTGTTTCTATGTGTGTGTGTGTGTGTTTCAATATGTGTGTGTGTGTTTCTATATGTGTGTGTGTGTGTGTGTGTGTGCGTGTGTTTGTGTTTCTATACGTGTGTGTGTTTGTGTTTCTATATGTGTGTGTGTGTGTGTGTGTTTCTATGTGTGTGTGTGTGTGCGTGTGTTTGTGTTTCTATACGTGTGTGTGTTTGTGTTTCTATGTCCCTCTCTGTGTATGTGTGTGTGTGTGTGTGTGTGTGTTTCTATGTGTGTGTGTGTGTGTGTGTGTTTGTGTTTCTATATGTGTGTGCGTGTGTTTCTATGTGTGTGGTGTGTTTGTGTTTCTATATGTGTGTGTGTGTGCGTGTTTTTGTGTTTCTATATGTGTGCGTGTTTTTGTGTTTCTATATGTGTGTGTGTGTTTCTATGTGTGTGTGTGTGTGTTTCTATATGTGTGTGTGTGTGTTTGTGTTTCTATATGTGTGTGCGTGTGTTTCTATGTGTGTGGTGTGTTTGTGTTTCTATATGTGTGTGTGTGTGTGCGTGTTTTTGTGTTTCTATATGTGTGCGTGTTTTTGTGTTTCTATGTGTGTGTGTTTCTATATGTGTGTGTGTGTGCGTGTTTTTGTGTTTCTATATGTGTGTGTGTGTGTGTGTTTCTATATGTGTGTGTGTGTGTTTGTGTTTCTATATGTGTGTTTGTGTTTCTATATGTGTGTGTGTGTGTGTTTCTATGTGTGTGGTGTGTTTGTGTGTGTGTTTGTGTTTCTATATATGTGTGTGTGTGTAGGTTGTGTAGAATTGTTTTGTTCAGCACTTTGAGTTGCCTTTTGTATGAATTGTGCTGAAATAAACTTGCTGTGTGTATTTGTGTGTGTGTGTGTGTGTGTGTATGTAACGTGTGTGTGTGTGTGTGTGTGTGTGTGTGTGTGTGTGTAGGTAACCGCTCTCCTCAGGCGGGTAGAGCAGAGAGGGCCGAGAGAGAGAGGAAAGTGGCCATGAGACTTCACCGTGGAGCTCCAGCCAACGTGTCGTCGTCAGACCTCCCCCCACGCCTCGACCAATCACGGATCACCTCGTCACAGGTGCAAAAAACACTCAATTATTACAAATACCCTATAATAGCAATCTGCATGTGTGCAACAATAAGTAGTTTACTTATTTTAATTTAATGTAATTACTAAACAGGAAGTAAAAGTATTTTTATATTCAGACCATACGCTACAAAAACACACACAGTATTCGAGCAGACCGACTTGAGTCAATTTACATACAAAATATTTTCTTCTTGCTTTGGCAAAGACTGCACGTGTTTTCATTTCTAAATCAACAATTTAACTTACATTTTTAGGGAAAGACAATGGCATCTCTGTGGACAAGCAAAGGGCCGACCCTCAAGTTACATACTATTTTTTCCCAACTTTATTATTGTTGTGATCAGTCAGAAAACTACTGCAATGCACGCATTCCCTTATAGACTGTATATAGATGCACAATGCTAACCCGCTAGCTCAAAGAAGCCCAATAAGGAAGTACTCATGGACAAAGTTTTTCTCCGACTTGCTCTGGCTCCTTACCTGTGGTTCTCTGTGGAAGAAATGCCCATATAAGGAAATTGGTTCCAGTTATTTTATCTTCAAATAGGCTTCTTCCGCATTAGGCTAACACTACAGTCATGTCCGCACTTGGTCAATCCACTCCTAATATACAATCTATGGTTTATCTTTTAAAAGGACAAGTGTGTAGAAAAGCTGCTTAATTACAACATGTTCAGGTGCTAGACTTCCACCTTCGTCAGAGGAGACACCTGAACATGTGGTAATTAAGAAGAACTAGCTTCTTTAACAACATTTTTATATAGCCCTAAATCACAACAGTAGTTACTTTGGAGGACTTTACAAAGTTGTTGATTCGCCAACACAGATCAGAGAATCAAACAGCACAAACACAGGAAATGCAATGATAACAAACACATAGAGCCGTTGGTCCATCAGGAGCAGAGACCAAGTCCAAAACTCTGTCCAGAGGGTGTGACAGATCAAAGTGACATAGTCTCTCTGTATCTCTCTGTGTCTCTCTGTGTCTCTCATCTCTCTGTGTCTCTCTGTGTCTCTCTGTGTCTCTCATCTCTCTGTGTCCCTCTGTGTCTCTCTGTGTCTCTCATCTCTCTGTGTCTCTCATCTTTCTGTGTCTCTCTGTGTCTCTCATCTCTCTGTGTCTCTCTGTGTCTCTCATCTCTCTGTGTCTCTCATCTTTCTGTGTCTCTCTGTGTCTCTCATCTCTCTGTGTCTCTCTGTGTCTCTCATCTCTCTGTGTCTCTCATCTTTCTGTGTCTCTCTGTGTCTCTCATCTCTCTGTGTCTCTCATCTCTCTGTGTCTCTCTGTGTCTCTCATCTCTCTGTGTCTCTCTGTGTCTCTCTGTATCTCTCTGTGTCTCTCTGTGTCCCTCTGTGTCTCTCTGTTTCTCTCATCTCTCTGTGTCTCTCATCTTTCTGTGTCTCTCTGTGTCTCTCATCTCTCTGTGTCTCTCATCTTTCTGTGTCTCTCTGTGTCTCTCATCTCTCTGTGTCTCTCATCTTTCTGTGTCTCTCTGTGTCTCTCATCTCTCTGTGTCTCTCATCTCTCTGTGTCTCTCTGTATCTCTCTGTGTCTGTGTGTCTCTCTGTGTCTCTCTGTGTCTCTCTGTATCTCTCTGTGTCTCTCTGTGTCTCTCTGTATCTCTCTGTGTCTCTCTGTGTCTCTCTGTGACCATGTCCACACGTAGCTGTGTATTATAAAAACCGAATATTTTCCCCCCCTCCGTTTACAATTTGCATCCACACATAACCGAACATCTGCGTTTTCAGTCCTCTGACGTCCTGCGTTGGGGGAAAAACACAGAAGTGGGCGGAGCTTTAAAGTGTAAAGACATATGTTCATAAGCACTGACCCCCGTCCTGAGCCCTGGGGTAGTCCTGGTTAGCTCCTGTTTTGGTTGTTATCAAGCGTGAGTCCCTGTGATCACTTTGCTGCTGTCTGATGTGGAGGGTGTTTGCTGCTGTGAACCGCTGCAGCAGCGAACAGTTTTTAAGGCAGTAAGATCCATGCTCCCTCAGTGATCAGAGTTGTTGTTTGTTGTTGTTTTGGGGGCAGACTGTGACGTGAAAAAACGCAAAACTCCGGTTATCTCTGTCTACACGCAAATGCATAAACGGGGTTTTCAAAAATCTCCACTTTGCCCGGAGTTTTTTTAAATATTCGTTTATGGTGCGTTGTCATGTGGATGAAAAATATCTGCGGTGTAGCAGATCTGTCTCTCATCTCTCTGTGTCTCTCATCTCTCTGTGTCTCTGTGTCTCATCTCTCTGTGTCTCTGTGTCTCATCTCTCTGTGTCTCTGTGTCTCTGTGTCCCTCAGGTCAGCGTGCCGTTTGAACATCTAGCTAAATGAAGAAGCTGAGTGGACGGTCAGCGACAGGTACAGACACGCCTCACTCTGCAAACACACAAAAATGTCTCTGCTTCTTCAGGTCAACAGCACCAGTGGTTTTCATGCACAGATCAATTTGAAAATGTTTATGGTAGGAAAACTCGTAAAAATGTAACAATTTGGAGGACATGGAGGACAACAAATACTTCTCAACTAAAATGTCATATTTATTATGGTCTGTACATAAACTGAAGCAAACACTGAGGAGTGTAAAAACATGATCATTCAGAACTCAGGACGTTATCACAGACAGAAATCACTATTCTCCAGCATCACTGACATGAGTCACATACAACAGACTAGAGTCACAAATAAATAACCCTGAAAGTGGAACAAATCATTATTAATATCACAATACTTTGCTCTGCTGTATCGATTTATTTCGTGTCTGCAAAATATTGGAATACTGGGGAATGTTTTGCAGGATGTCCACACTGAGGGAGGGTATTTGCTTGAAGATTGATTAGATCTAGGAAAAAAAAAAAAATGCGTGTACATTTATCACAAGAAGTTTGTGTAAGCCCTCAGTCGTACAGGGATTAGTCAAAGCAAAGGAAGGTTTCTCACCCATCATCTGTACTTCTTAGCAAGTTTTCCCGACGTTTCGTCCTCAACCTGGGGACTTCTTCAGGGAATGGATCCCTGAAGAAGTCCCCAGGTTGAGTACGAAACGTCGGGAAAACTTGCTAAGAAGTACAGATGATGGGTGAGAAACCTTCCTTTGCTTTGATTTATCACAAGAGCATTTGTAAAATATGCTACAAAGTTGGGCTTACCTAATCCTGTTTTGGTGTTAAATATGTGCAATAGGACCTTTTTGAAGGCTATTATTTGTCCATAGAGTCCCATATTGTAAGCATTATTACTTACATGACAGTGTCTTGGACTCTGCAGCCACTGCTTTCTTCGAGGATAAACTGTGTCGGTGTGTCGAAGCGTTTCATTGGCTCAATAGGTTTCCCAGCTTCGCATTGGTTCAGTCTATGGTAAATTAAACACGCCCATTTGGTTTGACAGCTTTTAGACGATAGCATACACTGTAGTGGAGAGGCGTTGACTAGCCAGCCATAGTATAAATGATGCATCAATATGTCTTCACAATGTTGGCTGGTGAGGAGACTCGAGTGTTTTACAGTGTTGGCGATTTTGGCGACTTTAATGTTATCTGCAAGTGGAAAACAGAGCTTCCTGGTTATTATCTTATTCAACCTAACAAGGTGCTTCATAGTGAAATTGTCATTATTAAAAGCAGTGCGGGAATTGCTTTGTATTCAAGTATTCCGAAGCTGCAATGATTACATTTGTCCACTAGATGTCAGTGTTACAAACTAGTATGAGCTAGCTTAAAGGCTCCGACACATTTGGAACAATCTGGCAAAAAAAGTTGGAGTGATACGGGGCACTACTTTTAATGTAAGTGTAAGCCTTCAGTTTGGTTGAGATCTACAGGATGTCTGCGTAAATAACAAAAGCACTCTGTATTTTTGTGTCTTTTCTTACAGTAGCAGTAAGTGTTCCAAAATACCCCAAACTTTTCAAATGGATGAATTTGACTGAAACTTAGAACCGTGCGAATGGGGGAAACGAAGAGCTCGCTGGACCCTGATGTGGGGAGCGTCTGTGTGGACCTCTGAGTGGACCAGGAGCCAGAAGGACAAAAACCTCAACTTCTGCAGTATGAAACTCGCTGATTTGGGGTCCAAGCCAACAAAATGTGAAGAATGTGAAGTCTCATCACCTGCACATCAATTTTCAAAACTCAACTAGCAAAAAAAAAAGAAAAAAATACATGCACAAAATGGACTTGCTCTTCTAATCTACACTCCCATGCTATAAATCCACTGAGGTCCGTCCGCTGCATAAAGATTTCAAAAACTACAACTAACAATGGATGCGCAAACAATAAAATAGGGAGATAAATGGTATGCAGTTGGAGGATTGTAAAAGAGTTTGATGAATGGGAGAAAGGTCGCTTTTGTCGATAAATGTCTATGTTTGTTCTTGCTTTTGTCTGTGTTCGTTTGGCTTCAGCTTTGCTCCGGGAAAAAGTACAGAAACTTAAAGCAGGCAGACGTGACTCCTAAGTTTCTCAGTTAGAAATGAATGAATAAAGCTGATAATATATAAACAACTACCGTAATTTTCGGACTATAAGCCGCAACTTTTTTCAAGTTCTTTGATTCCTGCGGCTTATATAGCGGTGCGGCTAATATGTGAATTTTAATCGTGGTATATTTGTCAGAGCAGAGTTTATGGACTTATTTGGACTCATGTTTTAGCAGCTACACCACACTTGTTTACATGAAGGTGAATGAGTCGTGAAAGCTAACCGTGGTGCGGCTTATATACAGGTGCACCTTATAGTCCAGAAAGTACGGTATTTATAATGAGTGATAATATTGCCATAGAATCTCTAAATGTAGAAGGTGTTGTGGCTCTGTATGGTCAGAGTATTTTGCGGATATCCAGCATCATCTTTCCCTAACCCGTCCACTCGTCTGCATACTGAGGCTGTTTCATTCTCAGTGCAGAGACTTTCAGTAATAAGAAAGTATTGAAAGAGAACATAGATTAAGGTCTATGTTTACACAATTACCCAAAAAAACGTTGCCAGATAAATGCGTATTGTTATTTTTTACTGAAGTGTAAATACAAAAGAATCATATAACAGAGCCTTAGCCAGAAAAGCTATGACAGATGATGGTAACGGAAATATAATTTATTATATTTATATTGTTCTATGATTTTGCTATTTTTTATAATGTAAAATGTACAGAGACACATAAGAAAAGATTGTCACCTGAAGATGCTGCTGGAGAGCAGGGGGTTGTTTTAACACTAGAACTCCCGGAGCAGTCATTTTGACGGGTTTTAGTTTTGGAAGTGTAAGAATTCTATCATATCCTCATAACTTTGTGACTTTTTCAGTATCAATTCATTTCTATATCATTGATTTTTTATGAAATGTTAGTAGCTCTATCTTCAACTCCCACAGCCGGGAAAAACAAGTACTAGTCACCATAGCAACAAACTGTTGACTGTTAGCATTCAGTCGTTAGCATTAGCCTTTCAACAAACTGTTCTTGTTGTATTTCAAGTTACTGTGAATTCAGCAGATTTAGCACGTATTGAAAGTGAGGACATACCTTATAATTTTCTTACTTTTATTAAATTTCAGCCGAGAAAAGCAAGTGCTAGTTACCGTAGCAACATACTGTTAAGGTTTAGCATTCGGTCGTTAGCATTAGCCTTTCAACAAATTGTTCTTGCTGAATTTCAAGCTACTCTGTATTCAGCGGTTTTAGCACGTATTAAAAGTGACAAAAAACCTTAACATTTTCTTACTTTTGTTAAATTTGGAGAAAACTTTTTGGGGCAATTTCTCCTGACTCTATTGGTTTGAATGGGAGCAGTCAAAAAGACGGCTCTGGGAGTTCTTATAGTTTCATAACTGTAGTGTTAACCTATAGACCTTAATCAGAGGAGGGAGAACGGAGAGAGAATCTAATGTCCGTGTCTGGGAAAACATGTTTCATCTTTATTATGTGTATATTTATTTTCTACATCAATAAATATTCACAGCGTCCGTTACAATGAATGCTTTAAGTCTTTGTCCTATTCCACTTTTTGGAGTTGTGCCAAAAAATAATTGCACACTGCAGATTTTTGCAGAAGTGCTTTCACATTTTCAGTTCCAGATTAAAAGCACTTTGTTCTTCTATACCAGACAATAAGAGGTTAGCGATGTTATTACCTTGACATGTTCTGACGGATACTTCTGTCAGAAGCGTCTGAGGGAGACAGAATTATCCGTCAGAACATGTCGAGGTAATAACATTGCTAACCTTTTTTTGTCTGGAAAAGAAGAACCAAAATACTTTTCATTCTAGGTAAGAGGGAGAGTGAGCGCTCCTGCTATAAAGGATAGAGATTTTATACTTTTATTGATGCTAGAGTAAGAGATTTTGTTTTATTTCTAATTAGTATATCTATTGTTCACTTAACTTGTGCGGTGTGCTCCTCTTTCCTATAACTTGTGATGCAACATTGAAATTTCCCCACTGTGGGACGAGTAAAGGATATGACTGTTACAATAATAATCATAATTTAGATAGATAGAATTAGTGATCATTATTGATAATTGATTATTGCAGGTGTCCAGTAGCAGCAAAAATAAAAAATAAAATTGATCATTCTAAAAAACTAACAATATTAAATAATAAGCCACAGCCCTTCAGGTCACAGCAGCAGAGGTGGAGTAGCCGCTGGGTGGAGCAGGAGGTTTTAGAGAATTTTGTTTTATTTATGCGTAATTTATAGATCTAAATTATATGGAATTTAGAGAATTCTGAGAAATTAGTTTTATATAGCGCTTTTTTGGACACTCAAAGGCACTTCATTATTCATTTACTCCAAAGACAGTGGTGATAAACTACAAGCTGCCCTGGGGCACATTGACAGAAGCAAAGCAACCAGTCTGTGCCATCGGCCCCTTTTACCATCACCGACCATTCACACAGACACCAGATTAATTATGGGAGAATAGAAATACTCTTGACCTGGTGTTCCCAGAGGTCTCCCATCACAGTACTAATCAGGCCAGGCCTTGCTTGGCGTCAGAAGTTTGATGGGATCTGTCTTGTACATAAAAGTATGGCCACATGAGAATTGACTGCATCATACCCATCAACAGGAATTGCATATCTGCTAATATCCTTATTTGGGACAGGAAACTAAAACAAAAATCACACAGTACGCACCAAGATTGGAACACCCACTCGCTCTCCCAAAATAGACCCCCCCAACGCATGCGCACAGAACAAAAACGCATTTATCCAAAAGGTCTCCATCATTTTCCTTCCTAGTCTGGCAAAAAAAAGACTCTTTGTGACAGAGCAGCTTCGAGTTCCGTATGATTTCATTGAAGACATTTGTGTGACTTTTTTAATACACTTTTCCTTGTTTATCGCTGAGCTCTGCTGCGATTGGCCATCTCCTCACGGTGGGCGGGAGTTGTTTGTCTTTCCTCGCTCGTGATTGGCTCGCTGTGGTTCCCTGATCCACATAATCCGACAGTGATCCAGCTCTTAACCCTGCGGAGCCTACGGTGTGAACGGTGTCAGTGGAGAGCAGTGCTTTTTCGTTTTATTTATCTCTTCAACTCTTTGCTTCGCGATTTTGCTATCAAGTCCCACATTTTCCCACGAGAATCCGCGTATTCCATCATGTATTCGTTCATGGGGTTCGAAGTTTTGAGGTAACTTTTTGTAGGGGAGCCAGCGCTAGTTCAACATGGATGTCTGCAGAGCATTGGTCCGCAGCGTTGTATGAGCAGGAATTAAGGACATTTCTTAATTTTTTTCCCCCCACATTTTCCCACGTTAACCCTCTTCACAAACCCGGTGAGTATACAGCATTATTACTGTATTACAATTGTATTACAGATTTATTTTTCTTAATACCTGTTTTGAATTTTCATGCTGCAGATTCGACATTCAAGTTTGCTTGTTTATTGCACGAAAGGTGAGCCGTGTGCTTTGTTATTTATTATCATTTCCCTATTGTCTTTGTGTGTGGAATCTTGTATCAGCAGCGCCTAGAGTTAATACCCTGAAAGTTGTTGTTGTTTTTGCTGCTGCTGCTGCTTTCACCCCATAACATAATCCTCCTTGATCTCATATCTGTATATTCTAACACCCTTTTTTGAATAGTCATCAACGCCCCTGGGTGCCCTTTCCACCCTCTCCATCTGTCGCTTTGTCCTGCATTTATGACATAGCCACAGTCCTTGCTTTTCAGCCTTTTAAATGAAGCCCACTCAGACACAGATGCCCATTGCACACTTTGCTGTCATTGCTGGCATTGTGCGTGTGTTTCTGTTTGACCGCCTGATGCCTTCCCTTGTCCTTGTAAATGTGCTGATGACCTGAAAGCTAATATAAATGATCTGTGCAGTGTAATTGCTGCACCTGGGAATCTGTTTGCCAAAATAAACTTGCAAATATCTATACAGTTTTCTATCTATATATCTATACAGCTATCTATCTACATATCTATCTATACAGCTATTTATCTACATATCTATCTATCTACATATCTATCTATCTATACAGTTCTCTATCTATATACCTATTTATCTATACAGTTATCTATCCAATAATCTATTTCTCTTAATAATACTTTGTCATGGTTGCTGATTTGCGTACAAAAACTTTCAAACCTCAATCAAGATCCATGTAACTAGTTCCTGGCTCTATAACAGTTTCCACACGCATGTATTTTGAACCTCTGTCACATCTTTCTCTGACACAAAAGAGAAAAAACAGTCAAATAGTGACTCACATATTTTACAAGTTTGCAAATGTTTTCTAATAAGACAATTAAATCAGACCAACAACATCTTACAACGTTCTTTATGTTGGGACAAACTACATGCGCTGAAACTAGGTGCACCAGTTTTAATGCTATTGTTGAACTACGTAAACAAGCAAGAGACTAAGTCCATAGTTTATTGTTTAGTAGAAGGTATGTCATTGTGTCAAGGTAAAAATCCACTCACATTACAAGAACAATCCTTTAGCAAAATTCTCGTAATTTTTGTCTATGTATCCATCTATCTATCTATAATTCAGGTTTAAACTTACTGATATACTATACTAATTCATGCTTTATGGTGTTTGAATTGCATTGTTCAAAATCTCTCTGAAGTCTAAATATCACAAAGGATTAGAGTCACTTTGAACATCTTTAATTGTTCTGCATTCCTCTTATTCTAGTTACTCTTGCTCTGGCATTCCATGAGCCTATTGTCCTTGATTTTTCTGTAATATCAACATTTCCATATTTGCCATAGATTATTATTGTATTTTTGAGCCAAAATGTAATGTCATCATAAAGCTGGGGTAACATTCTAACTTTGGATGTGAAATCTCGTGATGGGTTTTTATTACAGATGTGCATTGTTATGGTTTGAAAGTTAGGTACCCCAGTTTTAAATGCCATTATCAAGTGTTTGTGTCTCATTCGTGAGAACATTCAGAGCGTGAGTGTTCAGCCAAAGCATCTTTTCAATTAAAGAAATATACAACCAAAATAAAATGATTGATAACTTTCTTCAGAAACATATTACTCAATTCTTTTTTGTTTTTTAGTGTAGTTTGACTTCAATCAATTAGGTTTCATTCCGATCCTGACTCAAAATACGTCAACCAGATAAAAAGTTAATGATTTCTTTTGGGTGTCAGTATAGATTTTTTGTTATCTCTGATGTTGTGTGAACTAAAAGTCAAAGTTGTGATTCGTGTCTGTTCTTTGCTCAGATGCTGGGAGTGGTTCGACGAGACGTGCCCTTCTCTGAGCGGCTGGGAGAGGACGTCCCGCTGGAGATGGCCCCCGGACCCCCTCCCACAGCCTCTCCTACTGGTCCCAACATCTCATGGCTCCCAGAAGCCCCTCTGCTCAGCCAGGACCCTCCCATCTTCCTCATGACGCCCGCTGCACAAGCTGTGTCCGGGTTCTTTGTGTGGACGGCGCTCATCCTGACGTGCCATCAGGTATTCTGCTGATATCCTGGTGTTACTGTTTCATTCGTGAAGTTGAAAAGATGAGGAAAGACAATATGTTGTAAACACGAGAACTCCCAGAGCAGTCGATTTGACGGCTTTTAGTTTAGGAAGTGTAATTAATCAGTGTATGTCCCTTGTTGGTCTTCATCACTTTGTCTGTATTCATTTCAATTCAAATAACTTCATTATCTGTGAGGAACTTCATCTGCAAACGGAGCACCAATGGGGATTCATAAAATACAATATACAATAAAAGTGCAGAAATGGAGGATCATATCTGGTTCAGTCAAAACAGTTGTATTCTTGCTGAGTTAAAATCACTTACTTTTAATAAATCTGATAGAAAACTAAACATTTTGGGGCAATTTTCTCCAGTAGTTTATCATTTCGGTGGAGGGCAGTCTTTCTTAGGCTAATCCACATCAAATGAATCTATCACAAAGTGTCAACACATATCAACTATGGTCTAAACTGTGGTCTAAGTAACATGGACAGTGCTCCTCCCGCTCCCTATGAACCAATGACTCCTATTTGTTTGTTATTATTTTATTTCCTCTGACTGTTTTATTCTCTGAACTTTGTAAAGTCCTCCGAGGCGACTGCTGTTGTGGTTTAGGGATTACCCACGTCACAACAACATAAATCTAATTGAATTGAATTAAAGATGTCTGAAAGCGGTGACAATATTCAGAAGAAGGATGGTGGTTTGTGAATCTTGTGTCTATCAAATCTTGAAATACATTTGGACATTTTCCAAAAACTTTGTCGTAGACTTGTTATAACTTGCCCTTGAACTGAAATAGGTTCCGTAGAATTCTATTGCATCACACAGATTGATGTTATTACACAATTATATATCAGTGGTTCATGTTTGTTCTCTTAATTTCTTACAAAATATAGATTCTTATTATAAATTGCTATTAGTCGTATTTTTTTTGCCTCGAGAATTACATGAGTCAAAAATCCTTCAGTTCTCAACATAACAAAGCAACAAACAGAATGTAAAACTAAATAAATGAATACAAAAATATATAATTATTAACAGTGATGGATTATTTTAAATTAAGTAAATTCCAGTCTATAACTTCAGTAATATTTAGCTCTACAGCCCTGAAACTGTGTGTTCTACAGTGTACACGCTGTCATTGAAAGAACACTGAGGTTTAAGGTTTCATCACTGACCTAAAAACTAAACTGTCTTACGGCCAGTATTGTTATCTCGTTACACAATGCTTATAAAAAAACACTATAAACGCCCCATGAAAAAAAAAAAAAAAGTTATCGCATCTTTTTAACACGGCCTTTTAGTCAACTCTGTGAATATAGATATAGCAAAATAGCAAATGTAAAACTGTTTCTGAGGGACTTGGGACAAAAGTAAACAGAATACATTCACTTAACTTGTGCCGTGTGCTCCTCTTTTCTACGGTTCTATAACTTGTGATGCAACACTGAAAATTCCCCAGTGTGGGACTCATAAGACATGGATGTTTTAACCCTAACCCTTGTTTGGACGTGGAAAGTAGACTTGGTGTGGGGCTCCAGTTGCTCCGGGGCCTGAGTGTCTTTGGTGCCTTCTCCCCTTCAGCAGGTGTCTCATACTTACACAGCACAATCAGCCCAGACACATACACACGCACGCACACACACGCACAATCAACACACACATACATACTGACACATACACACGCACGCACGCACACACACACACACGCACACGCATACATACAGACACACATACACGCACGCACGCACACACACACACACATACACCTGCACACACATACATACAGACACACATACGCACGCACATACACACACACGAACACACATACATACACACGCACATACACACACACGAACACACATACATACACACGCACATACACACACACGAACACACATACATACACACGCACACACACATACACGAACACACGTACACACATACATACTGACACACATACACACACGCACACATACATACTGACACACATACACACACGCACACTCATATATACTAACACACATACACACACGCACACACACTCATACTGACACAAACACACACGCACACACATACATACTGACACACATACACACGCACAGACACACACACTCACACACACGCACACACACACATACTGACACACACACACACACACCCACACACGCGCACACAGACACACATGTGCTCCCGGAGACACACACAGAGACACAGAGACACACACAGTCACACACACAGATTCACACAGGGACACACAAAAGCGCTGCTAAAACCCAGCTCTGTTTTTGTCTATTTTGAAAACCGTAAAATCTGTGGAATAACAGATGTGTTTTGCACTTTGGACATTCATGTGACATCAGTGTTGGAGAAACTGTTTCATACACACACACACACACACACACACACACACACACACACACACACAGGAGGACCTCGAGCACACTGTTATGAGACGAGCAGAGATTTTTCCCACTGAAATGATGTCATGCATTGATTGTACCGCAGTCACCGTCACATGGACTTTGCAAACACCACATCTACAAGAGCAGGTTTTGTGAGTCTCTGGAAGAATATATCATTGAACCTAATCCTCACTCTCTCACATAATCCATTCATTCTATTACTGGGGAGAAAAATCTATTCTGTTCAGTATCATGATATTAACCCTTTAATGTTCAATCCTTGTTTGATTTTCTAAGATGTAGGAGCAGTAATGACAATGTCTTTTCTTATCCCCTATTTTTTTCCTTTGTTTATAAGCCTTTACCAAATGGTTGAGACGCAGCGAGATGGTAAAAGTTCATAAAACCAGTGAGGTAGATTTCAGTCAGTTCCAAGCTCCAAGTAAATATTGTGGCTCAAAAAGTGACTAAAAATAACTAAAGGATACTCTACAGTAGGGAAAAGTATTGTTTAGTTATTGTTCTGTTATAAAGGATGTCAGTCTGTGATAAGGTCCTGTGTCACGTTTTTACACTTCCCCCCTCAGTGTTTTCTTCAGTTCCTGTACAGACGATAACAAATGTGACAGAGGAGTTGGTCTAATTTTCCTGATTTTTTTTATAATGTCTTTGAATAATATGAGGGACATGAATCGCAATATATCACAGAATGGATTCACAATATTTGCTGTATCGCAATATGTTTAAAGCTGCAGTAAGTGATGTTGTTAGCTTAGCCGTTAGCAACAACTGGAAACCACTCCCCCCTCCCCTCCCTCTCCACCAAACCAAACATCCAGCATTTTATTTTCTTTGTAGCAACAGGGAGAGTGGGCGGGAAACGTGAAATTATAATTTTCTGTTCAGCCATTTTAGGTTTTAGAAAATCCGATAACTCCGGTGCACTCACGAGAAACGTGAAGGGGGTAAACGCATCCCATTGGTTCATTGTTTTTGATCCGCTCCAAGATATGTTTTATTATTTTTGGAGACTAAAGGCATCTGGTCAATTCCATTACTATTTGAAAATGAAAACACATGAAAACTTGATACTTTTAGGGTTTAGGGACGTTTTCCCACAATATTTAAAAAAATCACTGACTGCATCTTTAAGAATCGCGATAATATTGAATTGTTCCCAGATATCGCAGTTCTATAGATTCGTCACATTTTTGCCTATTTCCACCACTGCTGTCTATTCACCTTGAGTTGAAATAAAACAATCCGTCGCTGTGTTTTTGGCAGATCTACATGCACCTGCGTTTCTACAGCTCCCCTCGAGAGCAGCGGCACATCGTCCGCATCCTCTTCATCGTTCCCATCTACGCCTTCGACTCGTGGCTCAGTCTGCTCTTCTTCACCAACGACCAGTACTACGTCTACTTCGACACGGTCCGCGACTGCTACGAGGGTAAGGGCCGCAAACCTTCACCTTTGTGTTGGAGAAAGACTGTTGTTAGTTACTGGGACTGACCATTCTGTGAGGGACTTTGGAAGGAAGTGTTGAGACGCAGCTTTCGTTGGCTTTATGATACAATAAAGTATTGGTTGGTTGATTTTATGTCTTTATGCAACTTTGGAAAAACGCTACTATAAAGAAGAAAATACCTCTGAAGATAAGCAGGGCAGGGCCTGGTTAGTACTGTGATGGGAGACCTCTGGGAACACCAGGTGCCACAGTGGGGCGCTTGTGGCTGTAAAGTGCCAAACTGTGGTTGTGTCCTTAGGCAAAACACTTCACCTACATTAGAATGAGTCTGGTGTGTGGCACATACTGGTTAGCTAACTTTTGTAGGTGTGCCCCAGGGCAGCTGTGGCTACAGTAGTAGTTTATCACCACTGTGTTTCGAATGAATGAAGCGTCTTCCACGATTTACTGTCATTTCATGTTTTAATGTGAAATAATCCTAAGTAGAAACTATATGAAGAAACTAGCACAAAGGTAAAACATGCTCTCCGGTTGAATTTTTATGTTTTTTGTTCAAATTTGAAAATCACCAGCTGCAAACACAGCCATGTGATTACAAATTATTTAATGTTTCACCTGAGAAATTACCAAAGCTAATTCATTGGAAAAACGTTTCTTTAAAAAGACAGTATTGAGTATTGAGTCAGGAGCTCTTAGACCAGAAGTCTCTGATACTAGCGTGGTTATGGTGGTTTATGGACAATGATCTTCTGCCTTCTTTATTATTGCATTTCCTGTGTTTGAACTGTGTTGGTGAATCGACGTTTTTGGGAACTTTAGGTCTATATATCTCCTTTTAAAGCTCATATTGTCAGTATATCCTGTGTGTTCCTACTGTGTGTGACGCTCGGAACAGAAATAGTCTGTTGGCGACGCTGCTGGGTGCGTCAGATAAAGCCGTGTCTCCTTCTGATATGAGCAGATATGGAGCAGGAAGTGTCCCGCCCACAGACACATGCCTTCATCCACATCTTCTCCTACACTTCCTGTCACTTTCCTGCACCCACTTGCACACCCTTGTAGTATTTTTCCATCTTGTGCTTTCTGAGCTTCCTCCGACCGGTCGCGTAGCAACAGCGCTCACAAATCTCTCCCGTCTCCGACAGTAAAGCATCACTCAGAGTTACTGCACCAAAACTGTCTCCGCTCTTATTGTGCGCTCAGGCTGGGTGTCCGTGGTTACTGCAGGCGCCGGGATCCTCAGAGAGATGAGGCGGTAAACAGTGTGGATGTGAAATACAGCCGTCACTTCAGACAGTCAACAAACGGAGGCCTCTGAGTGTAACAGCAGTAATGAAGTCAGATAAAACCTCATGACACTGAAGTCATAGTTAGGAGTTCATGTCTTGTTGACTGTGTCTTTATGGAGACTGTTCATTGGTCCAGCTTAAGGTTCCATATTGTGCATCTTCTTCATGTTTTACAGTCCATCATAGGGACATATGGGAAAACAAAGCTTCCCCTGGAGAGCATTATACAGAGGACTTTGGTTTCTTTGATTAAAATTCATGTTCATCTAATTCCGCAGTCAATCAAGAATGATCCGAGTCATAAAACCTTTTTTCATTGTGTTTCAGTCCGGTTGACAATTACTAAATAAGTTGAAAACGATTTTAACTTCTTTCCCTGGAATATTCAGTGGCTGGGTTCTATAAAGTGCACACTTTAACCTGTGAATAACATTGAGACGGACAGAGTAGTGGTTCTGCTGTGGCCAGGCCCCTGGAGGCTAACAGGATTATCCCACTGCTGTTTTTATGAGCTCAACCCAAAGACGAGCCGTAATCCACCACAGAGAGTCACGTGGCACGTCTGTTTAACCAGCCCTGGCCACAACAAAGCAACTGCATCAAAGTCATTATGGTCTGCCTTTATTTAAGGTCAAACTACTGCACCAAAATCAGTAGGGAACGGTCAACTTACTGATGGGTCTCGAATCAAACACAGAAAGCACAATAATAACAAAGACGTCGGAGCCATTTGTTCATTTGGAGCTGGACGACCAATGTTAATCAATGTCCTTAGATATCTCCCATCATCACTGTCCTATGGCCCTCCTGCATAATACATTAATAAACTCAAGTATTTACGTTTTCGTTTCTTTCAGCCTTTGTGATCTACAACTTCCTGAGCCTGTGCTACGAGTACCTGGGCGGAGAGAGCACCATTATGTCGGAGATCCGGGGCAAGTCCATCGAGTAGGTCATCTGCACTGTGGGTCTCTGTCCGGTCTGTCTGAGTGTCTGCTAACGTCATACCTGTGTGTTTGGGGTAGGTCCAGCTGTTTGTACGGCACCTGCTGTCTCAGAGGAAAGGCCTACTCCATCGGCTTCCTGCGCTTCTGCAAACAGGCCACGCTGCAGTTCTGCGTGGTCAAACCGCTCATGGCCATCATCACCGTGGTCCTGCAGGCCTACGGCAAATACAAGGACGGGGATTTCAAGTACGAGAAGCTACGAATTCTGCACACGGATTTTTGTCTTAAATGAGGAATACACAGAACATCTTTAAAAACAATGTGGGAAGAGACAGCCATACTAGTCTATTATCAAATAGACTAGTAGTAGTAGTAGCAGTAGTAGTAGCAGTAAAAGCTGGGTTACCGATTTCCCCCCATAAATAATAATACATGATGCTTGTCCCAATAAGATTCTTGTAAAAGTAAAACATATCAGTCGTGGTTCTTCCCATCGGGATCAGAGCGGGCCAATCAGATTGTCAGGGGCGGGATTTATACGACCATGGGCAGATAAACAACAGCAACGTAAGCAGTGACATCTTAGAGGTGCGCTAGGCTAACTTGTGGTGGACAATCATTGGTAAATTACAATGAAATGAGGAGAGTGGCTGTAGGTCCATCCAATAGAGTTTGTGAGGATGGCATAATCAGGCTACTCAGTTGTAGTCAAGAAGCATTGATTTTGGCAAAAGTAAAAAATCCAACTCACTCCCCACAGGTGCTATTTAGTAAACAAAGGGAGACGTCTGCTTCTTAGATTAAATCATTTGCTAATCCTCTCACCACCGCCTTACGCAACTTCAATCCCACTCTCCTGAAAGCAGTGTTATGGTATAGACACTCCCCTAACCTCCTGAAGGTCATTACTCTTGCCTGAGGCTCAGCAGGGCCGGACCTGGTCAGTGCTGTGATGGGAGACCTTTGGAAACACTAGGTACCAAACTGTCTTTGTGTCCTTAGGCAACACTCACATGAGTCTTGTGTTTATGTGTGTGTGAATGGTTGATGCTGGTGGGAGGGGCCGATGGCACAGACTGGTTGCCTCGCTTCTGTCAGTGTGCCCCAGGGCAGCTGTGGCTTCAGTTTTAGTTGAATAGTTGATGTGGATAATGGCATGTGAAGTGTCGTATAAAACCAATGCATTGTTATCAGTGTTATTGTCCTGTCGTTACAGCATTGCCGGGGGCTACCTGTACGTGAGCATCATCTACAACATCTCCGTCAGCCTGTCCCTCTACGCTCTCTTCCTGTTTTACTTTGCCACGAGAGATCTGCTGAGTCCCTACAGCCCCATGCTCAAGTTCGTCATGGTCAAGTCGGTCATTTTCCTGTCTTTCTGGCAAGGTACAGCTGCAACACAGTTTACGAGAATTTGAGACTGTGTGAGACTGTGTGAGACTGTGTGAGACCGTGTGAGACCGTGTGAGACCGTGTGAGACCGTGCGAGACCGTGCGAGACCGTGCGAGACCGTGCGAGACCGTGCGAGACCGTGTGAGACCGTGTGAGACCGTGTGAGACCGTGTGAGACCGTGTGAGACCGTGTGAGACCGTGTGAGACCGTGTGAGACCGTGTGAGACCGTGTGAGACCGTGTGAGACCGTGTGAGACCGTGTGAGACCGTGTGAGACCGTGTGAGACCGTGTGAGACCGTGAGAGACCGTGTGAGACCGTGTGAGACCGTGTGAGACCGTGTGAGACCGTGTGAGACCGTGTGAGACCGTGTGAGACCGTGTGAGACCGTGAGAGACCGTGTGAGACCGTGTGAGACCGTGTGAGACCGTGTGAGACCGTGTGAGACCGTGTGAGACCGTGTGAGACCGTGTGAGACCGTGTGAGACCGTGTGAGACCGTGTGAGACCGTGTGAGACCGTGTGAGACCGTGTGAGACCGTGAGAGACCGTGTGAGACCGTGTGAGACCGTGTGAGACCGTGTGTGACGACCGTGTGAGACCGTGTGAGACCGTGTGAGACCGTGTGAGACCGTGTGAGACCGTGAGAGACCGTGTGAGACCGTGTGAGACCGTGTGAGACCGTGTGAGACCGTGAGAGACCGTGAGAGACCGTGAGAGACCGTGAGAGACCGTGTGAGACCGTGTGAGACCGTGTGAGACCGTGTGAGACCGTGTGAGACCGCGTGAGACCGCGTGAGACCGTGTGAGACCGTGTGAGACCGTGTGAGACCGTGAGAGACCGTGAGAGACCGTGAGAGACCGTGAGAGACCGTGAGAGACCGTGAGAGACCGTGAGACCGTGTGAGACCGTAATGGCATTGTTACCTCTGTGATCAGGCATGCTGCTGGCCATCCTGGAAAAGTGCGGAGCCATTCCTAAGATAAACTCAGTGGGCGTGTCCGTGGGGGAAGGCACCGTCGCCGCCGGTTACCAGAACTTTATCATCTGCATAGAGATGTTTTTTGCAGCACTGGCCCTAAGACACGCCTTCACCTACAGAGTTTACATGGACAAAAGTTTAGATTCACAAGGTAAGTTTAGTTTGGGACTCAATAAGCAACACATTATAATGAAGGGAAAATAAATGTTTCTACGTTCAGACCAGTGTTCCCCAAACTTTTTGAGCCATGGCACACTTTTGTCATTGCAAAAACTGACTTGGCACACCACCTACTGAATGTGATACAACAAACTCTACATCTTTTATTAAAATGTTTTTGTTAGCTTAGCAGTAGCATCTCAGTCAAAGCCACTCCCCCATTACAAAGTGTAACCAAATATTCTTTTAATCAGATTCATTTGACTTAATGCCCTACAGCAACACGGCTTCCCACATTTCACTATATTTTTCTTCTTATTCTAGTAATTTATATGGTTGTTTTTTTAGTCGTCCTCTCTCTTTTATAAAGTTTGAGGGCTCCAACTTTCTCTGTTTCAAATCAACTCTGACCAAAAACTCTGGGTTCAATGGGGCGTTTGTAAAGTGTCTCGGTCTTTGTCTGTGTCTGTGTCTCTGTCTCTGCCTCTGTCTCTTTCTGTGTCTCTGCCTCTGTCTCTCTGTATCTGTCTCTGTATCTCTGTCTTTGTCTCTGTCTCGGTCTCTCTGTCTCTCTGTCTCTGCCGCTGTATCTCTGCCTCTGTCTCTCTGTCTCTGTCTCTGCCTCTGTCTCTGTCTCTCTGTCTCCCTGCCTCTGTCTCTGCCTCTGTCTCTGCCTCTGTCTCTCTGTCTCTGTCTCTGCCTCTGTCTCTGCCTCTGTCTCTCTGTCTCTGCCTCTGTCTCTGTCTCTCTGTCTCTGCCTCTGCCTCTGTCTCTGTCTCTCTGTCTCCCTGCCTCTGTCTCTGCCTCTGTCTCTGCCTCTGTCTCTGCCTCTGTCTCTCTGCCTCTGTCTCTGTCTCTCTGTCTCTGCCTCTGTATCTCTGTCTCTGCCTCTGTCTCTCTGTCTCTGCCTCTGTCTCTGTCTCGGTCTCTCTGTCTCTCTGTCTCTGTCTCTGCCTCTGTCTCTCTGTCTCTGCCTCTGTATCTCTGTCTCTGCCTCTGTCTCTCTGTCTCTGCCTCTGTCTCTGTCTCGGTCTCTCTGTCTCTCTGTCTCTGCCTCTGTCTCTCTGTCTCTGCCTCTGTCTCTGTCTCTCTGTCTCTGTCTCTGTCTCTCTGTCTCTGTCTCTGTCTCTCTGTCTCTGTCTCTGCCTGTCTCTGTCTCTCTGTCTCTGTCTCTGCCTCTGTCTCTGCCTCTGCCTCTGTCTCTCTGTCTCTCTGCCTCTGTCTCTGTCTCTGTCTCTGTCTCTGCCTGTCTCTCTGTCTCTCTGTCTCTGCCTCTGCCTCTGCCTCTGTCTCTGCTCTGTCTCTCTGTCTCTCTGTCTCTGCCTCTGTCTCTGCCTCTGTCTCTCTGTCTCTGCCTCTGTCTCTCTGTCTCTGCCTCTGTCTCTCTGTCTCTGCCTCTGTCTCTCTGTCTCTGTCTCTGCCTCTGTCTCTGTCTCTCTGTCTCTGCCTCTGTCTCTCTGTCTCTCTGCCTCTGTCTCTCTGTCTCTCTGTCTCTGCCTCTGTCTCTGTCTCTCTGTCTCTGCCTCTGTCTCTCTGTCTCTCTGCCTCTGTCTCTCTGTCTCTCTGTCTCTGCCTCTGTCTCTGTCTCTCTGTCTCTGTTTCTGTGCACCCATCTTCATTCTCTTTTGTCTCCTCTGCTGCGCTCTGAAGGGACTGCCCCTACGTACGAAGAGTTTGGTAGGTTTTCTGCTGTCATGTTTTTAATCCACCATAAATCCTAAATATTGATGCTTCTTATGCACGTGGTTTTTGCTCTAGTTCAGTTTCCCCTGTCTTTGTGTGTGAAGCTGGACTCTCAATCCCCAAACAGACTTTGCCCTTTCTCTCCATCACTTCATCTCACCTCCATCTGTTTAACTGAGGCATGTCCAAACCAAGGCTCGAGGGCCAAATGTGGCCCTCTGTGGCAATTCATGTGGTCCCTGGGATCCTAAACACCAAGGTCCCAGTGTCATCCATCTGGGACCAGGTGGTAAAAGTAGTCAACTTGGAAATGTCATAACTCATTTTAAAGCTCAGACGATTAAGATTCAGTGATAATTTATTCGTCCCACAGTGAGAAATTTTCACTGTTGCATCACCAGTTACAGAACAGTAGAAATGAGGAGCACACAATGACTCTATACTTAAATTTAAAAAAACATCTTAAACTTTAGCATATTAAAGAACCAAGTATAAAATCTCTAGCTTTAGCATAATACAGAAGCAAGTAGAAAATCTGGTGAACTAAAATGGCCCTCGTGCTAAAAGGTTCGGACACCTCTGGTTAGTCTACATGGTTCAGTTGATTTGCAATAAAACCACATTGGAATACACCCCAATGTATCCCCAATGTGACAAGTGCAGGACTAAAACAAGCTAAAAATTACAGTTATAAAATAAGCACACAAAAAAAACAGGAATAAAACTTGCTAAAAAGTACAGGAACAAAACACACTTTGAATTTCTATGTTGTTTGAGGCTAAAAAGTACATGAATAAAACAAGCTAAAAACTATAGGAATAAAAAAAGCTAAAAAGAACAGCAATAAAATAAGCTAAAAAGTAGAAGATTAAAACAAGCTAAAAAGTCCATGTACTCTGGCTCCAGCGTGTAACCAGCCCCCTGCCCTCTCCTCAGGCCGCTGCGCCCCCATGAAGAGCATCTCCAGCAGCCTGAAGGAGACCATGAGTCCCGGAGACATGGTCCAGGACGCCATCCACAACTTCTCCCCGGCCTACCAGCAGTACACCCAGCAGTCCACTCTGGAGCAGGGCGTGCCGCAACCTCCGATCCGGACCCTCAGCGCCACCGGCACCCGCGGCGACACCGAGAAGACGCTGCTCCTCAGCTCCGACGATGAGTTTTAACGACAGAGACGTCAAGTTTTTGTAGTTTTAAAAAGCTGATGGGAGTGAGATCATCTTTTTAGCAGATTTTTGGCAAGATTTGTACAGGTTTTGGTTCAGTTTTAAAAGGTTAAAACAGGCAGAATGTATATAGAAGGGACGGAAAACAGGAGGAAATGCAGGGAGACATGTACCGTACTTTCTGGACTATAAGGCGCACCTGTTTATAAGCCGCATCCACCTAAACTTTAAAAGAAAATCAATGTTGTTCACAGATAGGCCGCACCTGAATATAAGCCTCGGATTTCATGTTGTAATGTAGCAGAGACAAGACTGTTTTAACTGGACACAGCAAGATTTAATAACGATGCTTATCTTCTCTCGCATTCACTGTTAGCTTCCCTGACTCTTTCACTTTCATATATTTTGATAATAAACCAGTGTCCTGTAGCAACTAAAACTTAAGTCCCTAAACTCTGCTCTTACAGCCCTACCGGAAAAAATATGCACATTACTCGCATCGCTATATAAGCCGCAGCGATCAAAGAACTAGAAAAAAGACGTGGCTTATAGTCTGGAAATTACGGTACACATTTTGTGACTGAAACGCTTTTCAATTTAATGGTAGTTAAAGCTGGAGTACCTAACTTTTTTGTTTTATAGGACGGCAGTTTGCACCGACAGAAAGAGTGTGTGTGTTCTCTTTTTTGCACAGTTCTAAGAAAGAACCCCGAGAGTCGCCTTTTGACTCTTTGGGCGGAGAGCTGATTGGCTGAGTGAGGCCCATCCCGTCTTTCTCACTTCTCTGAAAAAGCTGATCTGAAGACGTGACAGAGGCTAAACCTACATTTGTGTGAAAACCAGTGATGGAACCAAACTCTTTTACACTGTTATTACGTAGTGTCATTTTTGGTTCTTTGAAAATTAGGTACCCCAGCTTTAATGTCATTATTTATCAGAATGGCAGCATCCTACAGTAATGTTTTGTAAATATTTGCCTTTTGCAATAGTTCTATTTTAGCTTTTCCTGGTTTATAAAGCAATTCTTTGTGGTATTTATGCATTTTTATAGATAATTTCAAAGTTTCACAAAAGTCCAACGTTATTTTTTACTTTTCTCACCACATTGTGTATATTATGATACACAGAAGCGGTTCAATAATTGCTTTGTGCCTGAACATATTTACAGGAAGAGAACAAGCATCTGTGGTCAATCTCGTTCCCGATGGTGACTCTGAGCAGCCGAATGCACACGGTTTGGATCAATACTGTTTTCAATACCACACTGGGAGATTAAAACATACTGTAGATTATAGATTAGGCCCTCCGCATCTGCAGCGGGGTAAGGATGGGATTACCCCGCTGGAAATGGGGCGTCATCAGAAGGACACGGGGATTACAGTCTGGTCACGATGTAGGTTAACGAGATCTGGGGGAGAACTGAGGCGGAATTATGTTTATGAGAATCCAGTGTCATCTTTTGCATTTATGAATGAGGCGTCTGTGTTACTCTATATTTAAAGTGGTTCTCACCCCCGCTCCTCGGAGCTTACGTCACTCACATTTCCTGTTGAAATCTTCCTCTAAATGGGCGTAGCCTGGAGGACTAAAGGGGGCGTGAACGAGACTGGGCCGTTTACATAGCTCTGGGCGGGGGGCTGCTGACGTCAGGTCTTGCTTCAGACGTCAGGTCTTGCTTCAGACGTCAGGTCTTGCTGTCGCGCCAGTGTTGGCGCCAGATTCAAAATTCAAATGTAGTAATACAGGTCGCCAGCAGATGGCGCCTCACAGACGGTTTTAGGCAGAACTTTCAACTAATTTGCACCAAAGTGACAAAATTATGACCAGGATATGTAGACAACACTATTGGACACTCATTTATACAGTTTATCAGCAAAAAAAAGTGGATTTGAGGGTGAGTTGTCCTTTAAAGATGCAGTCAGTGATTTACTAGACACATTTTTTGAATATTGTGGGAAAACGTCCCTAAACCATAAAAGGAGGGGAGGGGGGAGTGGTTTCCAGTTGGTGCTAACGGCTAAGCTAACAACATCACTTACTGCACCTTTAAACAATAGAATAAGAAATGATTGGAAGAGAGTGGTCCTCTCTTTTTCACTTTTCTGTCTGACAAAGTTGCTCTAAATCTAAATTTGGGGTCTCAAAAAAAATTTGGGACCCCAGCTTTAACTTCCGTGTATACGCCTGCCTTACAAAATGGGTTTCTATGGGTTTTTTAAGTCATCGCTTTTAGATTTCAAAAAGACAGCGTGTCTACTTAAAAATGGGAAATATTTGTGTCCTAACGTCATATTTAATCCAAGTATCATTAAACTGGAACACTATTTTTTCCACATTTCTCTTTTGCGCAGGGCATCTACTTATTCCGAATTAGCTTTGCCTTTCCACAAACTGTCCTAAGTTCTCCCGACAATATTTGATTTTCCCTTGAGGCCTGGTTAGGCTGTGGTTTCACATAATTGCTTGTTCCTGACTCAAAGCAGTGAGTCATGTCCAACGCGCTGACGTGTTTACTGTGGCCACTTTCCCTTGGGTGCTGTAGCGCAGTGCGGCCAGCAGGGGGAGTAGGCACATGAGACACACACACATTACAGAGGCCTCAGTGAGTCTTATCTTGACGCAGACGGTCGTGTCGTGAGGGATAGTCAGCTTGGCTTCTTCTCCTGACAGTGATTACCAAGTTTATTTTTGACTCTAAACTTGGTCATTTTACTTTGCTTTTAAACTTTTGATCCAATGTCTTTGTTGTAAATGCATTTAAACATATGTATTTTTAGACTAAAATCAAATAAGCGGCTTTTTGATCTTTACTTTTCTTTCAGCGAATACATTTTTTACTTTACCGTATGTATGCTGTCTACTCTACGGCAATTTTTAAACTGGGCTAAAGAGTAAAAGTACTTTTGAAATACGTTTTGTAATCTATTAGGACATCCCAAGCTAAACGTTCAAGCCCCAACTTTGAGTAAACAAAATACACATCGTTTTTGCATTCAATTCCTCATCAAGATGGACAGATTAATTAATTGAACCCATTTCAAAAGTACTTTCTTACATGGGTACTTGAATACTTTCACTTCAGTAGATGTATTATTCCGTTTACTATTTTGTTTTGCTGCATATTGTCATTGTTTATTCACTTGTTTGTTCATTTACTCTCTTTGAAAAACGGGAAGTGCTCATAAACTGTCTGGGTTCATTTCAAGCCATATTTCTTGGCCTTATCTGTGCGATTACACTACGGTACACTTTCCTCTGCACTTTAAAGTCATGTTTTTTCTGATGTTGCTCCATTATCGACAGCTGTAGGAGCCTAATGTGTCAGAGTTTAAATAGGCAAAAAGCAGCACCGGCGGGGAAGTAGTTTTGGATATTTATGTGTTTTTTATTTTCATTTGTTGCTGTATGTTTTATGGCATTCTGGAGAAATAATAAAATGTATTTAGACAGAGCGTTGGGTTTGTCTTTTGAGTTTGGTTGAAATTGGTAATAATACATTAGTTTTTAGGGTTTTTATGTAGAATTATTAACATTATGCAGTCACTCCATACATGCTGTCAGTGGTGATAAACTACAGTAGCCACAGCTGCCCTGAGACACACTGACAGTTATATGGGCGGCACGATGGCTGAGTGGATAGCACTCTTGCCTCTCAGCGAATCCCGGTTGGACCAGGGCCTTTCTGAGTGGAGTTTGCATCTTCTCCCCGTGTCTGCGTAGGTTTCCTCCAGGTGCTCCAGTTTCCCCTACCACTAAAAATATGTACAATAGGTCTGGCAGGTGCCTCCTGTACTGGCGACCCCACTCCCAAAAATCACAATTGTAAACCGCTTTGAGACTCCGATGTGCAGTGAAAAGGTGGTAAATAAAGATTACTTACTTATATGAGTGCATGTTAATCAGGTAAACAAAATTAGTATACAATGTTGTAACTGGATTTGTCTTCGTAAAAAGAGTATTTCACCCGACACAGGTGATTAAGAGAAGAAGAAAAATACTCTAAATTAGAGTCAAAGCAATGTCCTAATTTGGGACTGTTTGTTACTCACATGCAATACAATTCTGACTCCAAAAGGGTAAATGGTCCAGAGGGGTGTGAAGTTATAAGAAGTAATCAAAATTCAGCTCGAAATTCCATAATTAGGGTAGATTTTTATTAATGTGGCAGGTGCATTTTACCAACGAAAAGATGGATTTTATTGATGGAGAGATGTACAGGTTTCTATCAACCGGGTTTTGAGTGGTCCCTGATGCAGGAGGGTCTAAGGACAGGGATGATCCCGGACATTGGTCATTCTATGAACCAGCAGCTCCTTTGTGTTTGAATACGGGAAATGCAACAATAGCAAATAACTTTCTAAAATCCTCAGACGATAGGAAAATTATAAGGTTATTAGGGGCCAATATCTTTAATGTGGTCCTGAAATATGCTGGAGGAAGTGTGCGTGGAGAGGGACGTCTGGGCGTCTGCTTCGACTGCTGCCCCCACGACCTGGCAACGGATGAAGTGGAAGAAAATGGAACTCAGAATGGTCTTGAAATTGTAAGAAAGTTGTAAGTCTCCTGTAAAAATTATAAGGTAGTAATATGTAAGTGTCCAAAACATCTGGAAAACCACATCACACCGTTGTATGTACAATATGTACAACATTTATTATAATTAATATATAAAATAGACAATGTACTTAAATTTTCACAATAGAAAAAATACAAGTAATAAATACAAAGACCATTTTGTTTTGCAAGTTTTACAAAACATCCAGCACAATCAGACAGACATTAAAATATTGAGGATAAATGCTTCGACACACATATATTCTTATAGCTAAATATATGCCTGATCTCTGTAGCTCTGTCCCGATGCTTACACGCACATGATGTATTAGCACTAGACTCCGTGGATCTAAAGGTCTAACCGGGCCTCGGACTGCTGGAGGGTCAAGTGTATAAAGCTCCACCCCTTTCTTTCCACGTCCATCTTCCACTTCCTGTGTCCATCTTCCACTTCCCTGACCACCCGTCCCCATCGCCGCCGCCACCGCACTTTCCTTCACTTCACTCCCCTCCACCTCCTCCTCCACCTCCAACCCCCAACACCTCTGAGTTTTACACAATAGTAACATACGAATCAGCATAGAAAAATAAATGTCCCTCCAAGGATCCACTACGACAAGCCGTTAAACACACAAATCATATTACAGCATTATGGCCATTGGCTTTGAGCATATTCCTACTTTTTAGCTAATAACATTTGTAATCATCGTCTCACAATACAATAATTAGACAGAGGAGACCCCCAGACTAGTCATAGGTAAGTACTTCTGGAACATACGAAACATCACAGCACTCGTTAGCTTGTCTTCTCATTATATCTACCTTTAAATACAAATAAAATATAGAATATATCTCTGATAAATGTCACTGAACATTTTCGTCTCTCAACGGCACATACAAACAGTACAAACAGGAGCAAGAAACAGGAATGTTTGCGGAGGACTTTGCATCTTCGTGAGTGATTCCGACCGGACGCAGCTCCGCGTATCGACACAGACTGAGCTAAAAATGACTTCTGCGTTTGGGTGTCCACCATGATACACACGCACACACTCACACACACACACACACATATATATATATATTTACTATCATAGAAAATCAAGCAGCCGCAAAGTTACTGCACATTGTGGGAAGAGCGGACAAGAAGTGCTCCCGGGATGGAAGAGTAGGTTTGGAGGGAGACCAGTGAGAAGTGGCTCCTTTATGGGGGTTGCATACAGCGACATACACTGAAGGCACGGCATAAGAACTGTCTGAAAGTGTAACGCGACACTGGAGAGAGCCACGTGGACGCACACCACCGCCCCCGCCGCCGCCACTGTGGGAGTCCTGAACATCACAGTGAACGCCGAAACCCCTCGTCCTTTTGTTTGTTTTTTTGCAGCTGTGCGTCACGACCTGGTCTTCAGTCCCTCCTCGAGTCCAACACAACGTTTCTAACTCAGTTACATAAACTGAAGAGTCGAGAAAATGTAAAACAGCAGGTGCCGTTCTGTCCGACAGAGACGTGTTGGAGACGCCACAGTCTCTGTACGACATGCGCTTAAATTCACTGATATCGTGAAACAGATTAAACTAAAAGAATGGTTCTTTTATGCCATTTCCAACACGGTTCTGTTCTTTTCTACAGACGCTGCAAGCACATTTTGAAGACTCGACCCTCGTGTTAAATCCGACAAACTTTTCAAATATTACTCACGACTCATGAACGAGCGATGAGGAAATGTCCAGAGTCCCACCATTGTCCATGATGTGGTGATGCAGCAAAAGCGGTTTGGAAACAGGAGTCCAAGATGTGCGTGCAGCTGCAGCCGCACTGACCGTGGCGTGTCTACAGTGTGCGTCCTCTGAGCGGAGCCTGTGTGAGTTTGCATTGTAGCTTGTGTCCCTCCCTGACCCCCTCCCTCCCTCACAGCAGGGTCCTAGGAGGGCTCGTGCTCCCTGTGAGACTGCTGCTGGGCGGGGCTCTTGACGATGGTGATGACGGACGCCGTGTTGAGGCGCGGCGCGGTGGCGAGCAGGTTCCCGCCTCCTGCCTCCAGGCCGCGGGCAAACCTCTGAAGGGCGGCCAGGCGAGCCCCCAGCCCCTCCAGCTCCTTCCTCATGCCGGCGTTCTCGGCCCCCAGTCGGTCCACCTCCCGCTGCAGCTCCTGCTTCTGCTGCTCCAGCGCCTCTCGCTGCGACACGCGCTTCACTCTGCAGCTGGCGGCGTAGCCTCGGTTCTTGAGCGTGCGCCGCCGCTGCTTGAGCTTCTGGATCTCGTCGCGGGACATGCCTCGCAGGTGCATGTTGAGCTCGCGCACGGAGAGGGACATGAGCTCGCTGTCCGACAGCACGGGCACGTTCTCCCCACACTCCTGCTTCACCTGGACACACACACACACACAGGCGGGTTTCTCAGAGTGGCACAGACGTCAGAGAGAGACAGTAGAGGTGGGAATGAGCAAAAATTTGACAATTCAATAGTATTGTGATTCTTAAAATTGTCCAGCTCTGAACTTTCCCCTCTGTGGGACAAATAAAGGATCTTATCTCAACAATTATCTTGTCATTTGATTCTGTGAGATATTGAGTGGACTGGACTGGAGCGGTGCAACTGTGAAGGCTGTGAGAGGATGATGACTTTACTAATACATCTGTATAACATCTGTATATCATGGGTGTCCATTTTCACACACTGAAATATTGACACAGCACAGGGCCAATTCAGGACCATCCAAGGCTAGGGCAGCATTTTTTTTAGAATTCATGTTTTTTTGGGGTGCGCTATCAAAAAGTAAATAGATTTTAAATGAACTCAAACATGAGGCCAATACTAATGATTGACCACAGACTGATTGACCCATATTGCACGTGGGTGTGTATAGTATAGTATAATATGTACAGAGGGCAAACTGATTCTATATAATTCCCATCTAATATTTAGTTTCAGGCTGGTGTTATAGGATTACTTAACCATTAGTCACCAGTGTGTGCTTTGTAAATATAAAAACTTTAAATTACCTTCAGGGCTTTGCTGTTTCTCTCCATCGTCATGACCTCAGGCTTCACACTCAACACCAGTGGAACACACGGACTCTCTGAAAACACACAACATTCACACATTTATTACATCCCCTCTCCAGCTCACGTACAGTAACAGGCGAACGATGACGCGGGCGCTTTTCTCTGTGGCGCCCGAAAGCAGAAGCTGTAACTCCGGTGTCAAAACGTGCTTCTGTGAAAAGTGCGAGCTCATGAGATTCTCCGCAGATCTGCTGATGCTTTCTTTGTGCTGCGTTAGTTGGAACAGCCAGGACCAGGAAGTTCTCGTGTGTCTGCCCCCTGGTTACTGAAAGGCAGGTGTCCCAAGCAGCCAAGCCCTTCTCCACTTCCTCCTGTCGACACCAGACCAACGGTTTTTAAAAACGGGGCCAGACGGATCGCTTAACCTTCGCCGTGGAGGCATAAACAAGATGGGTATGCGAGGTCGTTTGTGGAATAGAGTAGAGTTAAGTCTGGGTGGCTCATAATCTAATCTAGTCCAATCATTGTCATATCAGAGTTTTTACGAGAGGCACGAAGCCACAATGTTTCACGGTTTGAAAGAAAGAAATTGACTTTTTTAATGCAAGTAATTAGATTTATTCAGCGAGGGTATGGAACAGTCTTCCTGGCTGATGTGAGACAGGCCTCTACCCAGACCGTGTTCAAAACTAGACTGAAAACACATCTTTCTAGCAGCGCATACGACTGATTCTAATGTTTACTACTTAATACTTTTATCGCCCATTGAAACCCACTTTTTTATCTATTGAATGTTTAGTGCATTTTGATTTGCCTTTTTACATTTCTCTTGTGAAGCACTTTGAAATGCCCTGTACATGAATTGTGCTGTTAAAAAAATGGCTGATTAAATTGATATTTCAAGTGGCTAAATAACCTTGGGTCCTCATTGAGATAAAATGTTGAAGTTTTGGGTCATCCTTAAGTGGGAAATGTATTGAGAAGGAAATAAAAATGAGTTAAGATAAAAATAGTTAGTCCGACGTGTTAGAAATGATATGTGATATTTGTGGAGCATGAAAAAACAGGAAGAGAAAAATGGGGGAAAAAATGGATAAAAATATGAAATCTGTGTTATGTTTTTGCCATTTATCATTTTCTATTTCTACCGGAAAGACAGAAACAAGAGTTAAAAACAAGATGAAACAATAAATGATCTAAAAGTAGAAGGATTGATATAAAAACTTATAATTGTGATAATTTATTCTATTTGTGTTATCTTAAAATCCTCTTAAAGCTGCAGTACCTAACTTTGTTTCAGAGTCACACGTGTCTTTGGTCCATCAGAAAGTCGTGTAAAATTTTAATGTTGTGAATAATAATCAAAAACACAAAACACTGCCTTCATCTTTTTATAAAATGCTTTTTCAAACAAACAGTCACTATTTGACTGTTTGGGCCGAGTGACTGTGGTCCTCTCTCTTTTCCACTTTTCTGTCTGAAAAAGGCTGAGCTAATGTGACAGAAACACATGCAGTAAAAAGCAGTGATAGAACCAGACTGGGAACAGAGTGTGGGACCAAACTTAGGTACCTCAGCTTTAAATCACATGTGTTGTTTTTGCTTTTTTGACTTTGTTTTTCTCCTAAAATCCTTAGACATTTTATACTAGCTTCTTCCTTATGCTAAAGCTAGAGATTTAATTTTGGTATAGAGTTATTGTTCATTTATCTTGTCCTGTGTTCTCCTCATTCCTACTGGTCTGTAACGGGCGATGCAACACTGAAATTTCCCCACTGTGGAACGAATACATCTCTCCATCTTAAAGAGGAGGTATTCTCGCATCTTAAAGTCATATCAAAGTTATATCAAGTTTAGACTTAGACTTTATTGATCCACATGGGGAATTGTGTTGTGAAAATAACAAAGTAAACAGCCTGAAAATAATAATAATAATACTAATAAGATACTATTGTGAGAGTAGAATAATAGGTATAAACATATCTGTGAATATTATGTACACATTTACAGTTTCACACATTTGAGAGACTCGTGAGTTTGAATATTATTACACCGCTTCTAAATTCTCCTAAAAACACTCATTTTCTTTGGTTTGTCGAAAGTGCAGCGTCTCATATGAACATTACAGTCTGAGATATGACCCCGGTGCTCTCGTCACATCGGGCCAGTCAGCAGACCCGAGGTGCTTTCCCGGTTTACTTATTCTTAGAGGCTGTGGCAACCCTCTTTGTTTTGCAACGTTGGACTTTTTCTCAACCGACCAAACAGACAACTTTAAATCACAAGAAGAAACATGAGCCGTGTCCCCCGCAGTCTCATGCTTTCTGAGGTCACGGCTGCCCTTTCCATGAGCCAACTTCTCACTGTTGTCTCGTAACTTCTGCTATTTTAAAGTTTATTTTCAAATCCTTTGGAAGTTTCAGAGTGAATGATGTTTCATGTTCTGGATGTGTGTAGTCTGTGGTGTCATTTTTTTAATGTAAATGTGTAACTTTGCTGCCTCTTTGCCACGACTCCCTTGTCAAGTCATCATTAAAGGGCCCTAATCTGTCAAAAGGCGTTAATAAAACATGTTCTTTTCCAATAATTATTTAACTGAAAACAGTAGTTCAGAGATATTTGGATTTCAAAATTTGTTTTACAGCCCCAAAATCTTGTTATTGTTTTCATTTCGATGTCCACCCTCCACCGTTTTACCAATCAGAAAGTCTGATCAGGGGTTGCCAGAACTCACCGCGTCAAGCTAATCTCACTGGTAAAGTACCATGTGGCGCAGAACTAAATAAAGGTCTTGTTATGATTCTCGGACACAGTGTTCGGACACAGTCAAACAAAGCTTATTTCATTTATTGACGATTGATTGTTAGTAAAGTCAAAATATCAAGAGAAAATATATAAATGTATTTGTAAAAAGTAAACAAACAAAAAATTAAGATCTAAACCAGAGAAAGAAAAATTGGGACAAATTCATATCAAAATGAATGTATCCAAATAACAAAATATATCAATAATTATCTTTTTTTTATCGTCTTCATTGGAACTTCCTTATAGATTATTGTCCAGTATTTGGTCCCTTTAACTTTCAGCCTTTTTAAGTACAGGTGGATCTTCTGTTCGGCCGACAGTCAGTCTAATAGAAACACATTTGAACACTTTAATGAAGTGTGTTGCAAAACAAGCTGTGGATGAGGAAATGATCACAACGGACCAAAAACTAGATTAGTCACGTTTTTATCTGAATTTCCAACAATTGGTGTCCCTCATTTAGGCATTGTTGGGCAAGAACAGAAGAAGGTTTTAGTCAGAAATGAGAAAACGAGGTGAAGAATCTTTTCAGTATCTCCAGCTTTAAGTCTAGGGAAGAATATCCTAAAAGTACACTATGCTCTCAAATTATGTCTTGTGAAAGTTGAATAAACAAAATACTGGAAGTCCTTTTCGCTGAGTTATTAACGTATTTACAGTTCAAGCAGAAAAGTGTCAGATAGAAGGAAAAAAATGCTTTGCTCATGAGCACGTCGACCACATGTCGATATTTCTCTTCATGGTTTAACTGCTTTACTGAAGTGTGTCTGTGTGTGTGTGTGTGTGCCCATGTGTGTGTGTTGTTGGTGTGAGTCCGTGTGTGTGTGTTGTTGGTGTGAGTCCGTGTGTGTGAGTCTGTGTGTGTGTGCGTGTGAGAGTGTGTGTGTGTGTGTGCTGGTGTGTCTCAGGAAAACAACCAAATTGGATTTATTCTAACATTTTAGGCCAACACATCATTAGAGGGTAAACGTCTGGGCGACAGTAGCTCAGTTGGTAGAGCATTGGCCTTTGAGCCCGAAGGTCGTGGGTGCGAGTCCACCACGAGACCTTCTCCACCGACTCCAACAGATGTCTGCTGTCATTGTGTCCTTGGGCAAGACACTTAACCCGCTTTGCCTAAAAGGAGTGAGGAAGTGGTGTTCACTGCTTGATGTGTATTTACATGTATATAAATGTAAATGTAAATTTCCCCATTGTGGGACGAATAAAGGACCTTCTTCTTAAATGGTTCAAAAGAATCAATGCGTCAACTTTATATTTGGTCAAATTTTGGTTAAATATAAACAAATACATTTTGTAGTCAACCCGATACACCTTCATAATGTAAAAAACAATAAGAACATTCTTTTGGCCTGACATGTTCCTATTTTCTTATTCTGCCCCTGACCAAAAAGAGGCTATAGGTCTATAGGTTAAAATGGGGTAACCTGGAATTATACTATGGATGGTTTTACAGGCCATCTTCTCATAAAAATCATTGTATCTTTTGCATAAATGTAAAATAATACATGCATTTTTTTTTACATTGTTAGTCACTATCTGACGCTTTGGGGCAAAGTGAGGGTGGTCTCCTATTCACTTTTCTGTCTGAAAAAGCTAAAAAATCTGGTCTAAAGATGTGACAAAGCACATCTATCACAGACACATCTGAAAACTAACTAATCCAAAGAACTAGTTCGTTGGATTTTATTACATAGTTAACATTTTGTGTGATTTGAAAGTCAGATAACCCAGCTTTAAGTAAAATTACAAAAGCGTTACCCAAGCCTTTACATACACAGTTAACCCCAGTGTTGTGTATGCGCAACCAGTCACTGCAATACAAGATAAGAGCCCCAAAACACAGCTTTTACATCAAAGCACCTGTCCCCATTGCCCTACAGTTCGATGACCCCTGCACAGCATTACCCAAAAACGCGTGGGAAGTGTTCGTCCTCCAGCAGCGGGCGCAGAGAGCAAAGACCGCAGCTGAGTTTCGTGAAGTCAGGGTGATTCAGCAAGAAACGATCCAGCCCTGCTTCGCTACCCCCAGGCCAAGTCCAGACCAACACACGCCCGCAGCGGCCGCCATGACGAGGCCGATCTCTCCCCCCGAGCGTCTCTCCACTTCCTCTGTTATTTATCATGTGGCATTAATATCATACAAAGCCATGGGATCAGGTCCACGCAACACAGGCAGGAGATATGGGCATGGCACGGGTGGTATGATGAAATAAGATTGGACATGTAAACGGGAAATGTGTTTAAGATGATGTATTTGGATCATAATGAGCAGAAATCCAGAGGTGGACTATTCCCACGGTCTGTGTTCCCAGCGCGGTGTCTGGGTGAGGAGAGGGGCCACTGGGCTAAACGCCTCCCCTGTTGTAGTAAACAGCCGTCATGTGCTGGCCATAACATGTTTTAACGTCATTTAAAGGCCAGCACATCATCTTTCCGGGACGAGTGGTATTGAATGTAAGGCTATACACGTTTTTAATCACGATTTTGAGCGTTTAAAGGCCATAAATACAGCAGAATGCACACATGCTAGCATCATTAGCATCGTTAGCATCAGCGGTCTGTGACTTGCTAAGCAGATTAACACACACAGCTGCCTGCTTATGTGTCCTTGGTCAGAGCGCCAGTCCCCTAGGGCCTGCCCCACTGTTACCGCTGTCTCAAAGCTACACAACAACACATTTACTGTACAATATTCATAAAGTGTCTATTTACCTGCCGAGCCGAAGCGAAGCTGGTGACAAAATGTCAGTCCGCCTTTTCCCGGAATTACTCCGCTGCTTTCTGAGGCTGGATTCTTTCATTCATAAAAAACACAAGCTAAAATGACGTCAAGTGTAAAGAATGAGGGCGGAGCTAACCCCGCCCCCGCGGCGTACTCTGAGGATGTAAACAAGGCTTCAGTAGATCCAACTTTTCCATGGGCTGTGTGTTTTCACTGCCCTCAGCAATAACAGCTTCACTGGAAGTGGAATGAGAGAGTTACACAGGAATGTCTGTCACGGGTCAGGCGAGCTATTTCAGAGCACACTCAGGATTCCAGCAAGAAAAGAACCCCAGAGAGGGCCCGGTGAAAGAGTATTCATGTTACTGGTAAAACGCAGACTTTGCAGCAATTGGACATGAATAGACTTATGCTTTATGTGTACTTAGCTAGAGTTTGGGAATGAGGAATAGTCCCCACTTTAGCTCAGGGTTAGCATAGGGTTTTCAAAAACAGTTTTACACAGGAGTACCCAGGAGTTATCTGGTTGTCTGTAATAAAGTTTAACGATAATAATATTACAAAGAAGAACATGAACATACACTCTGCAGATAAGAGTAAGTGTATGTTCTTGTCTTATTTCCACCCTTCTATTTTCCTCCCCTTTATCTGTAGCTGGGCAACAGGGGCAGCTTTCTAGGTAAAGATGGTCAGACTTCCCTCTACACAGACACTTCTTCCATCTCATCCGGGAGAATCCTGAGGTGTTCCCAGGCCAGCTGAGAGACGTGTCCTGGGTCTTCCCCAGTGGGACACGTCCGGACGTCCGGACATCTTCCAGCAACAGCTCTACTCTGGGCTTTCCCAGAGTGACTGAGCTCCCCACTCTGTCTCTGAGGGAGCGCCCAGCCACTCACGACAGTCTGATACAGCTCTGACTGCAGACGCTGCTCCCTCTTCACCACAACAGTCTGACACAGCGACCACATAACTGCACACGCTGAACTGAACAGTCTGTCTCAGTCAGGCTCGATTTCTTATTTGAATGGTAAATAATAGCTCACACATATGTACGACACACAAACACACACAACTAACAAAATTACTTTCTCACTTTTCTCAAGAGTTGTTGGTTGATTTACTTTTGTCCATGAATAAAGTTTAGTTCATGATTGAGATATTTACCTTGAGGGTCATTTTAAACAGTCTTTTACCTATTTATAATTCATTCTTTGTAAATGTCTAGTATACATGTACAAGACACTGTTGATTAGAAATATTGTGTTTATTATTATTGTATTACATTATTATTAGTTGCTAATGAGTCTAGTTCATGCTAAATGTTTATTAGACATTTGGCAAGAAACAAAATAGGTAGCTCCCTGTGTCTATGAGGGTTTTCTCCAAGCGCTCCGGTTTCCCCCATCACCAAAAACAAGAAGGGTATATTCACGGCTAGCGACCACGACTCCTCACAGGTCGCCCTCGTGACATCAGGAGGATGGGTCACATGCAGGGATTTTCCTTCTGGGACATTGTAAAGTATACCTCAACACTAGGGTACACTAATATGACAGCTTTTCATTTTGGAAGTGCAATTACTCCACTTATGTACATTTTTGGTCTTAAAAACATTGTGACCTTTTCTGAATCTATGTGCAGTTTATTTCTATGTTATCATGTTCGTGAAATTATCTCGATCCTAGACTGGTCTTTAGACTTGTTCAGAGCAATCTCGGCTTGGAGATGGGGCCAGGTACCATAGCAACCCACGGTTTACCTACTGCTGTTAATATTTAGTTTTCTGGGCGTTTTTTTCAATTGCATTCACCAGATTTGGGAGTTCTGGTAGTTTCAGAATTCTGGGAGTCTGAGTGTTATAAAAAAAACATAGATGAATAGTCTATGTCAATTTATTCAATTAAATGCAAAACACACTGGTGACAGTGTTAACAGTCATACTTTAATTTAGCCCTCACACATCAGCAGCTAATTAAGTGCTAATTAGTGTGTAATTAATTAAGTATTTTTTTAATCTCTGTATTAGGCCTTATTCAACATCTACTACTGACTGACACATTCCTATGTGTGCTAGGGTAGGGGAACACTAATTAGCACTAAATTAGCTGCACATTAGTCTAAAGTGTTAGCGTGTTAACTTACTTGTTTGTAGCTACATTTGAGAATAGATTTTTCTATACTACACTCCCTTTTATTTAGTGATTTCATTATGCACAATTTTATTATGTTTGACAGGAGGACATGTACAATAATTATTATCATATTTACCAGTATTAGCAAAAAAAAGCTGCTTAAAAGTGGTTTAATTTTGATAAAACAAAAACTTTTTGGGGGGATTTTCAGAATTCCAGTGATTTTAATGGGAGTAGCCAAAATGACTTTTTTTTGTGATGAATTTGACAAAATTTTGTTTTACTGTTTTTATGTAGTTTATTTCAATGTAATTATGAGTATGGAATTATCTCGATCCTGGATTGGTTCAGAGCAATCTCAGCTTGAAGCTAGTGCTAGTTACCATAGCAACACACAGTTATCAATCAATCAATCTGTATTTGGCTGTATTTAATTTATATTAACCAGTTTAAGAATGCATTCAATATAAACACTACATTCATTAGTTGATTAATAAAAGTTGGGAAGTTGATTAATAAAAACTAAAATGTTTTTTTTTTACCATAAAAATTACTGCCCTGGGAGTTCTCGTAGATTCAAAATTCTGGGATCTCTAGTGTTAAAGACCTGGCTGCATACTGCCAAAATTGAAAAAAAAATACGTTAAAAAAAAAGTTTTATAATTTTTGTTAAAACCTGTCGTTACACCGCCGCTCGGCAAGGTGACGCTGTGTTCTCTCCGCCGTGTCGAAAATGCCCTTTGCCCCTTTTCGTCACAGACAGACCCAGAAGAGCCTCACGCTTTGCACAGTGACCTCGGAATCTCTGAATTACAGATCACACACTTATCCAACCACCGCCACCACCACCGGCTCCATAGCTCCACCGCGGGACCGGGCTCTGTGCTTACCCGCTGTCGTGTCACTCAGTCCGGGCTCACATCCGCGCAGAGCACCCACCGAGCAGGAGCAGAAACATGGCCGAGATAGAGGAGCTTTCCCCGGCTGCGGGCCCCGTGGCCACTCGGCCCCCGGAGGATGAGATCGACGACGACGAAGACGAAGATGAGGATGTAAGTGATGAAGTTCATGTCTGAAGAATAATATTGAACTATTGTGTCTCAGCTCGATCGTTTGTCGAGAACTCTGCTTAGGACGAGGCAAAGCTAATGAATGAATGTTGCTCCTGCAAGTCACGTAAGAGCTGGGGATTATGGGCCAGAATGATTGAATGTTTATTATTTATTTTATTCAGTATAAATAATATTCTTGTAAGTTATAACATGTGTGCCTGTATAATGCCATATTTGATATTCAAATGCAGGGTGAGCAGATGTCTCCATAAACAGAGACTGTCCCATGTCCCAGATGTATATATACAAAATTATATACACATTTTATCGATTGCCTTTAATAGTCCCACAGTGGGGGGATTTCAGTATGTCCCTGTTTATTACCAACTTGATATGACTTGAATGCACTGGAAACATGTTCCAAGTAGCCCTGAAACAGTGATTTTAGCTTTTTCTAGCTCTAAATTTGGCTCCAGACCGTACAGTGTGCGTAAATCCACCAAAGGGAGGCTAATTTACAAAATATGCACCAGCATGCGGATTCAGGATTCAGGGTTTCACACTGGACCTCCACACATCTGTCAACTGGAGAAACACTATTTAAGAAGCTTTAATCCTGGCTCAAATGTTTCAGTAAGAGTTTACATTACTTTATGTAATTGTCTTTTGACTGTTTTTTCTGTAATAAACTGATGGTCACGGAAATTTCCCCCTGTGGGATGAATAAAGTATCTGTTATGTACGATGTGAACTAATAAGCCTTTTATTCCATGATAGAATGTCTCGGATCATCGTCTAGATTCTTATTCTAATGTGATTTCCATGGTTTTTACCCACAGCTGGATGAGACGTTGGGTGAGAGGTTGTGGGGCCTCACAGAGATGTTCCCAGAAACACTCCGGACGGCGGCGGGGGTATCTGCCCAGTGCTCTGTCTCTCTGGCCAAGAAGCTGTATAGGTACGTACATTTAGGCTAAGGGTAGTTCCATAAGAAGGTCCTGGAGTTTCCTAGCCAGTCTCCACTCCTCAAACCAATAGAACATTTGTGGAGGGAGTTGAAAGCCCCAAAACATCAGCCCTCAATTTGTTCTGGAACGGGCCAAAATACCAGCTGCAGTTTGTGGTGAAGACACAAAATGTTTGACCTCTGTCATTGTTAACAAAGGTTACATTACAAAGTAGTTGACTGTAACTTTGCAACCAGAACATGAAACCAGTTGAAACAGACTTTTTATAACAATGTGTATCATTTATTTGTCCAGTTTTTCCCGCGCTGCTCTTTGGGTCGGTACCACTTCTTTCATGATTCTGGTTCTGCCGGTGGTGTTTGAGACAGAGAGACTACAACTGGAGCAGCAGCAACTTCAGCAGCAAAGACAGGTGTGTATGTCCAACTAAAGCTGGAGCACCTAACTATTTGACACTTTGGGATTATTTTCACTTTTCTGTCCTAAAAGGCTAATCTAAAGAAGTACACATATACAGTATTAGACGTATAGATAATAATTACTATATTGATTTCTCTTCCAATAACTAATTGATGGACTAATGTAACTTTAAGCTCAGAATTTATTGTCTGTATATATTTTTTTGCTAAATTGAGAAAATATTTGCCATTTGTTTGACTTATGTGTCTCACTATGTATTTTGATTACACTTCATGGCTATTGCTTAATTCAGCCGTGTATTTTTTTCAACATATGACTTAATGAAATGAAGACAAATAAAATGGTTCTCAGGGATTTTCCTGCTGCATTGTAATTGCACCAGTCCTGCAAAGTCAGTTCAATATTTTGCTTTGTCTCAACAAGTGTTAATGTATGGTCCAATGAAAATCCATTTGACTTTATGTATTTGAACAGGGACGGTATACATTCATCAACATTACTATAAATGTGTCAGTATTAGCTATAGGTTGGTTTAAACATAAAGTTAACATACACGTTCAGCAGAATTAGTCTAAATATTACAATAGTTTTTGATTTTTGTGTGGTTTTTAAGTTAAGTATTTCAGCTTCTACAGTACAGTACAGTAAAAAAACACAAAAAAAACTTTCAAATCAAATGACAAATATTTGACTTTTCACATTCAGATTCTACTTGGGCCGAACACGGGGATGTCTGGAGGAATGCCCGGGATGATGCCCCCGGGAAAAATCTGAGTGGCGTCCTGGGCCTGGCGTGGGCCTGAGATCTGCTCCTCCGTTTGGGCCGCCGAGCTGGCCCTGAGGAGGGACAGAGAGAGCAAGAAGAAGGCGAGAAAATATCTAATCAGAAGGGAAAGGACACGTTCTTCTACCTCGCTGTCTCTCCTCACAGTCAACATTATGCAGAGACTGAGTTCAAGCTGGACTGCTTTAGTTTTGTCTTTTTTATTTCTGGAAGATGTTTAGGCGGTAATAAAATCTTAAGTGTATTGCAAGAGATATGGTAAGGAAGGTTAACTGTGTTTTTGTTCAAGGGAAACGCTCTTGTTTTGCCTTTGAAAATAGTCTGTTTAATGGTTGATACGGTTACTTAACTGTCCAACGTCACCTTCGTCTGATACAAGCAAACAATGTGAATACAATGGATAGAAAAATACTGAATGTTTAAGATATTTTTCGAGCATCATCATAAGAATGCGTCTCATGTGGATTTAGCAATTACATGTCCAATAAAACACAGATTTCAAAGAGTTAGAAATGGTATGTTATTGATGCAAGATGGTGTTATTTTATGTCTTTCACTTTTTCTCACTTATTTTAAGTTATTTTGAATATTTTGCCGTTACTATCACTAATTATTTTTTAATTATTAGTTTATCTTACTCTAATACGCAGTGGTTAATCAAAGTATGAGACTAGAAAAACTAAAGTATATTTTGGAGGCTGGTATAAGTGCTAAGTTAGACTACAAATTAGAAAACAAAGTTCAAGTTTTAGTCCTAATATTAGAGATTAATGTTTTTTTCTTTTATTGTTTAATAAGGCCCTTTGAGCCTCACATGATGAGGGAAGTTATGTTCTGCAAAATTTACATTTAAATCCTACATGACACGGCCTCACACACAGTTGAAAACATTTGACAGAAGTGATTCCCTAAATTATCTTTTTTGTTAAAACACTTCATGCTCAAAGACTAGAGTAAAATCAGTTGTTATACAGCTTTTTCCATGGTAGAAAGTAAGTGATTTCATAATGTCCATAATGTGGAGAACACTTTGTGGTAACTAACTGTACAGATAAATATGAATATTTACAGTCTACTACATGGTTTGATTATTGTAACTAAAATGGAAAGTATCCACTCTCAAACTGAAGTACTTTACTTTCCACCTCTGAAAACTATACACAATGATGGCGAGGTGTAGACACAGAGCTGTAATATAGAATAAAGTATACATTAATATAATCTAATAGTATTAGACATGTGGCTTTCAATGATAATAGGACAAGTCAGATGTTGTAGATTATATCACTCGTAGGACCAGGAGGAAACCTCCGCAGTCACAGGAGAACACGCCCTGTCTGAAGGTGGATTCGAACCCAGGACCTTCTTACCATGAAGCGAGAATAAAAATGAATATATAAACTATTATTATAATGTATATTTTATTATGTACTGTAGGCCACGTTATACAGGTTCACCACCATTTTTAATTCCTATTTCCGATTTTCCATAAAAAGGTTTAGATAAAGTTATTCATCTCCCGCGAACCCGACCGGAAACAGACAACCCGCGAAACTTCAACCCGGACTTTTCCACAATCTTACACCATTTACTCAGTCTTGTCTCGACTTCTAACTTTAACCAGAATATCTGTTGCTACTGTATTGTTTTTTCTCCTTAAATTGCCATATTTGTGTGCATTAGTAATTGTAACTTGATATTAGCTTTATTTAGCATATTAAGCTAGCAGCGGAGCTAATAGTTCTGACTATGAAGGCGTCCCAGGACCAAGTGGTGGAAGACGACTGTGCATTAAATGATGATGAGGTAAAAGTGGTAACATCCTGTCTTTTTATGCTGATAACAATATAATAATGTACTTAAAAAATATTTGTATCCACCAGGAGTCCTTTTTCCAAGACATTGACCTCCTCCAAAAACACGGGATTGTAAATTCCTCTCTGAACATTTGTTTTTAATCACACAGTCCAGGCTTTAACAGGATTAACTTTCTCTTCCAGAATATGGCTGACATTAAAAAGATGAAATCAGTGGGAATTTGCACAGTCAAGGGCATCCAGATGACCACACGGAAAGCTCTGTGTAATATCAAAGGATTGTCAGAGGCCAAGGTGGAAAAGATCAAGGAGGCAGCAGGGAAGATGCTGGTGAGATATTGGTTATAATGCAGGGCTGGGAATTGGCAAAAATGTGACGATTCGATAGTTTTGCGATATTTGGGCCACAATTCAATATTATTTTCATTCTTTACTGTAATACAGCAAGTATTGCGATTAGATTCTGCAATATACTGCGATTTATGTCCCTCATATTATTCAAAGGCATTACACAAATGGAGGAAAATAACAGTCAACTTAAAAGTCACATTTATTATGGTCTGTACATGAACTGAAGCAAACACTGAGGAGGGTAGTGCAAAAACGTGATCCTTGAACACTCAGGACACAGGACCTTATTACAGACACGTCGTTATTCTCTGAACAGCTTCATCATCACTGACATTATTCACGTACAACAGACTAGAGTCACAACAAGCAGACATGATGTAAACTCAGAAAACACAAAAATGAAACAGATAATTATTTATTTAAACATCGCAATACTTAGCTCTACTGTATTGGTTTAATTGCGTGCACAAAATATTGAAATATTGAACAGAATTGATTTCCCACCCCCCACTATCATAATGTAGTTGTAATTATTATGTATTTTGTATTTTTTTATATTCAACTTGTTATACCCAGACTGTCGGTTTCCAGACTGCGTTTGAATACAGTGCGAAGAGAAAACAAGTGTTCCACATCACAACTGGAAGCCAAGAATTTGAGTAAAGATTAGAACATTAAAACTGTTCATGTTTATGGTGGTGGTTTATAATCATTTGTCTATGTCTGCAGTAAACTCTTGGGTGGAGGAATTGAAAGTATGGCAATCACTGAGGCTTTTGGAGGTGAGAATATTTCTGTTTTGTTTATTTTAAATTAAGTATCTTAATAGATTATAATTTGTTGGGATTTTTTTTTAAGAGTTCCGCACTGGAAAAACCCAGCTTTCTCACACACTTTGTGGTGAGTAGCAAGCCTCCTAAGAATTGCTGTTACTAATGAATATAATACAAGTTAATTTTACTACAGTCACTGCACAACTGCCTGGGGAGGAAGGCTATTCCGGTGGGAAAATCATTTTTATTGACACAGAACACACTTTGTATCCTTTTGATTTTATATTTCATTCAAATGAATGAAGACGACTATGTATGTGAGGCCCTGGATGAAAGCTGTGTGTATGACTTAGTTTTAATGCAGACATTGAGGTTTGGGGAACACTTTAGATTTGCCCTCACCCTCCATCCATCCATTTTCTTCCCCTTAATCCATTTCTGGGTCGGGGGGTAGCAGTCAGCGCTGCATCCAGTACACAGAGCACCAGCAGGTGGTGAGTCCACAGGAGCCTTGATCTTCCAGTGAGGGCTTCAGGCAAAGTGGTGTTAAGTGTCTTGCCCAAGGACACAACGACAGCAGTCATCAATGGGAGTCATAAAGTAGGTCTCGTGATAGATTCGAACCTACAACCTTCAGGCCCAAAGGCTGATGCTCTACCAATTGAGCTACTGTCATCCCCATTGCCCTCACCCATTAACAGCTAATTAAGTACTAATTAATGTACCATAACCCTAACCAGTATGGGACAGTGTAAGTTAGTTGTTAGTTAGATGTTGAATAAGGACAAATACGTATTAAATAAATATCAATCAAGAGCAAATTGGGTAAGAAAGTAGTTTCAAGCAAACTTTATTAATATAACACCTTTCACAGACCAGACTCACAAAGCGCTTTACAATTGTTGTTTTGACATTTGTCTATCACTCCACACATGGGAGCGGGGTAACCATTCAGGAGGCGCATGCCAGACCTATTGTACATGTTTTTAGTGTTTTATTAGTGTAGTGTGAGGGGAAACTGGAGCACCCAGAATAAACTTACGCAGGCACAGAGAGAACATGCAAACTCCACACAGAAAGACCCTGTCTGGAGGTGGGATCGAACCCAGGACTTCTTGCTGTGATTCACAAGCGCTGAGCAGGGCTAAACTAAAGTATGACCTAGTTTTGTGTTTGTTTTTAGAATGTTTTACGTCATGTTTTATTATGCTTGTGAATGTGTTTGATTGCATGTCTTTGTAAAGCACTGTGGGTTGGATTACATGAATTGTGCTTTATAAAATATATAAATAAAAGAATACTCACTTAAATCCACTCAAAGGTATATAGGAGGACTTTCCCAAATTTTGGAATCTCACATATCACCAGAATGATTGACAATTAGGAGGACCAATAGTTCAGTTGATCGACCCAGAAGTAGAAAATCCTCCCATGTGCCTTTAAGTGATTGGAGTTCATTGTTTCAAATCCTTGACTGGGCGGAGTCGTCCTGACAGACTGAGAGATATCGCTGATCGCTTCAATGTGGACCATGACGCTGTGCTGGACAACGTGCTGTACGCTCGTGCTTATACAAGTATGTCACAATGAATGCTTCCTGTTTGCGTTTTACAATCCAAAGTCTCATTACCTGTTTTGTCTGTAGGTGAACACCAGATGGAGCTGTTGGACTTTGTAGCGGCAAAATTTCATGAGGAGGGTGGAGTGTTCAAGCTGCTGGTAAAGTCTATGCAAATTTAATAGAGCAGACTACACACACACAACAAATGGGTTTCTGAACAGACAGGTTTTAGTGTGGGGCTGCGACCTGGCCCCAGATATAGTGTTAGAAATGGAATAGATAGACAAAGTGCAGAGTATAACGTGTAATTTTACTTTTATCTCTTAAGTATCTATACTTTGTACTCTATGAAAACAAGTTAAAAAAAAAACATAAAGTTGAATTTTTTTCTGCAGCTTCTAATTTCATAAAGCTACTCCTCTACAATGGTGTAACAGTTTGAGAGGTTTCACAGGCAATGCTAAAAGTCTCAAATTAATATATTGTCCGCCTATTGTTTAATCAAACTGAAATGGACTTTTTAATTTTTCGCTTAAAACCCTTTGAGCACCAAAGTATCAGAATGGCTTTGTGAGGACGTTCCCACAAAAGATATCTACATGTTTTTTCTGTGTTCATTTCTGTTGTCGGTGTCAGTCCTCTATCTCGTAAATTAAGTTTCGGGGGCTCCACCCCTAGTCTGGTTCACTTCAAATTCCTGAAAAAAAGTATATACATGTACATAAGCTTGTAGATATGCTGTTGATTGTATGTATTTACTTTAATTATATAGCACATTTTTACAGACCAACGTCACCCAAAGCGCTTTACAATGTTCAGAGTTAAGATATCTTTCCATTCACACGGTGATGACAGAAGCGAGACGCTGAAAGCACTGAACCATCAAAGCAACAATCAACACCATATGTTCACTCACTCGTTACCTTCAGACCTATTGTAGATGTTGTTAGTGGTAAGGGAAACCGGAGCACCCCGAGGAAACCTACTCAGACACGGGGAGAAAATGCTAACTCAACTCGCAAAGGCCCTGTTCTGACCAGGACTCAAACCCAAGACCTTCTTGCCGAGAAGCGAGAGTGCTTAGTATCCACTCAGCCACATCCCGCCATGTATACTCTTATCTACATTTTTATTTAAATACTTAGGACGAATTATTCCTTCTTTGGTAATAATTATATTGTTATTAGAATGCAGATACTTGAAAATACAAATGATTACCCATTATATCAAAACTGTTTGTGTCTGATAGATCGTGGACTCCATCATGGCTCTGTTCCGTGTGGACTTCTCTGGTCGAGGGGAACTGGCAGAGAGGCAACAAAAACTGGCTCAGATGCTGTCCAGGCTGCAGAAGATCTCAGAAGGTACGATGGATTTACGATCCTGCACAGTCAGCAAAAAACAATACAAGTAAAAAAAAAAAAAACAGTAATCATCATCATAAAACAAAGAAAATACTGGAAAAAAAGCAGACAGAGGTCACCGCAAGAAAGACAAAACAAAAGTGATCAGTAAAATCTTAAAATCAATTCTAAAGCGAGCAGGGACCCAGTGGAGGGACGCTAAAACAGGGGTGATGTGCTCCCTTCCGTTAAAACCAGTGAGAGGTCTGGCTGCTGCATTCTGAACCATTTGGAGGTGGGAGAGGGATTTGGAGTCGAGGGAGTTGCAGTAATCAAGGCAAGAGAAGATGAAGGCATTGACAACTTTATGGAGATCAGGAGTTAGCGTAGGTTTCCTCCGGGTGCTCCTGTTTCCCCTACCACTAAAAACATGTATAACAGGTCTAGCATGTGCCTCCTGTAGGGTGTGTGGAGTGAGAGACAAATGCCCACAAGGTAAAAGATTACTTTTAAAGATTACCGTACTTTCTGGACGTGTATAGAAACCGTATCAGCTAAATTTGAAAATAAAATTACTTGAATATAAGCCGCAGTTTTTATGTTGTAATGTCGCAGAGCGACGACTGTTTTAACTGGACACGACATGATTTAGTGATGAGGTGTTTTAACAGCTTCACCGTTAGCTTCCATGACTCATTCACCTTCATCTATTTTGGCAATAAACAAAGTCAAAGTAATAAGTCCATGAACTCTGCCCTGAACACTCTACCACACTAAAAATACACATATTAGCCATATCACAACTGTGAAAACTGTAGGGTCCAAACTAAGTAAAAACTACATATTAGGTTCAAACCTGTGGGGGCAAGTCCCGGCTCAAAAGTGGCCAAAATGATGTGCGCTGACATGCTGCAATACCACCCCGGGCCGATGGGGGTGGACCCGGAATAAGAATTAGCCAATGCTAACATAGCATTTTCTTACCGCTCGAAAACATCTTTACAGGATGGTCCAAAAATTGGCTCTTGGCCCAAAGCTCCGTCCCACATGTGTGTCAATGCTGAGGGGAGTGAATTTTGTTGGACCACTCTAGTTTAGTCGCTGTGAATTTTTGAAGTCACTCGTTTAAATGAATGGGGCTCATGCGCAGATGCGTTTTTTCACATTTTCCAGCCCCGCGGCCATTTTGAATCACTCCATGAAAGCCCAGTTTTTGGCCCATTAGTTAGAACGGCGGAGATAGGCGTGACTACGTCCGTTGATATATGGTTCAAACTAGAAAAAAGTAGCTGCTTATAATCCTGAATTTGCGGTATTTTCTCACCTTGAACATTTTAATCTTTGCGATAGTGCAGATGTGAAAAGGCGTGCGGCGGTGGTGGAAGACCATGGATGTGTTTTATTATTGAGACTCATTCAGTTTTCATTTCTCTTCAGAGTACAATGTGGCCGTCTTCGTCACCAACCAGATGACCGCTGATCCTGGAGCCGGAATGACGTACGCAGAGTTTTACAGCTAAAAGCCTGAACTTAAAGGCAACATCTGGAGTTTATGTTTTTGGATCTCTCTCCAGATTCCAGGCTGATCCGAAGAAGCCGATCGGAGGCCATATTCTGGCTCATGCGTCCACCACTCGCCTGAGCTTGAGGAAAGGCCGAGGCGAAATGAGAATTGCAAAGATATTTGACAGGTAACAGAAGATTGAATCGAGAAAATACTAAAGTAAATGTAATTCTTTTGATTCTGTTTCTTGAAGCCCTGACATGCCGGAGAATGAAGCTACATTTGCCATCACTGCTGGAGGTGTCGCCGATGCCAAAGAGTGACGCACACATAGTTTTTGTCATTTGGAATCTATTTATTATACAGTATACCTTTAATATATCATTATTTATGCAACTTTTTACCTGTTCAAGTTATTTATCAACTGTTATTGTTATTAATAAATGGTATTTCAACCGTGTTCTAAATCTTGTGCTGATTTGTATGTCTACAGAATGGCCATATTGGAAAAATGATAGTTGATAGTCTGGGGCCGTATTCCTAAAGATTCTTAGTGCTAAAAGTTGCTGCTAGTGGCCAAATTCTAAAAATGTTCTTAGAATCTTGAGCAACTCTTAGAATTTCCCCTAAAATTGAGGAGTAGATCCTAGTTAAGAAAAAAGCTATTCCTAAAGGATCCTAGCTCTTAAGAGAGCTCGTAAGGTGAGATCCCTTAAGAGTTGAGAGGAGGACTTTTAGCAACTTAAAAGTTCCATAAGAGACAAAATGGTGGACGGTGGAGACAGGAGAAATATTCTATTCACTGGATTACAATGAATCAGTGAAACGCTACAGATTTAGTCGTGAAAGAATCATGCTTATGTTATATTTAAAAGTCAATCATGTGACCAGCTTCTTATTGGCTGGTCAGCAATAACACATCCATTTTACCCTTGTAACACGAAAGTGAGTAGAAATGGTAAAAGTTGAAAGAGAAAAATTAACCAGCATGGTAATTAATAAAAGCAAGTAAATATAACTACTATTGTGTTAATACTGTGCAAGTGGGCCTACATTTTCACATATTCAGTATGAATGAATGAATACTTTATTTCGAGCCATGGCAAACAAGGAAAAAGGACAACAACAAACAAAACAACAACAGAATAGAACAAGTACAAATATACAGTTTTGTTTTATTAACAACAATCCAGTTCAAAAAGGAGTGTGAAGAAGTTAAGACTTTTAAACTCCCCCCTCTATCATTCTAACTTAACTTCAATGAGCTACAGCTGAGTTTATTCCGTGGTATATTTACAGTTGTGCAACAGTGACATTTACAATAATATGCACTTGACTTGTACAGTGTATGAATAATATGTTTATATTAACATTGTTTCCTTAATTCCATATACGTCTTTCAGTATCACAGCCTATATATATATATATATATATATATATATATATATATATATATATACCTGTATATATATGTGTAAGTGCTCATGATATATACGTGTGTTAAATATGTGTGATAAATTGGTGCTAAGCAAGCTCTAATGATGTGGCAAGGCAAGTTTATTTGTATAGCACAATTCCTACACAAGGAAACTCAAAGTGCTGAACAAAACAAGAAAGCATTAAAATCATAAATAATCACAGAACATTAAAAAGAAAGATAAAGATATAAAATCCCTCAGTTGTATGCACAGCTAAACAGAACTGTCTTTAACCTGGTTTTAAACATTGTCAGAGAGGAGGCCTGTCTCACATCTTCAGGAAGATTGTTCCAGATTTTAGCAGCATGAATCTGAAAAGCAACCTCCCCATGTTTAGTTCTGACTCTGGGCACTAACAGGAGTCCAGTCCCTGTGCTTCTCAGAGTCCGGGCTGGTTCATATGGGACTAACATGTCACTAATATATTTTGGTGCGAGGCCATGGAGAGACTTGTAACAAGCAGAGCTGTTTTAAAGTCTATTCTCTGAGCCACAGGAAGCCAGTGCAGAGACCTGAGAACTGGACTAATGTGGTCATACTTCCTGGTTCTAGTCAGGACTCGAGCTGCTGCATTTTGAATGTACTGCAGCTGTTTTACAGCCTGTTTGTGGTGTAGAAGTCTTACTCACTGTTCACCATTGATATATCTGACTTTCTACCTTTTCTGACTATTGTTTACAATAACACAGTCTTCCTAGATTAGATTCCATTATTAAGTTTGTCCATTAGAGGATCCTTATTTTGCCCATCTTCATCAAAAATATGTTTTTTCTAACTTTTAGGATCAACCAATCAGAGTCTCTGAAATGATGACTCAAACCTAGCAACTGGGTCGGCCACGCCTCCTCACTAAGATAAAAATTGTCGTACACTCCTTGCTAAGAGTTCTCTAAGAGTGTTCTGGAATAACTTTTAAGCTAAGACTCCTTGCTAGGAGTTTTAGGGTTAAGATAGGAGCTCTCTGAGAGGACTCTTAGAATCTTTAGGAATACGACCCCTGTTGTTTATTTATTTACTAATTTGTCCATGTCATCAGAATCAGAATAATTTTTATTGCCACGTAAGTAACAAACAATTTATATGCAATGTAGCGGTCAAAAGCAAGGCAGATATACTGTAAATCCAATAAAGCCGAATTGCGGCGCCCTCAGAACCTCCGTTCACAGGGGCTTATCCATGCCGGGTCAGAGAGTTCAAGCCTGACAGACAATGTCATTCAGCCTCATTTCAAGTGTCTTATTTCCTTCAAGTGGACGTGTTGCGAGGTCTTTAAGCAACTGCTCCACTAGCACAACTCTCCTCTGTCCAGTCACGACGCTCTCAACCACGACACGGCTCGACTCCTTGTACATCCCATCAATTTAGTTGGACAGCAGGTCGTGAATTTTTTGAGCTGCCATGCCTCCAAATTTGCGGTAGAAAAGGACCGCTCCAAACCCGAAAAGGTGGATCCCCACCACCAGAATTCCAAAGATATTCGAATCTTCCGAATCTTCAATAGACAGTGCCGACAGGCAAAGGGGCTCCCACTTGTTCCAGCTGTCAAGAGTATACCCCGCAGGTGCCGTCCCATCAGCTGTTCCTACACCCGTGAGGAACTTATGAACAGCCGACCCACCGTTCCCATGGACCTACTGCCTGTTTTCTTGGCATCTGCGGCTGATTTAATTCATGTTTTAGCCAAAAAAGTGAGGACCCATAAGAGAGGGAAACGCAGCTGGGTGCTTGTGTGTCTGAGGCGGAGAGGAGCGCGCACGGCTCTACCCGGCATTTTTCTCTCCAACGTTCACTCTCTGGGCAATAAGATGGACGAACTCGGCCTGCTGATGAGAAGAAAAAAGGACTTCGCCTTATCCTGTGTCCTCTGCTTCACTGAGACCTGGCTAAATGAACGGATCCCGGACTGTGCTCTGGAGCTACAGGGCTTTGAGCTGTTCCGCTCAGATCGCCATTGTGCGCTCTCAGGGAAGAGCAGAGGCGGAGGACTCTGCTTCTACGTAAATACAAACTGGTATTGATGTGACAGTAATCTCCAAGCACTGTTCTCCTGCTCTGGAATATCTTTTCATTCATTGTAAACCGTTTTACACCCCACGTGAATTTTTTCATTCATTCTTGCCTCTGTTTACATACCGCCATCCGCGGACGCGCGCGAGGCTCTGCACTTGCAGAGCAAGTTCTGTGTATGGAGCGTTTATACCCGGACTCTCTGATATTATCCTGGGGGATTTTAATAAGGGAAACTTGAGCCAGGAATTACCCAAATACAGACAGTTTATCAAATGCCCGACCAGAGAGGAGAACACTCTGGATAACTGCTACACCACTGTGCGCGGATCTTACCGCGCTCTCCCCCGCGCAGCCCTGGGCCTTTCAGATCACTCCATGATACATCTGGTTCCTGCTTACAAACAGAGACTAAAGCTCTCGAAACCTGCAGTGAGGAGCTCCAAAGTGTGGTCTGATGAGGCTGTGGAAGAGCTGCGTGCATTCATGGAATCTACAGACTGGGACCTTTTCAGAACGGCCTCAGACAGTTTGGATGAATACACGGACACTGTGACGTCATACATTCACTTCTGTGAGGATAGCATAATTCCAACAAGAACCAGGGTCATCTACAACAACGACAAACCCTGGTTCACTGCTAAACTCCGGCAGCTCAGAAATGCAAAGGAGTCTGCTTTCAGGGAGGGGGACCGCAGCGGCTACAAGGCGGCTAAATATTAGTTCAGGAAAGAACTGAAAGCAGCCAAGTCCCGGCACAGAGAACGACTACAGGAGCAGTTGGGTAACAATGATACTGCTTCTGTCTGGAGGTTGTTGTCTTGGTTGTTTTCATTTTGTGTTTTAAATTGTTTTAATCTGTCTGTGAAGCACTTTGGTCCTCCTGGTGTTGTTGTAAAGTGCTATACAAATAAACTTTGATTTGATTTGATTTGGAGGGGCCTACGGGAGATCACCAACTACAAGCCCAAAGCCCCCCTCTGTGCTGACAACCACAGACTGGCCAACGACCTGAACAGGTTTTTCAGTCGCTTTGATGCTGCCCCTGACACCTCCCCCACCCCCCATTACTCTAACGACCCACCCATCAGCTCTGCCCCCACCCTGACAATAGCCTCGGAAGACATCAAAAGACTCTTCTTGAGGCTGCACCCCCGAAAAGCTCCTGGCCCGGACCATGTGTCTCCAGCCACTCTGAGACACTGCGCCAGTGAGCAAACTCCTGTCTTCACTGACATTTTCAACTCCTCTCTGCAGTCTGCAGTTCACCTACAGAGCCAACAGATCTGTAGACGACGCCATCAACCTGGCCCTCCACCACATCCTACAGCACCTGGACTCCCCGGGGACCTACGCCAGGGTCCTGTTCGTGGACCTCAGCTCTGCCTTCAACACAGGATCTGTCATCCCTGCTCTAGGACAAGCTCTCCCAGCTCAACGTGCCCAATTCCACCTGCAGGTGGATCACTGACTTCCTGACGGACAGGAAGCAGCGAGTGCGTCTGGGGAAGAATGTCTCGGACTCTCGGATTATAAATACAGGAGCCCCACAGGGCTGTATTCTTTCTCCCCTGCTCTTCTCCCTGTACACCAACCACTGCACCTACAGCCACGACTCCGTGAAGCTGATCAAGTTCGCGGACGACACCACCCTCATTGGACTCATCTCCAACAACGATGAGTCCGCCTACAGGAGGGAGGTGGACCTGCTGGTGTCCTGGTGCAGTGGTAACAACCTGGAGCTGAACGCCCAGAAGACAGTGGAGATGATTGTGGACTTCAGAAAGAGCACTGTCCCCCCGCCCCCACCCTCCGTGATGGACTCCCCCATCACCTCTGTGGAGTCCTATCGTTTCCTGGGCACCACCATCACCCAGGACCTCAATTGGGAGCCGACCATCAGCTCCCTCATCAAGAAGGCCCAGCAGAGGATGTACTTCCTGCGGCAGCTCAGGAAAGCCAAGCTGCCTGCACAGATGTTGGTGCAGTTCTACACCAGGGACAAGCAGAGACTACAGTGCATCATGCGCTCTGCAGAGAAGGTGATTGGCCGCAGCCTGCCATCGCTGCAGAACCTGTACGTCGCCCGAGCTCGAGGCCGGGCTGGTCGTATCACAGCCGGCCCCTCCCACCCTGCACATGGACTATTCCAACCACTCCCCTCAGGCAGGAGACTGCGGTCCATCAGGACTAGAACCTCCCGCCACAAGAACAGTTTCTTCCCCTCTGCTGTTGGACTCTTGAACACTTCTTAACCTCCCCGCCCTCTAGAAGTCCCCCACTGCTCTTTATAATGTCACTTTACCTCACTGTACTGCTGTCACCTTACATTGTGTGCACCATGTGCACTGTATATTGTATATAGTAATTGTAACTCTATTTTAATTTTAAAATTTAAATGTATTCCTTAGAAGTGTTTTTAGGCCCGAGCCCCGAACGGGGAAAGGGCCTATTGTTTTTGCTCGAGAGATGTCAAATTCTACACTTTAAGCCTTAATTTCACCCCCTGAACATGCATGAAAAGTTGTAAAATTTTGCCCAAACATCAGACCTGGTGAAAAATTTGATATTTTGGTGTTTATTTTTATGGGTCTCAAAAAATGCCAGAACAGCGCCACCTACAACAACCAATGGGAGTTTCAGAGGTCAAGTTTGTCATGAAATTCGGTACACTCAATTCGGTTCCTCAAGTCAAGATACGACCAACATTTTATCATGGCTCCGCCCTCTGACAAACAGGAAGCCCATAAATTTCACTGCAAAATGGAAAAATGAACAGCAGTCATTTTCATACATGTCGGTTGGAAAGCGACTCCTCCTCGGCCGTTTCACCGATTTGCCTCTTTTGGCAGTTTTTTACATTAAACATTAAATTTGCTCCCGTTTGCATATACAAAGTCTGATTTGCACAAAACTTTAAGACATTGTTCAACTCTAGGGTCTAGGTCATTTGAAAGTGAAATAAATGAACTTGGCTCATTAGCGCCCCCTACAGATGGGGTCAAAGTTTTTAGTATGGGAGCGTTTCAAGGTCAAGTTTGCTGTATAGGCATGAAATTTGGTACACATGTTCCTCAACTCAAGACATGAAATAAAAGTTATCATGGCCCCGCCCCCCAATAAACAGGAAGCCCATAAATTTTACTTCAAAATGGACAAATGAAACATGATCCTTTTCACACGTGTCGGTTGGAAAGCGACTCCTCCTCGGCCGTTTCACCGATTTGCCTCAAAATCGCTCCACATCGTCTAAACACATTTACCATCATTTTGATTTCACAGACTTTTGATCAGTAAAACGTTGTTTGAGCAGCGGAGCGCCAAAAAGTGGCATATTTTTTTTCAGTTTTTGACAATAGAAAAATTGCTTCCGTTTGCACAAATAAAGTCTGATTTGCACAAAACTTGAATCCATGGTTCAACTCTTGGGTGTAGGTCATTTGGAAGTTAAAATTTTGAAATTGGCTCTATAGCGCCACCTTCCATCCATCCATCCATTTTCTTCCCCTTAATCCATTTCTGGGTCGGGGGGGTGGCCAGAGATGCCACCCAGTACACAGAGCACCAGCCCCTCACTGATCCTCCTGAAGGTGGTGAGTCCACAGGAGCTGAGATCTTTCAGTGGGAGCTTCAGGCAAAGTGGGGTTAAGTGTCTTGCCTAAGGACACAACGACAGCAGTCATCAGTGGGAGTCGTGAAGTAGGTCTTACGGTGGGCTTGAACCCACGACCTTCAGGCTCAAAGGCCAATGCTCTACCAACTGAGCCAATGTCGCCCCTACAGCGCCACCTACAACAGCCAATTTAAAAATGCCTATGGGAAGGGTTCGAGGTCAAAATTGTCGTAGAGCCATGTAATTTGGTACACATGTTCCTCAAGTCAAGACATGGAAATTTTTTTATTATGGCTAAGCCCTCTGACAAACAGGAAGCCCACACATTTCATTGCAAAATGGAAAAATGAAAACCAATCATTTTCAAACATGTCGGTTGGAAAGCGACTCCTCCTCGGCCGTTTCACCGATTTGCCTCAAAATTGCTCCAAATTATCCCAACACATTTACCTTCAAACAACAACAGGGAATTTTGATCAGTGAAACGTTGTTTGAGCAGCCGAGCGGCAAAATGTGAGGTTTTTTTTGGCCATTTTTAACAACTTTAATTATTTTCCCGTTTGCACAAACAAAGTCTGATTTGCATTAAACTTGAATCCATTGTTCAACTCCAGGGTTTAGGTCAGGTGAAAGTGAAATATTCGAAATTGGCCCATTCCCATTAGCGCCCCCTACAGACGGAGGAAAAGTTTACATGGGGAGCCAAACCAGCTCTACTTATCATATTCATTACGATTTGACTAACAATCTTCTATGGCTACGGGAACAAATCATCACACGGCGGCGCCACCTCCTATGCACGGTGCTGCGTGGTACGGTGTGGTGCGGCGTAGTGTGGGGCGTTGTGGAGCGGCGTGTTGCGGCTTAGTGCGGGGCGGCGTGATGCGGGATGGCGTGGTGCGGGACGGCGTGGTGCGGGACGGCGTGGTGCAGGCGGCGTGGCACGGGGTGGTGCGCACGGTGCAGGGAGTGCGCGCGGTGCGGGGAGTCGCGTGGTGCGGCAAGGGCCGTTCGACGCCGCTTGCGGCTTTAATTTATTCTTCTTTTTGTATTATCTCTCTCTGACTGTTGCACCGAGCCAAAGCAATTTCCAAGTCTGTGACCTCCTGTTACTTACATGGCAATAAAAATGATTCTGATTCTGATTATTATGCAGATGAGGTGGAGCAAAAAAACATTTGCATCCTCCACTCATCCTGGATTAAGGGGAAGAAAATGGATGGATGGATGGATGCTTCACTAAACGTTTAAAACCCTCCATCACTAGTGACGTCAGAGCATTTCATTGTGACAGTTTACTCTCTCTGTTTTTAATGCGACAAAGTCAGATCTTGGTTACACTTGGTGAGCACTAAAAACGATCTCTACAGCCATTTGAAAACTATAGTAAAGTTACACATGACTGCATTTAGTGAGGTAACTGAGCGCAAGACACAGTATGTTCGTATTTCACATATTGGCTGCACATGCTTTTGAATTTCTACAGCATTGTGCAAAAAAACAAAACAAAAGCATACAACAAATGACAGTCAGTAGACAGTAATTTAGAACAATTTAAGAAACAGCATTATGGTAGAACTGTGCACAAATGTAAACAATATAACATACATAATACTGAAAAACTTTTCATAAATTACATCCACGCCTTCCTGTCTGTCTAACCACATGTTTTCATCTACATCACAGTGAAGAGATTTTCAGAAAAAGATAAAGAAATGTATTAAAATAGCTTGTCAGATTTAGATTTTGTATGTAATGAAATGAAATGAGGAGTATTAGTTTTATAGGGAATGACTATTAAGTTTCATAAGTATATTTCATTTTGACTAGCATTTTGAAAAGCAAATCGTAATGTTATAAAACATCAGAGAATTGTAAAAAAGTAACTGAAAGTAACTGTCCAAAAGCATTTGTAATTTATTCAAATGACTCAATGTAGTGGAGGTTGAACTAATATTTTTGAGAACTTTAGGTCTGATGTGAGAAATGCACCAAAGCGACAGAGAAAAACGGTTATTAACGTCCTGTGCTCTGCCCGGAGAACAGTGCTGCCCCCACGCGGCCGCAGTTGAAGGTGCAGCGGTTGTTCAGCCCTCCTCGCCCGCTGCTCGAGCTCCATATGCCTCACCAAAGCACGGCTTAACAAAGCGATGGGACCTGATTCAGACGCGCTGCTACGACTCTGAACACACCAGCAGACACACGCACTTTTACGGACTCACGAAGGACACTAGCCTCTCCTGAACCCGTGAAAACTCCACTCTAAATCAGGGAGCGATGGACCCGACAGACGCCCCGGATTCGTGGGAGCTGGAGGAGGATGCCCAGGCCCCGGTGACTGCAGCGGCGGAGCTCCCGGTGGCCTTTGCCGCTCTGAACGTCAACGCGAAACCCTTTGTCCCCAACGTAAACGCCCCGGTGTTCGTGCCCAGCTTCCTCCAGACCACGGCAGCGGACACGGCGGCTTCAGACGGTGGGTGTTCTCCGTAACGGCGCGGACAGCTGGGTGGAAGTTAGCTTAACTTGCTAGCTCTTGTGCTAACATGCTAAGTTAGCCTTCCCAGTGCCAACTCGCTGTGCTCACTTCTAGACCACGCACACACACTCACACACACACGCTTGTCGCCTTTTCACTTCCCAATAAGTCCCAGACACAGCTTATGCCTGTGTAATAAACATATTTACAGGCTGGTAATAGCCACACGTGTTGGACCTGCCCGCCCTGCCTGTCTGCTGTAATACTGATGAAAGTTTGATGTGCTTTGTGTCTGTTCCAAAGGTTCCGCAGAGCCCGTGTCCAGCATGGAGGTGGCAGACACAGTCGGTACGCATTCACTTGTTCTTTATGAAGGCATGGGCGCCGTAGAACGTGGTGATTTACAGGTCATTTGACAGCATTAGGGTGTGATCAGAGGGTCACAGTAACTCTGGATGAGTAAAGCACACTCGTAAACTCATGTGCACTCGTGGGCCTTCGTTTAACATGATGCAACCACACCACTCCACTCTCAAAATAGACCTTCCCATTGGCAAACACGGCTGTCTTGTCAAGCAGTGCATGTCCAAGGTCCTGCTGGCCTCAGATATGCATACAACTGCTATTCCATAGACATTCAGAGTGTTCGGTTACAACAGTTTCCCCTGGCCTGATTTAATCTATTGATACTCACTCTCTAGTTTTATGGCTGCTTTAGTATTATACATATATTTTACATACGTATTTATTATTACGTTGTAGTGTGGAAATATCAAAACTGAACAAGCTGCCACATGTTAAATTACATTAACAAATGGCTGCTCTCTGTAATACTTTGAGTGAGGAGTATTTGATAGGACAGCACCATTGTACCCAATTGCTTGAATAGATAAAGGTGAAGGTCATGTCTGTGGTATTGATAAGGAATCTTTGCTTCAAAGCTTTTGTCCCGTAAACGAAACATTGTTTACCGGATGACTCTTGTCTGTTTGAAAGACTCACCAGACGTACTGAGACGGACACATTGAATTAGAATCTTAAACTGTTAACAAATACTGTAAATCTAAAATATTCCTATTTGTAGAAAAGAGAAAAGTCAAGGCACTCATGATAATAATGAATTAGACTGTCTCCTGTTGAAGTTTTTAATCTGCACCCACCTCCAACTAAGGCTTTTGATTCTATCGATAATAATGTTAGAGCCTGAACTTTCTTATTTTCCCAAATGTAAATTACACAATATATATATCTAGATATCTTGATAGATACTTGCCGCTCTTATAAAGCGTTGACAGCTAGTTAAGAAGCATTTACAGTTATTTATTTCTGTATATTTTGTAAGCTCTTATTACTGTCCTGTATCCGTGCCACAAAATATAATCTTCCCCACTGTGGGACTAATAAAGGTTCTTTTATCTTATCTTTTTGTTCATAAGCACCTTTGATTAGCTATGATACCGGCTGCTCCCTTTCTCCACAGTTAAATACCTAATTGTTATTTGTAGTTGAAGAAAAATTTAATTCCTGATCTATGTACCAAAAGGAATTAACAGGACGATTCAATTTATTATTTTTTAGGCCTAAATCATAACAGTAGTTACAAAGTCGTCAATTTGCCAAAACACAGATCACAGAAATTAAAAGATTGCCAACGCTCAGAGCATATGGTCCATAAGGTGCAGAGACCAATGTCCATAAATGTTGATAGATGTCCATAAATGTCCTTTAATGTCCTGGATCATCGCCACTGTCCTTAGACCCTCCTGCATCGGCAAGAAATGACTCAATCATTAGTGGATTTCGGGACATGTCCACACTTACTGATATGTGTCCCAGGCCCCGGTACAGAAGCAACTGCCCTCGTGACCTGTTTCTAATGAAGCGGACGTGACTGATGAGGCTAGTGAACCAGGGTGCACTTTCGCATCACAGCTCAACGTGCATCAACTTCAGCTGGACAAATAGAGAACACACTCTTTAGATGGGAAACCCGATTTACAAACAGTGAAAGGAGGACGTAGATGTGTATAAATATAAAAAAAGTTTTATATTTAAAGATAAGAGGATAAGAGAACCTTTATTCGTCTCACAATGTAGACATTCTGGTGTTGCAGCCATGGATGTATTATATTATCGGGTTGCAGTGCAGTAAGAGCACAGTAGCCGCACACATAAGATACATAGATGATATACTGTAAAAGCTTATTAAAAAGCCGTAAATGCATTATAATAGGAGCAATAAGTTTATAAGAAGTTGACTAACGCTAAGAAAAATACGCACAGTATTTGGTCAAGTGAAGGGAGTCACTAATAACTCTAATGAAACTAATGAAAAGAAATCAAATCCTGTGAGCACTTTGAACTGTCTGCTAGTTTACGGTCATGTTTATAATTGTACTTGTGTAACCTGCCTATATAGATAGATACAGTAGATAGATAGATACTTAGATACTTTATTGATCCCCGTAGGAGAAATTCAGGTGTCCAGTAGCAGCAAAAATAAAAAATATAATAAATCTAAAAAATAAAAAAGATTCAGATTCATTTATTTGCCATTTGCAGTAAAACCACATTGGAAAACTGTGCAAGACTACCCCGGTGTGCGCCAGACGACACACACCAGAGCTCTTGCCACGGGGCAAGGGACTATAATCCAGTGTTATTACAGTGTATCTGCAGATGTGTATGAATCTGCACTGTCCCTATCAAACAGCCCTTCATACACAAGTGGATCAAGGTGGATTTTTTTTAGGTTTTTGCCGTTTTAACATGCAAAATGAAAAGATAAAGTCTTTGCTGAGGCCTGGTCCTTGCATGGCGCCTCAAAACTAAATGATCAGTATGAGACATTTTAGCTGACAACGACACTCTTGGATTGATGGATTGACAGAACAATGCAAGTGTATATGAATGGTTCTTCTGTTTGTTTGTTTTTAATGTCAACTAGAATTACTGGAATGTATAAATAATTATGAACCATCGTTTTGAGATTTTTGATATTCACCAGAAGTAGAGCAGATGGAACAGATGACCTCACAACTTGCCTCAAGTTTGGCACAACATTCAACAAATATATTCCTTTTAATAATTCATTGACTCAATACAAATGTTTTAATTGGTCACTCATTATAGTTTTGGAATTCTGTAGCTTTCTGCCATGATTTATGTCAGACCAAAGCTCATGATAACTATAATTGGTATTGCAGTTTCAGCTAAATGTTTTGTCTTGTCCCGTGATGAAATGTAAAAAGGAACCCAATATGCATGACTGAAAATAAGTCCAAGGTAATGATAAAATACAAAATTCCAGAACTGAAAGCAACCCAGGAACACAACGTGGGAGAGACAATGGACGGACATAAAAGTGAGGGAAAGCACAGGGTCTAAACACACACAGGGAGACACAGGTGAACCACATCAGGGCTCAAACTACAAGAGAACAAATATACAGCTAAATAAAAATAATAAACTCCCACACACCATGACATTGTCGTGCCTGTTGTTACGCCTCAGTGCCTATTTACTCCGTTTTACCATTTGAAGTCCCAACATTGTCCCTTGTTTGTACACAGCTCCAGTGGAGAACGGGGGCACAGAGGCCGATATGACCACGGAGGAGGAGACCTGGGAGCAGAAGGAGGAGCCCGGAGGGGGAGGAGGAGGGGGCCAGGGGGAGGAGGAGATGATGGAGGAGGAAGAGGAGGAGACGCCTGTGCCCAAAGTGGCCCCCCCTCCACCAGACGCCCCCAAGAAGGAGCACGTCAATGTGGTCTTCATCGGGCATGTTGGTATGTCGGAGGCAACACACGTTTATTATGTTACAGCAAGAGAAATTGTCAACGCTTCTTCCTCTAATGTGGCCTGTCTGTGTCTCTGTTCTCTGTGATGTACTTTGTTTCTAAATAGCCTGAACTTTTAGATAGTGAGGAGAGATTTTTAAGGAGTGCAGTGTAAAACACGAAAAACATAGTTACTGGAATATGTCACGATGCAAATAAGGATAACTCAAAATGTATCTGAAGGAAAATCTAAAAGAAAACAGAACCAAACAGGGGACAAAGACAAAAATTAGACAATGACGGAAAGAATTCACAGGGTGTGTTGTTGGATACACAAGGCTAACAACGCACTGGTGATATACACAAGGGCAGGTAACAGGAAGTAGAACTAATGATGCGTTCACACCGGCAACGCTGGAACGCTGACGCCTCGCGCACCAGACGCACATTCTCTAATTTTCAGATGCAGGGGTCTTCAGACTAGAAGTCCTGGGCTGCTGTGGCGCCCGCCGGAATTGGCTGAAGTAGCAGGCGGACTTTGATGCTAACGTAGTTGAGCTATCGGCTTTTTGTGTAAAATTCTTCTCCAATAATGCAGCTCTGCAGTGTCTGTGTCCAGAGACCTTCCAGAAACTTTACATATAACAGTAGTATGTGTTCACGGAGGTGCGCCATACGTTTATTTTATTATTGAACGGTACTTCCGCATCGGCGAACACACTCGAAGCAGTTGTATACAGTCACAGGAGCATGAAAACGCATATGTTCACAATCACTATGTCCCCCATTGTCAACCCTGGTTTAGTCATGGTGTAGCTCCTGTTTTGGCTGTTTACGAGTATGTTCAGTCTGCTCGCTCAGACCGCTAATGTCCCCGTGACCACTTTGCGGCTCTCTGATTGGTCGCTGCACGAGCGTCCCGAGGAAACGCTCAGTAATGTTTATCTCCTGCGTACGTTGATTTTCCACTCCTGCGCCTCTGCCGCGCAGTCCGTCTACCGCGCAGTCCGTGTGTGCATCCCGAGACGCACATGCATTTTGACGCTCGAACGCGCGTCACCATTGACTTTGCATTGAAAGTCGACACAACGTATGATATGGAACGCGGCTTAAGACAGACACAGGGGTTGACAAGTTACAAAACAGGAAAATAACCTAAACCATGACAGTATACTTAAAGAAGCTAGACCAGATTTTATTTTTTTAATGAGTTCTTAAAGAAGCTATACCCGATTTTTTTTCTAAGTAGTTCATAAAAATGCTTTTTACTACATACAAGTTGTATCATAATACATAATTTAATTGAAAACTTGAGGTCATTGATTCCACTGTGTATGAAATTCAAGCAGTGAAAAGTGCTGAGTAGAGTCTGAGCGGGCCGCTCTTTCTCCTCCGCTCACAGAACGAGCAGCGAACAGCCTGCGTCCTCTAGCCTCTACAGCGCTGCTTAACACCAGGGCTTCAACTTCAAAATTCGAATATAATTCTAAAATAAAAAATATATACATATTTGAACAAATATTAGACAACCCTTATAATTAGAAATGTATTTAATGACTGCGAATAAAATAGTTAGCTCCCAAAGGTTTCACCGGGACGTGCTAGGCAGGTAACAGCTAAGCTAGCTAGCTGTTTCATGGTAACTTCCGGGTTTTTCGCGATCGCTTTTTGTCACTTTAAAACAGTATTTTTGTCATGAAAACGTTGACAGCAAATTCTGAAATCGTCCGTGCATGTGTGTTAAGGATGTATATGTATACTGTATTGTCCGATTGACGTTTAATGGTGTTGATTGATATGTAGTTGTTTATTGAGCGTGGCTAGCTCCGCTAGCTTCTCTACACAGACAAGTGTACAGAAAAACTGCACAATGTAGTGACAGGCGCTGATAGCTTGTTGTACTTGCAGAGTAATGGCAGTATTTTACACACCTGAATTACAAACCGAGATTGCATTGGGGCTGCGGTCATTATTGGTTTGAGAGTTCTGTTATCAAGAAGAAATTATCGGAAGAATTGCATTCAAGTCAATGGAGATTAGCTGCTGTGAGGAGCTGTATAATAAATTATAATTAAATATTAGAATATATTCTAATGTTTAAATTAATACATCCGGACGCGAAACTAATGGTATTCTTTTACTTATATATTGTGTTAGCAGTGCATTGCTTTAGTACCATTTCATCAGTGATTGTTGCACAGCTTACAAGTTGCGCTAATGCTAATGTTAGCATACGTATCAGATCGCAAATAAAACTAGGTGGCTCCGTGTTATGAGAGCGTAGGGGAAATGAGAAGCCTGTGAGCGAGTTGGGGGGCGGTGCTAAACATTCAAACATTGTAGAAACGGGTATAGCGCCTTTAAAAATGCGTATTACTACACAGAAGTTGTATTATAATCCGTAATTTAATTGAAAACTTGAGCTCATAGATTCAGCTGTGTATGAATTCAGGCCGTAAAAAGTGCTGAGTAGAGACTTCACCGCTCTCCTCCAATCACAGAACGAGGCTGCGTCCTTTAGCCTCTACAGCGCTGCTAAACAAGAGCAGAATGGAGGCACAAAGTTCTTATATACCTGCTCTGGCTGTAACTGCAGACACAGCAAAACAGCCCGAGCGATGAAACGGTGAGGAAGAGAAGAGGGAACTAAAACGAACCTGCGGGTGCGGAACCGCCTCAGACTATCTATGCTCAGACTACATTCAGATCTTTCAGTTATATAATTTGTAAGCAGTGTGTTGCTTTTGTACCATTTCCTCAGTGATTGTTGTACAGCTTAAGTTGCGCTAATGTTAATGTTAGCATATGTATCAGATTGCAAATAAAACTAGATGGCTCTGTGGGGTGAGAGCGTAGGGGAAATGAGACGCCTCTGAGAGAGTTTAGAGGCGGTGCTAAACATTGAAACCTTGCAGAAACGGGTATAGCTCCTTTAAGCCGTCCTGTAGTTTTTGTTAAATCCAGCAGACACAGACAATTACAATAACCCAAATGGTGGGGTAGTGATCAATAACAATTATGATAAACCATACTTAAAGCTTGGGCTATTAACTTCCAAACCAGGAAAAATTTAACCGTGTAAAAAAAATCCCTCTTATTAGTTTTTCAAAACTGTTTTAACAAATTTCACATCTTTTTGGTCTTTGTCACATCTTTAGATAAGAATTTTAGACAGAATCAGCCAATCAGCTTTCACCTCAGAGTGTATGCAAAAGAAACACCAGCCTCTTTCTGCGTTGGGGCAAACCACATGTATCATTTATGAACCAAATAAACTTGGGTAGTACCTCAGCTTTAAGACTTCTGGTCACACATTGCATTCAGGAAAACAATGAGGGGAATAAATGTATGGATTTAATCATGTGAATATCTTTCTTCCCTCAGATGCTGGGAAATCAACTATTGGGGGCCAGATCATGTAAGTAGTGGTAGTGGTAGTGGTAGTGGTAGTGGTAGTAGTAGTAGTAGCGGCATAGACTGAGTTGCTCAAACTGAGAAGATAAACTGGTTGATTCTCATTCTAAAAGTTGTTTCTAAAGCAGTGAATTATGGAGTTGTTGACTTATGCTTTTACTGCAGGTATTTGACTGGAATGGTGGAGAAGCGAACCCTGGAGAAATATGAACGGGAGGCCAAGGAGAAGAACAGAGAGACTTGGTGAGAGCAGCTTCCTCTCGACAGTCACTAAATGCCGATACGCGTTTCATGTTTTTTGTTCCCATAACGCCCACGCAGTTCTTATTTTGAGAGCTCACGTGTTTTGAATCGCACCGCCGCAGGTACCTGTCGTGGGCCCTGGACACAAACCAGGAGGAGAGGGACAAGGGGAAGACGGTGGAGGTGGGCCGCGCTTACTTCGAGACGGAGAAAAAACACTTCACCATCCTGGACGCGCCCGGGCACAAGAGCTTTGTACCAAACATGATCGGAGGAGCGTCTCAGGCCGATCTGGCAGTGCTGGTACGATAGTAATAGTAGTAATAGTAATCTTTATTTATATACCGCCTTTTCACTGCACATCGGAGTCTCAAAGCGGTTTACAATTGTTATTTTTGGCGGCTGATAACCTACCAGCATATATTTCACAGGGGTCTGAGAAAGAATCAAAAGATGCATACATTTAACCTGCTCAATCAGAAATATTAAATCATGAGGAAAGATAAGGGGAGTTTCTTTGGATATTCAAACTCTATGTATGCATAAATAACCACAGTACATAAAAAGTACTGTACATTGACTCATTGACTGCCAGCTGTTTTTGATGATTTCACTGATTCTCAAGAGCCACAGAATGTTATTTCCTAAGCCTATGTGAAATATGAAACCAGATTCTGAAAGAATGAATTGTCTACTTTGATGAGCAAAAATAAGTTTGTTTCTAGCTATTTTTAATGTCCTGTAATTCTCAGTCGAATAGAGGGTCTCAGACAAATACGTAAATTCCATTCAATGAGTTTAAAGGAGTAAAGATAACGGAACTGTTTTTAACGTGGATTTGAACATATTGAGAGATGGACATTTTCATATTATCAGGAAAATTGCTCCCGATTGTAGTTGTATAAATCTGAAATACAATCTACACATACACAATTTATTCTTGTATTGTCCTTAATCACAACAGTAGTTATCTCAGAGGACTTAACAAAACCATTGAAATCACCAACACAGATCAGAGAATCAACAGTTTAAACACAGAAACATATAGAGGACATATGTATTGGTCCATAGGGAGAGACCTATGTCCATGAATGTTGATAAATGTCCATCACCACAGTCCTTTTGGCTGCCTCTCCATGTTTAGACCTGACTCCGGGACTAGCAGGAGCCCAGTCCCTGTGCTCCTCAGAGTCCAAGTTGGTTCATTTGGCACTAACATGTTACAGATGTACTTTGGTGCGAGGCCATGGAGAGACTTGTAACAAACATCCATCCATCCATCCATCTTCTTCCCCTTAATCCATTTCTGGGTCGGGGGGGTGGCAGTCAGAGCTGCACCCAATTCACTTAGCACCAGCCCCTCACTGATCCTCTGCAGGTGGTGAGTCCACAGGAGGACGGCTGCTCTGTCAGTGACAATACAGCCTTGATTTTTCAGCGGGGGGTTCAGGCAATGCAGGGTTAAGTGTCTTGCCCAAGGACACAACGACAGCAGTCATCAGTGGGAGTCGGTGGAGAAGGTCCCGTGGTGGGCTTGAACCCACGACCTTCAGGCTCAAAGGCCAGTGCTCTACCAACTGAGCTACTGTCGCCCATTTGTTTGTAACAAACAAATCTGCTTTAAATTTACAAAGGTCTTAACAAAACTACTTTTCACCAAGTTTAGTCTATTATAACCGTGTTTATAATTGATCCACTTTACTTTATTTGGAAAGTTTACTTGGATAAATGTCAGGAACTATTTTCGCTCAGCCGTTTGTAGATGTTTGACTTCAACTCTTTACCATTAATCCATGGTTACGAGCAACTAGTCCAAAGCTGTGGAGAGCTGAGTCATAGTAACAAGGTGTGGGTTTCCTTTGCATTTGAACCCATTGAGAACATTCAGCAGATTAATCCAATAATTTGCCTCACATGTATTGGCGCAAGTACAGAAAATGATTTATTATTCTTTGTTTTGTTCAGGTGATCTCAGCCAGAAAGGGCGAGTTCGAGACGGGCTTTGAGAAGGGGGGGCAGACACGGGAACACGCCATGCTGGCTAAAACCGCCGGAGTCAAACATCTCATTGTCCTCGTCAACAAGATGGATGACCCCACAGTCAACTGGAGCCTAGAAAGGTACATACACGCACGTACACACACATGCACACACACTTGCACGCACACGCTCTCACACAAGTACAAACACACCACTGCCATTAATGTTTACTTAGCTTTTGTTGTTGGAAAGGAGATGATGTCTATTTTCCATCTCCACCAACTGGCTCAATGAGTTCACCATACCTGCATGTGAAAGCCAGATCCCGACAGACCTCTAAAGTAAAGCAGGGCAGGGTCTGGTTATTACTGTGATGGGAGACCTCTAATAATACAAGGTGCCGCAGTGGGACGGCTGTAAAGTGCCAAACTGTGGTTGTGTCCTTAGGCAAGACACTTCACCTGCGTTAGGTTCGATTAGTTTCAACTTTATTGTCATTACAAAGTAGGAACAATGCAACGATATGCACATTACAATGAGTCAGTTGTGAATAGTTTATGGCACATACTAAGTTGCCTCGCTTCTGTCAGTGTGCCCCAGGGCAGCTATGACTACAATAGTAGATTAGGGCCGTGTATGGAGTGAATGAATAATTAGGGTCTTGAGCGCTATATAAAACTGACGCATTATTATTATTATTAGTAATATTAGCGTAAGTCTTCTGAGGTACTGACTTTCTCTTTCGATTTCTCACGGCTCTCATAGATACGAGGAATGTAAGGAAAAGCTGGTGCCATTTTTGAAAAAAGTGGGCTTCAATCCCAAAAAGGACATCCACTTTATGCCTTGCTCTGGACTCACAGGTGCCAACCTCAAAGACCCGGTGCCAGACTGCACCTGGTACACGTAAGTGACACATTCAACAGCAGTGATAGCCCACAGCTCTACTGCGTACACAATGTCATTCTGTTTTCTTATCAGGGGCTTGCCATTTATACCCCACCTGGACAGCTTGCCAAATTTCACCAGATCCAGCGATGGACCTGTCAGACTGCCAATCGTAGATAAGTATAAGGTGAGATGTCCGCCATTGTTCAGTTATCAGTTTAAAGGAGACATAGAAGGCCAATACTAATTTTCCGTGTTGTACCTTAATATAAAAATGCCTGTGCTATTTTTGGAAAGTAACATTCAATGACCTCATTTGACAATGTAGTATATTTGCTTATTTAGGGTTAACCTTTGAATTTTACTCTCCACCAAGGGTTCAACAGGGTTAACATGAATACAATGTATAATAGTAATGATCCAGGAGTGACTTTAGCTTAACCTTTAATTAAATCTTCTGCATCTGACTGTTCTGTATTTGTCCCTTTGAGAAATAATTCTGTTTCTTGGCTTAGTGTGACTTTTAGCCATGTTCTGTACACACTTAGTAATTTCGTAGCTCCGTTATGCCACTGCACGCTAATCTTATTGTCATTTTTAAACAAACTTGGCCTTCTCTTTGTTCTATATGATCATCTCCCGCAGTTGCGTAAGAGCCTTATGTAGTGTTATATGACTAAGAAGGCCTCACTGGTGTTAGCCTGATGTAACAGGATTATGGCTAACTAAATGCTGCATGCTAATTTCTATCTGTGCCAAGAAACCGCAGTACACAGCTGCTCTCAAACCAGAAAATTGTTACCTTAACATTCAGAGGTCTTAGGCAAGCAGTTTTGGAGTTGGTCCAGCCCAAAGTGAATTTTGAGCACAAGATACTGCTGAAAATGTTTATTGGCTGCTGCTGCCGTTTGTGATGGGACTGAACGGCACAAAGAGATTATTGAGTCATTTTTAGGAGTACTTTGATTCAGTTTCACACTTGCTTCTTCATTATACTAAATTTAGAGATTTAATTTTATTCTAGCGGTGTCCTACTGTCCTGTAACTGGTGATGCAACACTGAAATTTCCCTAGTGTGGGACAAATAAAGGATCTTTTAATCTTAATACAATTTCTCCTACGGGGGATCAATAAAGTATCCATCTATCTAGCTATTGTTTCATGACATTAGGATAAAACCAATTATTGTTAAGTAAATTGTGAGGAAAAAATATAAAAATTTTCAGACTTCTTAAGAAATCTACTCGTTTTATCTGCGGCACTTAGAAGTAATTTTGCAGGTTTTTGGACTTGTTATAAAATGGATATAAAGTCAATTGCTTGAAGTTGTGATTCAAGGCAGTACATCTAATCCACTGATGAACAAATATAATTAAATCCTGTTTCCACAATAGATTTTTGAACTGTAGCCACGCACACAGCCCGTTCTTTGTTTACCTTTGTTTGTCTCCTCATTAGACAAATGACACATTCCCGATCACTGAAGCAGAATATGTGTTTTCACTTGTTTGTGCAGGACATGGGCACAGTGATCCTTGGGAAACTGGAGTCAGGGTCCATCAGCAAAGCCCAGCAGCTGGTCATGATGCCAAACAGGGTAAGGCCCGTATGAACCCAAACAGCTCTTAAGTAGAATCCATGCACTGTTCCTCCGATGGAAAAACAAGGATTCTGTTACCAGTGTGTGTTTCAGCAGCAGCAGCAGCAGAGGCTCTGGTTACTTTAAGGAAGAATATTTTATCCAAGGGCACTCACAACTACTCTTTTGTTACTATCAGCATAAACCTTAGACTTAGACAGACTTTATTGATCCACAAGGGTAATTGCGTTGTCACAGTAGCTCTCATAGTATTTCACGATAAAATAATATTAAAATAACCATCTAAAAATAAGAAAAATATTAAGACAATTTTAGTTACAGTTTAAAATACAGAGATAATAGGATCCTAAACATTGGTTAATATGTTCAGAGTTGGAAATAAATAATGTACATAGTTTTTACAATATAGAAACAATAATATTACTCCAAAATGTTGTGCAGAAAGACTCAATCATGTAGAATGAATGGAAGTAAAACAGCAGGAGACTGGAGTTTTGATGCTGGAGACAGGATCCAGGTCTGCTGATATCGTCCGTGTCCATCTGAGTGAAGTCCTGTCTTTTGTACTTTGGACCGAGACATGCCTGCTCTGCTCCGGCCATTGGATAATTCCACATTAGTGCAGCTTCCTCTGTAGGGACTGGAGTAACTATAAACATGTGTACAACAGGTCAGATTTGGCATCTTCAAATTTTACTTTTGAAATTTCACTACTTGGACTAGATTTGCAGCATAATTCCAATCCTTAATTATGGTTCTTAATTACTATAGTTACACTTCAAATCCACCCTCGAAAATAACATCATAACTGCACCATCCTCTGTTCATGCTGATTTAAACCTTGTTCTTTGAGTGTCTAGAAATGTATTGTAAAATGAATTATTATTATTGTTATAGTTCCAAACTGGAGGTCTTAAGGAAAACTGAATGTAAATCATATAGTATATTCAATTTAACCGCATGTATTTCAATGTAATTAAATAGAAATAGATAAATACATGAAATACAATACCTTAAACTAGTCTATATTGTGACCATACCTGGAGGTGAAAGCCAGATTCAGTCAGACCTTGGAATCTAAGCGGTACAGGGCATGGTTAGCACTGGGATGGGAGACCTCTGGGAATGTAAATGGTCAAACTGTCATTACGTACTTAGGCAAGACACTTCACCCTCAATAGAATGAGTCTGGTGTGTGTGTGTGTGTGTGAATGGTTGGTGGTGGTGGAGGGAGGGGCTGATGGTACATACTCACTTCTGTCAGTGTGTCCCAGGGCAGCTGCGACACACTGACACTGTAATAGTTTGAACACGAGAGAATGAATAATGGCATGTGAAGTGTCTTTGAGTGACAAGCGCTTTGTAAAACCAATGCATTATTATTATTATTATTATTATTGATGTTTCAAGATGCTCATGACCTCAGAGATATGTGCCACAGCTGTGTTAGTGGAATAGATAGAAGTGTTAGGTGCTGGTGTTTCCGGTGTTGGTGTGACGTGCTCTGCCTCTGTACGCAGCACACGGTGGAGGTGCTGAGCCTGCTGAGCGATGACGTGGAGACGGACGACGCGGCTCCGGGGGAGAACCTGAAGCTGCGTCTGAAGGGCATCGAGGAGGAGGAGATCCTGCCGGGCTTCATCCTGTGCAGCCCCGACAACCTCTGCCACTCAGGGCGCACCTTTGACGCACAGGTGACTACAGCGCCATCTGCTGCTCGGACAAAACAACAGGGTTTAGGTTCCCACCGTGGAGCTCAGAGACCAGGGCTGACATGGAATAGTCTGAATTAGAACTGCAAAAACACTGCAATTCAGAACAGGGCCTGATCCAAAGGGAGGTTTCAAATAAGGTCACACTTCCCTGTAGCTTGAACTAGAGTACTGGATTCAAATAGAGTGCAAACATGAAAACAGAAAAAATCCACAACATAGCAACATAGCTGTGTGGAATTTTATTTGTTTTCATCTGATCCAAAAGAAGACAATAAAGTGGATACATTGCTATGGCACTTCTAAAGTATTTAAAACTCTGACAACTGCCCACACAGACTATAGATCTTTACAGCAGCTGCATTTTCTACTGTACCATGCTTTTAGTCTCAGTTCTCTCCAGTCAAATTAGTGAAATATTTTCCAACAAAATATATTGTAAGAGGTCTGCAGAAGATTATGAAGTATTGAGCCGATAACAACATGAAAAGTGATGTCCCACTGTTGAGATAGCGATGGGGAGGAGGCAGGTTGATGCATGAGCTGCATGTGGGTGCGGAGATCTGAGGCACTGTGTAAAGCAGCCAGTGAAGCAGGTGGGATAATGGCCTGGGGAGATACTCCAGGCTGAACCATCGCTATAGCTGTTTGTCAAAGTGCAACAGTGCGTTTCAGTTAAAGGCACATTTATTTAGCGCACAGTGATTATTATTTTTTTAAACATTGGAAACATCTTTAAAATATATAAGCAAGGTTTTATATTTTACCTCTTGCTCTGCATGTACCCTGTTAATTACTATTTAAAAATACTAGACACATTTGCAGAACACTTGTTGACTTCAGATAATAGGTTTTCTTTGGCAGTATTACCATTTAAACTATAATTGCTGGAGAAACACAATTTTCGGCTAGATTTTTTTCCCACCATTTTCTGTCACACAACGATTTTAAGATTATGAAATGGTACAGTGTATGTCTAGCTTAAGCCATGCGGTACATAACATATCATTTTACTTTTCAGATCGTCATCATTGAGCACAAGTCAATCATTTGCCCTGGATACAACGCAGTGCTTCACATTCACACCTGCATTGAAGAAGTGCAAATCACGGTATGTCACAAGTCTGCTCTGACACCGCGGCTTCCTCTCTGCAGTTTGCTGAATGTATGTGTGTGTGTGTGTGTGTGTGCGCGCTGTTGTTGCAGGCCTTAATTTGTTTGGTGGATAAGAAGACGGGAGAGAAGAGCAAAAACCGCCCACGCTTCGTGAAACAGGACCAGGTGTGCATCGCCAGACTGCGGGCGTCAGGAGTCATCTGCTTAGAGACCTTTAAGGACTTCCCTCAGATGGGACGGTTCACACTGAGAGATGAGGGTAAGGGGAAAGGACACACACATACAGAGAGAGAAAGAGACACACACACACACACAGACTCACACAGAGAGAGAGAGAGAGACACACACACAGAGACTCACACATACAGAGAGAGAGACACACCCACATATATATATATATTAAAAAAAAAAAAAAATTGTCCACTCACCTTTGGCCCTCCGCGGGCGGTTATCCCTCTCTAAGCTCGGGTCCTCTACCAGAAGCCTGGGAGCTTGAGGGTTCTGCGCAGTATCTTTGCTGTTCCTAGCACTACACATTTCTGGACCGAGATGTCCGAGGTTGTTCCGGGGATCCGCTGTAACCACTCATCTAGCTTCGGGGTCACTGCCCCGAGTGCACCGATCACCACGGGCACTACTGTCTCCTTTACCCTCCAGGCCCTCTCCAGCTCCTCTCTGAGACCTTGGTATTTCTCAAGCTTTTCAAATATATAGTTTGAAAGTATAGTATAGTGTATGTATATATATATATATATGTATATATATATATGTATATATATATATATATATATATAGTAAGTAAGTAAGTAAGTAAGTAAGTATTTATTTATATACCGCCTTTTCACTGCAGATCTGAGTCTCAAAGCGGTTTACAATTGTTAATTTTTGGGCATTTGTCTCTCACTCCACACAGAGATGGGAGCGCGGTCGCCAGTACAGGAGGCGCATGCTAGAACTATTGGACATATTTTTAGTGGTAGGGGAAACCGGAGTACCCGGAGGAAACCTACGCAGACACGGGGAGAACATGCAAACTCCACTCAGAAAGGCCCTGGTCCGACCGGGATTCGAACCCAGGACCTTCTTGCTGAGAGGCGAGAGTGCTATCCACTCAGCCACCGTGCCACCGTATATATATATATATATATATTATAGACATACACAGAAAGAGAGACACACACGCACACACAGAGACACACACACAAACTCACACGTACAGAGAGAGAGATACACAGACAGAGAGAGACACACAAACACACACAGAGACACACACACAAACTCACACGTACAGAGAGAGAGATACACAGACAGAGAGAGACACACAAACACACACACAGAGACACACACATACAGAGAGAGAGATAGATACACAGACTCACAGAGAGAGACACACACAGAGAAACTTTTACACACATTTAATAGATTGACACATATACACACAGAGAGAGACAGACAGACACAGTGTGTGTCCCCAATTAAAAGAAAAAACAATACAATATCACAAAGTCGATACAATAGGGAATGTACAATAGCACATAATGAACACACACAGAGAGAGCCTCACAGACTTACGCACACAGAGAGAGACACATACACACTCACAGACTTACGCACACAGAGAGAGACACATACACACTCACAGACTTACGCACACAGAGAGAGACACAGACACACTCACAGACTTGCGCGCGCACACACACACACGCACACACAGATAAACAAACACTAACAGACACTCTTGTCACACTATAGTCCATAATAACACATTCTCACATATTTTCCTATAAAACACTGTGACAGTGTGATTCCTGATGGTCTCTGCTTTCAGGCAAAACCATCGCCATCGGTAAAGTCCTGAAGCTGGTGGCAGAAAAGGACTAAAGTGATTGTGGCAGCGTGCATGGAGATCTTCCACTCATTACCAGAGGAGAAATGCTGCTAGAGCCGACCCAACCTGCTGCTCTCCTCACACACAACTATGCTGAGAGGAGACTACACCTGTGTGGAGGAGAACGCATCACATCCAATGAAGAAAACAAGACTGAATCAGTTTTATTATGAACAATATAAACCAGAGACCAATTCCAGTGTGTCAGCTTTCTCATATTGAGAGCTCAGCTATGCCACTAATGTAGCTCCCCCTTCAGAACTCCCACAGCTAACAGCGCTGTTGGCTAGCCATGCCATTTGTTTTTAGAATGGAGATGGATGCTGTGGTCCTGAGTCTGGGGAAGAAAAGCTATCTAAAAGAACACATGGATCTCATATTCTGCCATAGAGCAGGGTTAGCCTATATTAATGATAGTCACCAACTACACCTCCCTTTATTAAGAGCGGGGTTAACATCCAGTGGACTTTGATTTGCGTTTAAGAAGTGCTTTAATGCAACACAAAATGTTTAGTTTGGTCTCTCTCTATCGGAAATGGTTTGAGCTCACATACTACTCTGATGACCCTTGGATAAGCAGACGTGGCTGTTACATAATCAGAACTGAAAATAAATGATCAAGCTGCAAAAAGTCTCTTTTTATATTTTATCTGGAAATGTCACACAACCTTGTGTTTTATAAGGCAAGTCAATAAATCTACTGCATCTTTCCTCTGGATGAAAACAAGAACAGGAGATGGCTTCATCTGATTCTGTTGAAGTTGTGTCTCGTCGAACTACGGCCAAGATCTTCAGCTCTGGTTGAGACGCTCAAAGACGGACGTCACAGAGAAAATTATTTTCTTCCTTTGCTGCAGCACGACTCCAGATCTTGTGTCATTGTTTTCAGCCATTCTCCTTTTAGTCTACAATAGCAACTTTATGTGAGACAATTGTTAAGTCCAGACTAATTAATACTTACTCTATGATCCGGACTGAGACTGAGCACGACATATAAAAGCTAAAAATGATGAATTAGTTGGTCGGACATTCTGCAGCCATACCTGCATGCGAAAGTCTGATCCCGTCAAGCTTTTAAAGCCCAGCAGGACAAGAAATGGTTGAGACCAATACCAGGTGCCACAGTGCGGTGGCTGCAGCTGTACAGTTCCGAACCCATGGTGTCCTTTGGCAAGACACTTCACCTGAATCAGAATGTAGTGTGTGTGGGCTGATGGCGCTTCTGTCCGTGTGCTACAAGGTAGTGTCTACAATATAAGTTTATCACCACCGTGTTTGGAGTATTATTATTTACGTTTTGTGGTATTTGCCGAATACTGGATTGTCCAATAAAGTTATTTTGTATGTCACGTGCATGTCACGTGGCTGTGCTGTGCATTGCGCATGCGCCGCTGGAGCACACGTGGAGCGCACACCAGCAGGCTGTAAACATGACGGAGAATATGGAGAATAAAGAAGCCGTTTTAGACCGGTCTCAGGTCAGTGAACACTGGGTAAACACTGAGTAAACACTGGTGGATGATGGTTATTTAGACACACTGTCTGTCCGAGGATACGGTTTGTTCTCTTGTTCCGAGCAGACGTTGTAGAGCTAGCATTAGCTTCAGCTAACATGGAGGCTGTGTTTATGTATGATCTCTTATTCTGAAATGTCTCTGTAGGTGAAAAAGGCCGTCCAGGCCTTACAAGCCTTCTTAAAAACGAAACCTACCACAGAGTCTCTGCTGCTGGATGAAACCCAACAGATCGCCATCCTCTTCACTTTGTGGAAGATTCCCCACACAGCACAGAACATCCGCATGTGAGTGCTCTTTAAATTACACACATGCTTCAACACTACATGTACTGCTACATGTACTGCTACATGTACTATTACATGCTCAATACTGCATGTACTACTACATGCTTCAATACTGCATGTACTGCTACATGCTCAATTCTACATGCTTCAATACTACATGTACTATTACATGCTACAATACTATATAATGCTTCAATTCTTCATTCATATCACACTCTGGGATTATAGCTATAACTCATTACATATATTCTGCTGTATATATTTATTTTAACCACATCTGTTTATAAACTTGGTTTTGCGCTAATTGAGGTGGATCTAACCCTAAGTGTGTGTGTTCGCAGCCCCTTGCCCCATGGCCAGAGGCGCGACACAGATGAAGTGTGTCTGTTCACTCGTGATGAGCCCAACATGACCGCAGACCAGACCCAGAGGTTTTACAAGAAGCTGCTGGAGCAGAGTGGAGACAAATGTATCACAGAGGTACCTGTGTGGCCGACTCTCGGTGCAATGTCCACGTCAGTGCATTATATCACAGCACATTCTTGCATTGTCAGGTCATCCCATTCAACACTCTAAAGAAGGAGTACAAGCCATTTGAGGCCAAACGCCGCCTTTTGGGAAACTTCAACCTGTTCCTGTCTGACGACCGCATTCGCCGCCTGCTGCCGTCCCACATCGGTAGACACTTTTATGAGAGGAAAAAGTAAGAAGGCAACACTATTATCATTAATATTATTATTATTGATTTATTCATTATGATTGGTTTCCATTTTTTAGAGAACCCACGTGCGTGAACCTTCAAAGCAAGAATCTGGCCCGAGACATCCAGAGAATAGTCCAAGGCACAACTTTGAAAATTACCAACAAGGGCTGCTGCTGGTAAGGCCTGTGTTTCCTCAGTATTGCTCTTCAGATTGTTCAGTAATAATATTAAAACACTCTTAAATGACTAATAAAGTAACTGTTTCTCTCTTTGGGCAGCATGGCTCGTGTTGCGCACTCCGGCATGACTGCAGATGAAGTGACAGACAACATCTTAGCTGCATTTCAGACTGTCATGGAAAAAATGAGAATGGTGAGTTAAATCTTGGTATAGTTTTTAGAAGGCTCTGTAGACAAAAAGTGCTTGTTGTCATTCTTTTTAAAATGTGTTTTTCAGAAAGGACCAGCGATAAAAATCATCCACTTGAAGAGTCTGGATTCTGTGGCACTTCCCATTTACACGTCAGACCTGAGTCACCTCACTTTGATAGAAGAGGCACAGAAAAAGACCAAAAAACAGGTGGGTTTGAACTGACGGCTGCTTCGGAAATGAAAAAATATTTAATTTTATATAATTTTACATTGTTTTAAACTCTCGGATTGTACAGAAATTCCACAACAATGTAATTTCTGTTTTAAATGTGTCTGTATTTGTAGAAAGTATCACCGAAAAAGCGCAAGAAGGAAGGAAAACAAGCTGATGTAGTGAAGCCGAAGAAGGATGAAAAGAAAGCACAACCTCAAGAAGAAGATGATGATGATGATGAGGAGGAGGAAGTCCCACTGCTGGTTCCCATAGAAACCCCGACCAAAAAGCCTAAACTGGAGGTCAGAGCAACAGCTGCTACCCGAGACTGTTCACTGCCAAATGTGTTTTTGCTAATGAGATTTTTGTTCTCGCAGAAAACAAGGAGAAAGAAGACCTTAGAGAAAGCCCCCAAAGCGGCCGCAGCTCAGACGACAAAAGTGTCCAAGAAACTGGTCAAGCGGGAAGTGAAGACGAAGAGGAGGGTGCCCAAAGTCAAATGACGTCAGCAGCAAATCCAGTCATGATACATACTTTTCTAGAATGTCCAGAAATGCCATAAGTTGTCAATGAAAGACCTTTATATCCTCTGTAATAAAAATAACTGTCACAAAGTTTGGGACCTTTTTTCTTTATGTTCATCGTCAAACTGTTAAATAAGCATTTTGTATTTTTGTCTGTACTTTTCATCTTCTTAAAGAGCAACTAAACACCAAATCAACTTTTTTTAACTCATAAACTGCATAAGTATGTTTATTGTAGTGCTGTCTACATATCCTGGTCATTTTTTTGACATTTTAGTTCAAATTAGATAAAATATCACTTTTGAGCCAAAAAACGCTGTGTGGTGCCCTCTCCACCTTTTTGGTGGTGCTACATTTGAATTTGGTCCTGGCCTCTCCATTGACTCTGAAGTTCTCTATGACATCAGTTGTTTTGTGTGACGTCAGTCTGTCAGAGCCAGTGATGTGAATTCAACTCTCACACACGCCCCAGCTGCAGTTTGGAGTATTCTGGCGCCATCTAGTGGATTCAAATTAAATTACATGAGTCATTCTGAGATTATTGAGTGTGATTAGGTTCAGGTGTGTAGCTTTACAATTATCTTAGTGTGTAAACAAGGGTGGAATGAGACTTTCTGGTCTGTAAACTATTGCTTTAAGCAGCAATGACAACTGTCTGTTTTTTTTGTATGACAAGTGAGCTGTCAATCACAGCCCAGACCACGCCCAACTCTAAGCCCCCCTTCTTGTCCCTTAGTCCTCCAGGCAACGCCCTTTTTAGAGAACATTTTCAAATCTTCATGTGGGCGGAGTCAGGCTGGGCACAGGTGTTTAGTCGCTCTTTAAAGACTTTTGCGCTGACTGTGACTCGTTCAGGGCTGATGACTTTATAAGGCCGTACCTGCAGGTGAAAGCCAGACCCTGTCAGAACTCTGAAACCAAGCAGGGCAGGGTCTGGTTAAAACTGATGGGAGACCTTTGGGAACATCAGGTGCAATAGTGGGGCGGCCGTAAAATGCCAAATTGTGGTTGTGTCTTTTGGCAACACACTTCACCCACATTAGAATGAGTCTGGTGTTTGTCAGAGGACGATGGCACAGATTGGTAGCCTCACTTCTGTCAGTGTGCCCCAGGGCAGCTGTGGCTACAGTAGTAGTTCATCACCATCGTCTTTGAGTTTCCAATATACACTATATAAAACCAATGCATTGTTATTTAAGATTTTGAGTAAATTCTTCTTCAGTAACATACCCCACGTAACTGAAGGAGAATTTAATTACATTTACCGAACAACTTTTTAAATAATAATGCATTGATTTTATATAGAGTCCAAAATGGTTTGTACCAATGTCTGCCGTATGTGCCTGACAGCTGTCTGTGGGGAGTATGCCCCCTGCTGTTATAGTGTGGTAAAACATCTACACACATTCACTGAGTTACGTCCACAGGTGAAACTCTGAAAATTAGAAAATGTTCCAAATCATCAGCTTTACATTTTAAATTGAATTAAAGAAAGTAAATGTAGAATCATATTTCATTTACAGTTCACTTGTGTCATATTTGGCACTTATTTACTAAGTTTCTTTTTAGTAAATTGTCACCTTTTACTTTAGTGTGAATCAGTGCAAATCTCATTTATTTTTTCAGTTGGCTTCTCTGGTGTCTCGCTGGTCTCTCTCTCTCTGCTCTCTCTGGTCTCTCACTCTGGTCTCTCTCTGGTCTCTCTCTGGTCTCTTTCTGGTCTCTTCATGTGGTCTCTCTCCGGTCTCTCACTCTCACTGGTCTCGCTCTCTGGTCTCCTCCTGGTCTCTCTCTGGTTTATCTCCGGTCTCTCGCTCTCTATAGTCTCTCTACTCTCTCCTCTCTCTTCTCTCGCTGGTCCCTCTCTGGTCTCTTTCTGGTCTTTCTCTGGTCTCTCTCTGCTCTCTCTTCTCTCTGGTACAATACAATACAATACAATTTATACTTGTATAGCCCTATGTCACAACAGAAGTCATCTCAGAGGACTTAACAAAACCATTGAAATCACCAACACAGATCAGAGAATCAACAGTTTCTCTGGTCTCTCTGGTCTCTCTTCTCTCTGGTCTCACTCTCTCTGGTCTCTCTCTCTGGTCTCTCTCTGGTCTCTCTCTCTGGTCTCTCTCTGGTCTCTCTCTGCTCTCTCTCTGCTCTCTCTCTGCTCTCTCTGGTCTCTCTCTGGTCTTTCTCTGGTCTCTGCTCTCTCTTCTCTCTGGTCTCACTCTCACTGGTCTCTCTCTCTGGTCCCTCTCTGGTCTCTCTTTCCCACTCCATTTTGAGCTGACAAATTGCAAATATAGATAAATGAGTAAAGACATATTGAAATGAAAACCAACACATGTATATTTGCTTGTGTACAGTATACACTCTGAGCGCAGTAGGCAACACAAAACATTACAAAAGTATCTTCACAAACTAAGAAATGTAAATATTGTAAATAAAATAAATGTATTCTTTCAGAAGTGACGGTAGTTGGTAGTTGGTAGAGCATTGGTCTTTGAACATAACGATCATGGGTTTGATCCCACCACGACCCATGTCGCTCCCACTGATGTCTGCTGTCGTTGTGTCCCTGGGCAAGACACTTATCCCCACTTTGCCTGAAGTCCCCAATGAAAGATCAAGGCTGAATCTGCGCTGAAGGAACCAGCGAGGGACAGGTGCTTTGTGAAAACTCTGATTGCCACCCCCTGACCCAGAAATGGAAAACAAAGGGATGAGAATGAATGAATGAATGTATACTTTCTGCTCAAATTAGTAAAATCCTTCAAATCAAACTTCATAGAGGTAAGTTGGTAAGTTGAGTGCCTTATAGTGGAACTGGCTCCTCCACTGTGGCCAAATGTCAAACAAACTTTTCCATAATCTTACATTTTCCATATTCCATAACGACTCACATCCAACCACCTGTGACATAAAAATATATTATACAAGTTGTTGGAAAATAACTTTCTCGCGGCCTTTGCACGTGCTTTTCCTTGATTTTTTGTGAATTCTGAAAGCGGTGAGTCCCACAGTACTATCTCTATAATCTCCCATGATGCCGTTTGTCAGCATAAAGCCCCATATGTAAGTGCATTAGCCCAGGGCCCGCTGTTTGCACACATGGGGGGAAAGCATCCATCAAAACGGCCTCTGCATGACTTCCCAGCTGGATCAGATGACACCGCTATTGTTCATTATTCTGCAGCTGCTCCTCACATGCTAATTAAACAGTCTGTGTGTATGCTTTTTACATTATACACACTGTGGAATCCATATATATACACATTCATTTCTATACAGCGTGTGGCAGTCGACTAATGCTAATGTACTTTTTTATTTAATGCTAATTGTCTCTTGCAGGTGTAATGAGCGATCAGCCAATCAGAGACTGTTGAGGGTGGGTCTAATGTTGTTTTTTTTTAAGCTTGTCCATGCACTGAGGTCTAAAGTTACACTGGGAAAATAATACACAGGAATGACTCGGAAAACACCTGAACGTTTTTGATCAGGAGGTTTTTTCCCCCTCATTTTTAGAAAAAAACATTGTATTATTGATGTGTTAAAGGGGAAAGTTTTCTCCGGACACATGGCAAACACTGGGGATCTGTACGAAAACGGGAGGCAGAGTTTGGTCTTGGATGACGAGCATTTCAGAGGTAAACAAAGCTATTTTTTACAGTAAATATCAATAATAATGTCTTACACTTTCTATGCATATTCTAACCAAACATTTACAGATGTCTACATACAACTTTATATTTCTCGCACTAGAAAATACAGCATTTAGACTTCTTTTTTTATTCTAAAGTTAGAGATTTTCCTTGTTTTACTCTGATGAATGAAAATCTTTATTAGTCCCACAGTTTAGGACCACATAATTACAGTATCAATCAATCTATTAATCAGTCCACACCACACAAGGCACAAATCCTCACATAAAACAGACACAAAATCACCATTAAAAATACAATTAAAATCACACAGGTAATTAAAAACATGAAATCATTAAATTCAATTAAATTCACGAAAGAGAATACAATAATAAATAACAACGGTGCAAAAAAAAGATAAAATTCTTCAGTGGTTTGCACAGGCAAAAAGAACAGTACTTGGTTACTTGGGTGTACTCTAATGAATGAATGAATGAATGAATGCCTTTATTGTTGTTACGCTTCAAAAACACAGAGAAAGGACCCAAAAAACAATACAAAAATATAACAAGTATAATTAATATAGACAAGAATCCAAAAACAAAACTCAACTGAACGTAAACTACAGGAGGTCGGGATGAAGAAAAGACAAACTCAAAGTCCGTGTATGCTTTTTACATTATACACACTGTGGAATCCATATATACACACATTTCTATACCGCGTATGACAGTCATTTCCCCACCATTGCCCAGAATGAGTCTGGTGTGTGGTCGGAGGGGCCAATTGCACAGACTGGTTGCCTCGCTTCTGTCAGTGTGCCCCAGGGCAGTTGTGGCTACAGTAGTAGTTTGTCACTATTGTGTATGGAGTGAATGAATAATGAAATGTGAAGCGCTGTATATAAAACCGATGCATTATTATTATTATTATTATTACTTGGTCATACGCTGATACATGAATGAGTGATAAATCTGATAAATGTGTCGCAGCTCATTGGTCCTGTCAACTTAAACTTCTTATGCATTCATCTCCTCCCCGTGAACTAAGGCCCTCTCTCTGCCGCAGAGTCCCCAGGCTTGGCGTACCTCCACAAGCCTCTGATCGCCCTGGTGCTGGGGGCCCTGACGTCCGGAGCGGGGGCCGTGCTGCTGCTGATGGGGGTGTCTCCGGTGGGATCGGCCTGTCTCTCTGTGGGCCTCATGTTCGTGGTGCTGGGGCTAGTGTGGCTCCCGGTGCTGAAGGAGAAGCACCGCAGAAGGACCAGCGCTCTGGGGGAATGATGCGGACGGACCTGGGCGGGGGGGGGATTCTACAGCCTTTGATTATTGTTTTCACTTCGAATCTATGTGTTTTTGTGTAGCCCTGAATCACACACTGCATAAGAGGGTGAAAAACAAGACAAAAATTGCTCAGATTTGGAAACATTTATCTATATTTGAGCACATTCTTACTTCCTTAAAACAAGATTTGCCAATGGGACCAAGGAAAATGATCTTGTTTTAAAAAGAGAAAGGTCTCACTCGGAATGAAAAAATTAAGCAATAGTTTAGTTTGTTTTATTGTTAAATAGAGGGTCTTTGTACAAAACCATTAGTCTTTACAAAAGAACCAGATTCAGCTACAGCTACTTTCCATCCGCAGTCCCAGGCCAGGCTGAAATTAGATGAAATGGCTTTGTCCCTTTGACTTGTTTTTAGAGTCAGAATATACTCAGATTAAGATGAATAAAACTACAACACATAATTCAGGCAATTATTACCTCATATTTTATAACTTTTTGCAGTGCAACAGCAGTCATCTCGGGGGTTTTACAAAGTTGTCGATTCCTAAACATCTGAGAATCAAACAGTTGGAGCACAGACAATGTAGAGTCTGTGACAAACACTGGAGCTGTCGGTCCATGAGACGAGCAGTGTCCAGGTGCCCTTTAATGTCCCGGACCATCCCTGTAATATTTCTTCAACTGTTTGAATCACCTTTTGGTATCACTTGGTAATAGGCACTTTTACCATTAAACTGCGTCTCAACCATTTGGTAAAGGCCTAGAATAAAAAAACAAGTAGAAAACAAACAAAAAACCCAAAACAAATTATTTGGGTTATTAGTGCAGCTACAACTTGAAAAAATAACAAAATGATAATAATAATAATAATAAAACCCCATTGTTTTCTTGTCATGTATCAGGTCTGTTAACTGTACTCACAGCTCAAACATTGAATAAAACCTGTTTTAAAACGTTTTTTTGATTGCTAAAGACCGAATACTAACAGACAGTAAACAATGTATTGTTATGGTAACCAGCTCTCACTCTCCTATGGTGACCTGAACCAGAACCAGTCCAGAACCAGGACCAGTTCAAAACCAACACCTTAAAAATTACATAATTTAAATGACTAAATTTTAATTTTAGTTTACATTTGAGTACTCACACTTCACAAATAAAAGGTTGTAGAAAAGTGCTGATAGACACAAGCGATGCTGCTGTTTGGTCAATATCAGTTTTATTTCCCATTCGTTTATTGACTCCAGCAGAGAACTTCACAAACACAGACAGGTCCAGGACAATCAGGACGTGGAAAATATGATTAATCTCAAATACAAACTCAAAGAAGTGATGGCACACCCCCTTTTAAACGACTTTATGATGTACAATGAGAACTTGCCAAACATAATACACACATTCATTATTTAACTCTTATTTGATTTCTATAATTACCTTATAGTTGAATTATTACTACTATTATTCTGCGTGTTCCAGGTTTTGAAGCTATTTCCTGAATGCTATTTCCTTGCAAAAATGTGTCCTCCATGCTCCAATCATCCTTACTGTGTTTGCCATATTGATTATTTTATTCTCTGTTGGACTATTTCATGTTTACCCAAGCCATTTTTGGTCCGCGGTTTCCTTTAAAAGAGAATCCCAGAGTGTGGTGTGGCCTGTGACTGATAAACACTAGACTTTGATCTGCACCGTTTGCTCTAACTCTCTCTCAGCTCGTCTCATTTCCACAACACAAAACTTGGATTGTGCACTTTTGTTCTGGGCTCTACCTTTAAATCCAGCATGTCCACCGCCGTCCAACTGGAGCCCGTTCTGGAGACGGTGTATGACGGAGTGGGACGCTGCAAATGCTCCTTCTGGTTCGCAGTGGCTCACGACGTTCTGGGAATCTTCATCATCATGATCGGAGTGTTCGGAGGCCTGGCCGCGCACGACTTGTTTGTCTACGCCGGGGCCATCATCATCTTCCTGAGCCTCATCTGGTGGATCTTCTGGTACTCCGGGAACATCGACGTGCCTCCCGAAGAGCTGGAGGACGACGTGGGACAGCAGAAGCTCAAAACCCGGGGACTGAGCCGTGTGGCGAGGAGGGTGTCCGACCGGCTTTCCACCGGAGTCAGGAATTCTTTCAGGAAAACTGGGAAAGTCAACACTAGCACAGCAGCTGCACGGAGTCAAGAAGAGACGCTTGCGAGGGTTTTTGACGCCAATATGAGCGTATCGCCTCCAGCCCAAGTCACGAGAGACTCACTGACGATATAAAGACTGAATAATGTATGTTTTAAAGAGTTTTGCTGGAAATGTGCACTTTCTATAATGATAAGACAGCTCTGCAGAGATAAGAGAGTGTCCGTGTCTAACTGATAAGACTCCACTCTTTTGAAGATTAACCCGTGATAAATACGAACTTTGTTTTTGTGCTGTGATGTTTAAGGAATGGCTTGATCTTTACAGACCATGGTTGGATCAGTGTCAATATTTTCTGCTGATAACATGTGCACACTTGTAGAGCAATTTGCATGTTGGATATTTGAATTATATTTAATTTCATCGGTCTACAGTTCATGGATAGATACACATTTTCTTGGTTTACAGTATGTAAATAGATAGATTGGGGCGGAAATGAGGTCCTGCGGGTTCGATTCCCGGTTCGGGGCAGGACCCCTCTTGCATAGATTCATTCATAGACATTTTCTTGGTCTACATTGTTTATATAGATAGATTTGGGCAGCAAGAAGCTCCTGATCCAAATCCCGGTCGGAACAAGGTCTTTCTGAGTGGCGTTTGCATGTTCTCCCTGTGTCTGCGTAGGTTTCCTCCGGGTGCTCCGGTTTACCCTACCACTAAAAAAAACACGTACAATAGGTAAAAACCTCCAGCTTCGGTAGCTCTGACCAAGCCAAGCATCAACCCCTGGAGATTGGTTCCCGGACGCTGTTACTACGGCGACCACTGCTCCTGACGTAAACCTCAGTGGCATTAGGATGGGCAAAATGCAGAGGATTAATTGCCCTATGGGGTAATTAAAGTGCACCTTTACCTTTAGCTTTATTGATAGATAGATAGATATTTTATTGGTCTACTCGACAGTACGTAGTATAGTATAGTATATAGATAGATAGATAGATAGATTGATATTGAACCCTGTGGGAGAAATTCAGGTATATATGGACACTATAGAGGTTTTTTATGGGATTGATGCATATGTATCGTTACTCCGTCTGCTCATTAGGTTTCTCGTCAATGCATGCACTCCTTTTAACCTATACGTAACTTTGCTGATAGAAGTTCATCAGCATTATGAGATATGTTTGAGCAATAAATACAATGTTTTATGTCATGTCATTACATCTTCATGGAAAAAATACTTTCATAAGTGCACCTAATATTGCGTGTGTGGAAGGCTGTCAGACAAATTGAACGGCAAAGGAAAACTGAATCTGCATTCATTTAAAGAACGACAATGTCAAATTGCAAAACAAAAATTAGAGAAATCACAGAATTTTCTTCCAACTCTCCCATGAATCTTTCACTCACTCGGATGACTGCAATATTACAGCGTACATAATGTAAAGTTTGTACATGTTTAACTTCATTCTAATGCAGTGAAGATAAGATTAGATAAACTTTATGTTCCTGAAGGAATACAGTACAATGCGTTCAAGTCTCTGTCTATATAATAACAGGTTCTGCATGAAAACTGAGATAGTTCATACAGTTTTGGGTGTATTCATTATTACATAGTATATTTTGAATGACAGTTGTAGGTTAAAAGCAGTAGCCGGAAGATAATCTCTTCATAATCTAAGAATGACCAAGATTGGGTCGAATATGGACAATAATTTGGCTTATTGCAGATCAAAGCCATTTGGTAGAGTATAATTATAAATGTACTGTATCCAATCCACAATAAGACCACAAAAAATAGAAATGGTAAAAATGTAAATGATAAAATTGATAAATATTGATTGCTACATAATCCAAAACACTGTGAAGCTTGGTCTGTAAATGAATATCACTTAATCATTAACCATAACATTGAAAACCATGAAATGTTTTAAAATAAATATACAAAATTAATACAAATAAATGCAAATATTTTTTTTAAATAGCCCATTATAAAACATAAAAATAATAAAGCAAAACTTGAAAACGATCAAATTAGTAAGAAAAATCCTGTAATTCTAAGAAATCATATCCACTTTAAAATTAATGTATACATAAATATATAAAAAAATACATAGATAAACAAATACACAAACAAATAAACAAACAAATACATAAATACACTACAATTTAAACAATTAAATGTATCAAAACAAATTTAAAACAATAAATGAACAAAACAACAATAAAATTAATAAAACAAAACTACAAATAAAACCCAATAACAATAATATTAATCACAACAGTAAAAAAGAGAAACAAATGAAAAGCTACTCACGCGTCGTAAAGACTCCATTTCCCAGCATGCAGCAGCGCCATGTGACTGCAGTGTTGTATCACGTGCCTTGTCAGTCCGGTCCTCTTTCCTCCGTGTCACCGGCTTCCTAAACGCTCTGCTGCAGCTTTGACACGTCCCGCACACATTAAACAGCCTTGTCCTCGGCTTTTACCACCTCTATCCGCTAAAGTCACTGCTAAATGTCTTTGTTTTTAACTAATTTCACACTCGCAGCTCCCTCCAGGCCTGCGCGTGCTTACCGACTCACCAGCAGCGCGCCAGCCGCCTCAGGGTGCATGCAGAGCGGACACTGGACTAGCATGGGCTCGGTCTACCACTAGTTTCATTCAGAGTCTTTTGAAGGCTTGGAACGTGTTTGTTATTAGCTTGGATGCTAATGCTAACGACGGAGGGCTGTCAGCATGAGCGGTATGTACTTTCCATGTGTTTTGTTAGCTTTGTTAGCTGATAACAGGACAATAAACAGCTCCTGTGCTGTAAGTTATTGGATTTGTCATGGATCAACGAGCAGCCAGCTATTCAGGTTTTTATGCTGAGTCCAGGGAAACTGGGGTTCAAGCAAGTACAGACTCAATCATTCTATAAAGTTGAAGTAGGAGACATTGCAAGAGGTAAAACAACTGTGTTTACAATGAGACTATAGTCTAAGTTTTATCACATCAATATATATTTTACAATATACAAACTCTCAAGGAGGAGGTATGACTTTAAACATCAGTGTGCAAGAACAACATTAAAACAAATGTGCTTAAAGGTCTAATTCTGTGGAATCCTCAGGAAAATTAATTAAAACGTTCAAATATCTTTTAATTTAAAAAGCTGTATGCAGCAAAACACATTGATTTATATAAACTTCATGAGTGATCATTGGATTATTGTATAAATGTATGGAAATGTTTGAAATGTAATGTTTTTTTCTTTTGCTGAAAATTGTACTGGGGCTAAAAGTCAGGGTTGATCACTTGTGTGTATCATATTGAAAAGGGGCAGAAAAATGTAGGAATTGTATTCTTCTTTTCTGCTCCTTTCCTTCAGGTATATGTTTAAAAGATTTGTTTGTCACTATTATCAATATTGGAACAAATACAAATGAATAAATAAATACATACAAGAAGTCAAACCTGTTCAAGAAGCACTTTGTCTGGTGGGCACTGGGGAGGGTTAGTAACCGAATACCAGGCTTACAGGTATGTTGGAGGATTTTCTACTTCCCGGTGGATCCTCAAGACTATTGGTCCTCTCAACTGTCAATCATTCTGGTGATATGTGCTCGTCAAATAAGACCAGAGAGTTTTGTTCAAAAAGTGGAGAGGGCGTTTTTCTTAAAATTTGAGAAAATCCTCCTTTATACCTTTAAGCTGTTTTATACATTTTTGAGAATGTTTTCTTTTTTGAGAAATGTAAAGAGAATATTATAAGTTATTATTGCAAAACCAATAAAACATGCCAGATAAGTCTGGATAATGTAAAGAAAACACAATCTATCGAGACTTGTTCTTGCAAGTTCCCTACCAACATCCTTTCAATTATTAGAACACATGACTAACATTACAGACGTTTTGTTTCGAGATTGGACATTGGGCAGCTTGTTGCTACGGGAACTGTCTTGTCACACGGTGATGTTTGAGTTAATCCTCCATTAAAGCCTAATCTCGGGTGTTTTCTCTGGCAGGCACTCAGCAGACTGATGCAAAGAGACAGCACCTCCTGGAGAGGCTGCTGGATGCTGTCAAACAGGTGAAGCCTTGGAGCTGCTCCATTTGATTTGAGGACTTCGATGATTGATTGATATGTTGTTGGTTTCTATTTATAACACAGTAATATCTATAATATAGCAGAAAGTGCCTCATAAAACAAGAGAGGAAATATGAAAATCTTACAAGGCATTAGAATCACGACTAAAATCACACAGAAAAAAATCATGAATAATCACAAGGCATTCAAAGAGTGAAGATGATTTTAACCTGAATTTGAACATTGTCAGAGTTGAAGCCGTTCTCACATTTTCAGGAAGACTGTTCTAGATTTTAGCTAGCTCGCCATGTTTAGTCCTGACTCTGGGACCAGCAGGAGGCCAGTCCCTGTGCTCCTCAGAGTCCCAGCAGGAGGCCAGTCCCTGTGCTCTAATGCTTTAAAGATAATATAATTTAACCTTTATGCGTCCCACTGTGGGGAAATTTCAATGTTGTAAAAATATAATAATATAATCATATATTTAAGCAGGGTCAGTGTACAATTTAGCATTAACACAAAGGAGATATTGTACTAGGTTATAGCAAAGATGATAATTTCCACCTGTAGTCCCTGGGCATTTAGATAGATAGATAGATAAATACTTTATTAATCCCCGTCGGACAAATTAAGGTGTCCAGTAGCGGCAAAAATTTAAAATAAAATTGCTCATTCTAAAAAGCTATCAATAGTAATAATAGCCCTTCAGGTCACAGCAGCAGCGGTGGAGTCAAAAAGTCAGCATTCCTCCAGTGGATTTTTGCCTGATTCACTTGGTTCAGACCATGAATCCTCTCTGCTCTGGTCTAGACCAGTGTAAAACCATGAATCCTCTCTGCTCTGGTCTGGACCAGTGTAAAACCATGAATCCTCTCTGCTCCGGTCTGGACCAGTGTAAAACCATGAATCCTCTCTGCTCTGGTCTGGACCAGTGTAAAACCATGAACACTGTCCTGCAGCAACATCTCAGGCAGAAAAATAACAGTTGTAAAACACAACATTTATGTCAAAAGTTGGTCCACAGTTTGGTGTTCAACCTATCCATGTAAATTGGAGACAAAACATACAATTGTTTTTTTTCTAATCCATAATTGAACTGTTTTCTTTCCCTTTCCAGTGCCAAATCCGCTTCGGAGGAAGAAAAGAGATTGCTACAGACTCTGATAGCAGGTTAGAGAACTCACTTTGGACTTTAGGCACCAGTCTTTTTTACAGCTAATCTTTGTAAAATCCCATTTGGTGGTGAATAATAGCCTCTCTATTTGAAACTATTGTGAACTAGTATTTATACTGAAAACTTGTTAAATTCATTACTTATTTGTAACAAGGGCTCCTTAATGTGTTTTTGTAGACTGTTAATAATAATAATAATAACGGCTTATTAAACGAGCAAGCGAGGTTAATAAATGTTTTATTATTTATCTGCAAAAACACATGAAACCAAACTGTCAAATCGTGACATGAAGAACTTATCAGATGATTGAGGTCGCCCGTTGTAATTTCTTGATCTCTTCTGTGTCTTTACCAACGAAGTTGTCAATCTCTTCTTGACTGTTACGAGTTGTGTTTTTGTTGTTATTTGCTGTTATTACTTCCTCTGGCTCTTTGAACTCGTCTGGATAATAGAATTCACTGGAAAATGCCCCCAGTCATTATGTCTTTTTTACTGAGGAAAGGGATGAATACAAATTTGATACGCGCTGCGGACCAATTGTCATGGTAACGGTCCGAGATGGGAAAATATCAGACCGCAAATCAGCCAATCATAGTGCGGTTACGATCCAAGTTTAATGATAATAAAGTTTATTACGAGCAAATAAGTGTGGAAGAAACCAAAGGAGATTATCGAGATAGTGCATAAGTAACCCTGAGTTACAAAGGTCCAGGTCCAGTTTATTTTAATAGCACATTTAAAAAAAAACAAAAAACAGATGGCTTGCCAGACATTACAAAATACAACACACAATAAAATACAGCATAAAAATATAATACAAGGTCCACTATCATAATGCTTGAGGATAAGAAGCCAGAGTAAGGAAATGTTTCCTGCCACAGCAAATGAGAGGAGGAGTGGGAAGACAAAAGGAGTGGGAAGAATTAAAAAAAAAAAACATATTTAATGTATTGAATTGTTAATGGTGGGATGTTTTTTCTCTTTGTGTCAGAGTGATCTGTCTGTGCGCTCAGTTTGAGGCCGTGTTGCAGCACGGTCTGAGGAAGAGCCGAGGACTGGCCCTCACCGCAGCAGCGCTCAAACAGGCTGCAGGATTCAGCAGCAAGACAGAAGGAGGTGAGTGAGACCAGAGAGCAGAGAGAGAGCAGAGAGAGAGCAGAGAGAGAGCAGAGAGAGAGCAGAGAGAGAGCAGAGAGAGAGCAGAGAGAGAGAGCAGAGAGCAGAGAGAGAGAGAGCAGAGAGAGCAGAGAGAAGAGAGCAGAGAGAGCAGAGAGAAGAGAGCAGAGAGAATAGAGAATAGAGAGCCGAGAGAGAGCAGAGAGAGAGAGCAGAGAGAGAGAGCAGAGAGAGAGAGCAGAGAGAGAGCAGAGAGAGAGCAGAGAGAGAGCAGAGAGAGAGCAGAGAGAGAGCAGAGAGAGAGCAGAGAGCAGAGAGAGAGCAGAGAGCAGAGAGCAGAGAGCAGAGAGCAGAGAGCAGAGAGAATAGAGAATAGAGAATAGAGAATAGAGAATAGAGAATAGAGAATAGAGAATAGAGAATAGAGAATAGAGAATAGAGCCGAGAGAGAGCAGAGTGAGAGAGCAGAGTGAGAGAGCAGAGTGAGAGAGCAGAGTGAGAGAGCAGAGTGAGAGAGCAGAGTGAGAGCAGAGTGAGAGCAGAGTGAGAGCAGAGAGAGAGCAGAGAGAGAGCAG